TCCAAACACCCTCCAAAACCCTCCAAACCCTCCAAACCCTCCAAAACCTTCCAAACCCTCCAAACACCCTCCAAAACCCTCCAAACCTTCCAAACCCTCTAAAACCTTCCAAACCAAAACCCTCCAAACCCTCCAAACACATTCCCCAACAGGCACCCCAGGGCCAAGGCCACTTCTCAACCTGGCACCCCAGGGCCAAGGCCACAGCAATGGCTTTCTATTGGCTTTCAAAGCTGCCGTTTGCCAGCCTGCAAACACTCCAAACCCTCCAAAACTCTCCAAACGCTCCAAACACCCTCCAAAACCCTCCAAACCCTCCAAACCCTCCAAAACCTTCCAAACCCTCAACCCCCTTCAAAATCTCCAAACCCTCCAAAACCATCCAAACCCTCGCAACACCTTCCCCAATGGCTTTCTATTGGCTTTCAAAGCTGCCGTTTGCCAGCCCGCAAACACTCCAAACCCTCCAAACACCCTCCAAACGCTCCAAAATCCTCCAAACCCTCCAAACACCTTCCAAAACCTTCCAAACCCTGCAAACACCTTCCCCAACAGGCACCCCAGGGCCAAGGCCACTTCTCAACCAGGCACCCCAGGGCCAAGGCCACAGCAATGGCTTTCTATTGGCTTTCAAAGCTGCCGTTTGCCAGCCCGCAAACACTCCAAACCCTCCAAAACTCTCCAAACCCTCCAAACACCCTCCAAAACCCTCCAAACCCTCCAAAACCTTCCAAACCCTCAACCCCCTTCAAAATCTCCAAACCCTCTCCAAAACCTTCCAAACACCTTCCCCAACAGGCACCCCAGGGCCAAGGCCACTTCTCAACCAGGCACCCCAGGGCCAAGGCCACAGCAATGGCTTTCTATTGGCTTTCAAAGCTGCCGTTTGCCAGCCCGCAAGCACTCCAAACCCTCCAAAACTCTCCAAATGCTCCAAACACCCTCCAAAACCCTCCAAACCCTCCAAAACCTTCCAAACCCTCAACCCCCTTCAAAATCTCCAAACCCTCCAAAACCCTCCAAACCCTCCAAACACCTTCCCCAACAGGCACCCCAGGGCCAAGGCCACTTCTGAATCAGGCACCCCAAGGCCAAGGCCACAGCAATGGCTTTCTATTGGCTTTGCCCGCAAACACTCCAAACCCTCCAAAACTCTCCAAACACCCTCCAAAACCCTCCAAACCCTCCAAACCCTCCAAAACCTTCCAAACCCTCCAAACACCCTCCAAACGTTCCAAACCCTCTAAAACCCTCCAAACCCTCCAAACACCTTCCCCAACAGGCACCCCAGGGCCAAGGCCACTTCTGAATCAGGCACCCCAGGGCCAAGGCCACAGCAATGGCTTTCTATTGGCTTTCAAAGCTGCCGTTTGCCAGCCCACAAACACTCCAAACCCTCCAAAACCCACCAAACGCTCCAAAATCCTCCAAACCCTCCACACATCTCCAAAACCCTCCAAACCCTCCAAAACCTTCCAAACCCTCCAAACACCCTCCAAAACCTTCCAAACCTTCCAAACCCTCAAACCCTCCAAAACCGTCCAAACCCTCCAAACACCTTCCCCAACAGGCACCCCAGGGCCAAGGCCACTTCTCAACCAGGCACCCCAGGGCCAAGGCCACAGCACTGGCTTTCTATTAGCTTTCAAAGCTGCCGTTTGCCAGCCCGCAAACACTCCAAACCCTCCAAAACTCTCCAAACGCTCCAAACACCCTCCAAAACCCTCCAAACCCTCCAAACCCTCCAAAACCTTCCAAACCCTCAACCCCCTTTCAAAATCTCCAAACCCTCCAAAACTCCCAAACCCTCCAAACACCTTCCCCAACAGGCACCCCAGGGCCAAGGCCACTTCTGAATCAGGCACCCCAGGGCCAAGGCCACAGCAATAGCTTTCTATTGGCTTTCAAAGCTGCCGTTTGCCAGCCCGCAAACACTCCAAACCCTCCAAAACCGTCCAAACGCTCCAAAATCCTCCAAACCCTCCAAACACCATCCAAAACCCTCCAAACCCTCCAAAACCTTCCAAACCCTCCAAACACCATCCAAAAACCTCCAAACCTTCCAAACCCTCCAAAACCTTCCAAAACAAAACCCTCCAAACCCTCCAAAACCCTCCAAAACCCTCCAAACCCTCCAAACACCTTCTCCAACAGGCACCCCAGGGCCAAGGCCACAGCAATGGCTTTCTATGGGCTTTCAAAGCTGCCGTTTGCCAGCCCGCAAACATTCCAAACACTCCAAAACCCTCCAAACGCTCCAAAACCCTCCAAACCTTCCAAACGCCCTCCAAAACTTTCCAAACCCTCCAAACCTGCAAAACCTTCCAAACCCTCCAAACACCCTCCAAAACTTTCCAAACCTTCCAAGCCCTCCAAAACCTTCCTGTCCAGCAGGCACTTCAGGGCCAAGGCCACTTCCCCAACCAGGCACCCCAGGGCCAAGGCCACAGCAATGGCTTTCTATTGGCTTTCAAAGCTGCCGTTTGCCAGCCCGCAAACACTCCAAACCCTCCAAAACTCTCCAAACGCTCCAAACACCCTCCAAAACCCTCCAAACCCTCCAAACCCTCCAAAACCTTCCAAACCCTCAACCCCCTTCAAAATCTCCAAACCCTCCAAAACCCTCCAAACACCTTCCCCAATGGCTTTCTATTGGCTTTCAAAGCTGCCGTTTGCCAGCCCGCAAACACTCCAAACCCTCCCAAACCATCCAAACGCTCCAAAATCCTCCAAACCCTCCAAACACCCTCCAAAACCCTCCAAACCCTCCAAAACCTTCCAAACCCTCCAAACACCCTCCAAAACCCTCCAAACGTTCCAAACCCTCTAAAACTTCCAAACCAAAACCCTCCAAACCCTCCAAAACCCTCCAAACCGTCCAAACACCTTCCCCAACAGGCACCCCAGGGCCAAGGCCACTTCTCAACCAGGCACCCCAGGGCCAAGGCCACAGCAATGGCTTTCTATTGGCTTTCAAAGCTGCCGTTTGCCAGCCCGCAAACACTCCAAACGCTCCAAAACCCTCCAAACGCTCCAAAATCCTCCAAACCCTTCGAACACCAAACCCTCCAAACCCTCCAAAAACCTTCCAAACCCTCCAAACACCCTCCAAAACCCTCCAAACCTTCCAAACACCTTCCCCAATGGCTTTCTATGGCTTTCAAAGCTGCCGTTTTGCCAGCCCGCAAACACTCCAAACCCTCCCAAACTCTCCAAAACCGCTCCAAACACCCTCCAAAAGCTCCAAATCCTCCAAACCCTCCAAACCCTGCCAAAACCCCTCCAAACCCTCCAAACACCTTCCCCAACAGGCACCCCAGGGCCAAGCCACTTCTCACACCAGGCCCCCAGGGCCAAGGCCACAGCAATGGCTTTCTATTGGCTTTCAAAGCTGCCAGCCCGCAAACACTCCAAACCCTCCAAAACTCTCCAAACCCTCCAAACACCCTCCAAAACCCTCCAAACCCTCCAAACCCTCCAAAACCTTCCAAACCCTCAACCCCCTTCAAAATCTCCAAACCCTCCAAAACCCATCTGTCATCTATCTCTCTCTCTCTCTCTCCCTCTCTCTCTCTCTCTCTCTGTCTGTCCATCTGTCCAACAATCGATCTATCCACCTGTTTATCTAACTGTCCATCTACCTATCTATCAATCTATCTCTCTCTCTCTCTATCCCTCTATCTATCCATCGATCTATCTCTCTCTCCCTCTATCTATATATCTATCTATCTATCTATCTATCCATCCATCCATCCATCTCTCCCTCTCCCTCTCCCTCTCCCTCTCCCTCTCCCTCTCCCTCTCTCTCTCTCTCTCTCTCCCCATAGTGCCCCCCAAATAGAGGGGGGTCGGCGGCACCTGGGCGCTAGCCCATTCTATTATCTAATTTTACCATTGATAGCAAAAGATTAAAGTACTAAAGTATCTAATCAAGGTTGACCCAGTTTCTGCTGTGAGGGTCTGCTGCATTTTACACCGTCACTCATGATATCTCATGATGATAACGACTATTTGGCTAAACATGCTGAGTATCACAGATGTGAGAACCAACTGTTGCTGAAGATCTGCTGATGCTCCTCCTTTACATTTGGCAATCACTAAAGCCATTGATCATACTTGATAATTCCCAAACTAATGCATCAAAAGAATGCTTTACCATCACTAATGCGTTGACATGATCATTTAGGCTAAAGATTACGGGTATTAGCGGATAGAATGATATGATATAAGTCTACTTCAGCATTAATATGTCTGAATCATATTGGCTACAGTTAGACAGTCAAACATATTCTTCCCGATTCATCATGGGTTGGTTGTTTATTTCCAGTTTTGACATACCAGCCGTATTGTGCTTTTCCTAAATCTGCTCCCGTTGGTTGTTTATGACCTGGCTAGGCGTCATCGTCCTGGCCTATTCTTGGAGGCTCATCGTCCCCCGAATCGTGTTTGTGGTGAATAAACGTAAAGCATGTTTGAACCCATTCATATTGGGACATTATCAATACATGATCCATCTATAGATGATATATATATATACATAAATATATATATATATATACATAATATGGAGGTTTCCTAAAATAGGGGTACCCCCAGTCATCATCCCATGAAAATAGATGGGAATTTCCATGATAAACCATCCAGCTATTGGGGATACCCCATTTTAAGACACACCCATTTTAGGACACCACCATATGATATATATATATATATATTACCCTCTGGTTATTTAACATAGCTATGGAAAACGGTCCATTTATAGATGGTTTACCTATTAAAAATTGTGATTTTCCATGGCTATGTTAAATAACCGGAGGGTATATACGTGGATCTATTATATCGACACTATCAACACATGATCAACACATTATGAACACAATAAAAAAACACATTACCAACACGGTATCAAAACATTAGCAACACATTACCCATCGATATTATCCATTGATGGGATCAGCAATTTTAAACAAAACCGGAACTTGACACTCAGGCCATGTCACGCGGTTCTTCTGGGCTTCAGCCTGCTTTTGCAAGTAGAGCCTTGGCCGATGATGCCAGCGGAGACCCAGTTTTTTCAGTCCCACGAGTTGTTTCTGATATACTTGGTGACTGATCCCACGAAGCGTAGATAGGTATAGGATTATAGGATGGTACGGGTAGGTTATAATAACCCTAGAGTTATTTCAGTGGATGAACCCTACTTATCCCACTGAAAAAAAATACTCTACTTCGTGTGATCCCCACCATGCCATGTCAGGACGTATATTTGGACATATATTTAGTATATTCTGACATCCTATCTGACATATATTCTGGCATATATTCTAGCATTCTATCTGGCATATATCCTGACATTCCACCTGGCATTCTATCTGGCAGTCTATCTGGCATTCTATCTGACATATTTTCTGACATTTCATCTGACATATATTCTGTCATTCTACCTGTCATTTATTCTGACATATATTCTGGCATTCTATCTGACATATATTCTGGCATATATTCTGGCATTCTATCTGGCATTATATCTGACATATATTTTGGCATTCTATCTGACATATATATTCTGGCATATATGTTGGCATTCTATCTGGCATTATATCTGACATATATTCTGACATTCTATCTGACATTCTATCTGGCAGTCTATCTGGCATTCTATCTGGCATTCTTTCTGGCATTCTTTCTGGCATTCTATCTGGCATTCTATCTGGCATCCTATCTGACATTCTATCTGGACATTCTATCTGGCATTCTATCTGGCAGTCTATCTGGAACTTCTAATTCTATCTGGCGTCTATCTGACATTCCTCATGAGGTCCGGCAGGGAACACTGGGCGTGGATGGTCGTGGTTGAGGTCCGGCAGGGAACACTGGGCGTGGCTGGTCGTGGTTGAGGTCCGGCAGGGAACACTGGGCGTGGGTGGTCGTGGTTGAGGTCCGGCAGAGAACACTGTGGATCGCGGGTCCCAGTTGAGCAAGGACGACGAGGACGACGAGGACGACGAGGACGACAAGGACGACAAGGATGACAAGGAGGACGAGGAGGAGGAGGAGAGGAGGACGAGGCAGGAGGAGGCGGAGGAGGAGGAGGAGGCAACTGACATAAAATCTAACAACCCTCACCTGGCAGGTGGGGAACAACAGGTGTGTAACCTACTTAGGATTCGTGGCTACTTCGCCACCAAGTAGTCCATTCATGTCCATTCCATCTATTGTTTCTGAATGTTTCGGATAGATTGCTGATAAATTTCACCAACTATGAGTTCCAAACTGATAGGATTTGGATGAACTATGATGAACTTGTAAGTCTTCTGGGCTCTGAGGCATTGCAAGAAATGGGCTGTTCCTCAAACACCTCCAAGCAGCAAGCAATATCTGATGAATGCCACCACGGCAATGATGAAAGAACCAAAGGCCAGCGAACCCAAATGATAGCGTACGGCCCACCATACTGCCTGTCGAGTAGATCCTGGAGAGTTCCCAATTTTCCACACTTCATGTGATCCAGCTGGAGGCAAGATTGTCTACTTCCAATTCCAAAATGCGGCTATGTTACTGTTGAAGCTTGTTGAAACTTCATGACACCTCAAATTGACCAAACAACTCTCCTACCCATGAGCACCCTAAACAAATCTAAACAATAATGAACATGTTCTGTCGCATTCTGCCAGTGATTTCCAGTCCTCTTCGGCCTTTCTCCGAATTGGGAGTAAAGAACCACGCTGCTGCCTGGCGAAACTTGCAAACTGGGCATCCATCTTTATCTCACTCTCTCTCTCTCTATACAACGTGGTGGGCCCCAGTGATGTTTGTTGGTTTGTGTTCCCATATGAAAACTATAGTTCGATATACCCTCTGGTTATTTAACATAGCCATGGAAAATCACCATTTTTAATAGGTAAACCATCTATTTCTATGGGCCATCTATACCATGGCTATGTTAGTCATAACCAGAGGGTACCATAAACCCAGCAGTCATGCCAAGGGGCAGCACCGGCAACGATGAATTGACCACAGGCGATGTTGAAGGCCTCCAATTTTGGAGGCCTTTCTCAACTGGCTGGCACTGAAACCATTTGTAGGCTACAAAAATGGGGGACCCCAAGTCAATCGTTCGTGATTTTTCTCGGTTCAAGTCGTTCAAGTAGGAAAAGTAATGGGCACGGGGTATGCCCTATTTGCAGAAACTATCAGTGAAAGGATATTGAACACCTGGTGTCTGAGAGCCACACGTTGTTCCAGAGCAACATAAAAAATGAGGCGGCAAAGCGATAGTCGAATGCGTAGCGCGGCTGCGCACACCTGCAGCTGATGCTGACTCAGTTCATCCAAGGCCCTCACTTCAAGGAACACGCGGGGCCCACATTTTGAAGCATGGCTTCTGAAAACAGGCGATTTCCCCAAATCAATACAGTTGATCATCGCATAGGCATATCATCACTTTCCCATGACATGACACACATTGATCTGGGCAAATGATCATAATTCACTAACCTGAAATGTTGGGCTCCCCATCTATATATCTGAGTAAATTATAATACTTCACTAACCTGAATTAAGGCCATTTGGGGATGATTTCCCTTATAAGCCATGATTCCAGTGAGGTCGCAGTGAGGTCGTTATAATTTACCCAGATCCATTAACCATGACTCCAGGTTTCGGGAGAACAGGCTTCGGTCGTGCCTCCAACACTGCGCCGTGCCGTTCACGATCTCGCAGTTGTCATCGTCCTGGCGCAAACAAACGTACGCTGTGTGAAACACTGGGGATTTAACCAGCAAGGGTGGTATTTCATGGGGGTTACTATGGAGTTTTATGATATAGATATGATATAGATATGATGCAATTTATATATATTTATGTAATTATAATGATAAATTCATCCTTCCGAAGTTAGCTAAGTAGCTTTACATTGCTTTATAACTCCAGGAGCTGTTGGGTTTGTGGTAATCTATCGAGTATCAAGAATGGAGATTTATGGCGGTCTAACTCTTCATGACCAAAGTTGAACGTGCCGGATGGGTCGAATGATTCTGACCACATGCCCCCAGAAACGACCTTTCCTGTCATACAAAATTGGACTCCAAAAAACACAACATGAAGGACCCTACATGATTGCATCATATTGCATATCCTTCTCCACCATCAAAAAGTGACCTTGCTACCCTGAAAACAACGCCTCTCTGACGTTTTTGCTGGGTATTGGATATTCCCTCGTCTGTGGTAACTAACCCATTCAGCATCGTATGGCGTTCGCATTCACCAAGGTTTCTCACATGGGATGAAAGCGGGGTCTCCCCCCGATAACCATCAGAACAAGGGAGAACCTTACAAGTTTCAATCATCCATCAGAATTGTGTTCTTTTCCCCCTAAATCTTCAGGTACCAAACCATACCAAACCCAAATCATGCTGCGCCTTGTATGTAAAGCCTGTGGGCCATTTGTCAGTGCATTGGCCCGGCGTGGTCGCTGTGCCATAGGCCTACGCCGAGCTAAGGAGTATAGCTGTTGGGTTTAGACAAGTTATGTACCAACAAACATAACTCGGGGGCATCATCTGGCGAGCATCTTTGATCTGAAAAATCTTCGGCATCAAAAAAGTGTGTGCCCAAAAAGCAGTGAGGAGGCCCCTTCAACCAGCGCCTCCGCATACGTCGCGAAAGTTCCCTCAGCTCTGGCAAGGTGAGCCGTTGGTCACAGGGCAAGAATAGAGATCAACATTTTGAAATAACGAAAACACATTGTACAATAGTTTTATTTTTTGTGCTGGCAAATGAACACACACACACACATATATATATATATATATATCCGATTATCATATATCATCATATATACTACTAAATAAATAAATGAATAAATAAATAAATAAATGAATAAAAAAATAAAAAAGAAATGAAAAGATAAATAAATAAATAAATAAATGAATAAAAAATAAAAAAAGAAATGAATAAATAAATAAATAAATAAATGAATAAAGAAATAAAAAAATAAATGAATAAATAAATAAATAAATGAATAAATAAATAAATGAATAAAAAAATAATAAATAAATAAATACATAAATAAATAAATACATAAATAAATAAATAAATAATATATTACAATAGAACATGCGTACACATATAAATCTACCCACCCCTCAGGTTTCGCCAGAAAATTGGGGATGCTAAAAACCAGGGACTGAGTCTCTGCACCTTCTTGGAGATCCAATGAGCAAATTACCGATGAATGGGACAGATGACAGATGGGGAAAACATGGAAAAACATGGAAAAACTACAATGAATGGATTTCTTGGGGAAAATCTTCACTGGTTTTCCCATCCGATTTTCCCAGATCCTGGGGCTTTCCACTGTCAATTTTCCCAGTGAATCCATGTGACTCCCCGTGGCTCTGGCTAAGGGGCTGAGGGCGTGTAATCTTCGGGCACTTGCGACAGCAGGAAGGAGGCGAAAAAGACCCAGCTGCCCACCCAGAGAACCGCCAGGACGGCCTCTTTTTTCGGTGGTCCAAGCGGTGAATCTATGGCTGATTGAGAATAATGATGGTTGGATGGTTGGTTAGTTACGATGATGATGATGATGATGATGATGATGATGATGATGATGATGGGATATGATGTTGTTGGCAATCATCAACATGAAAATCAACCACTATCTCAACTACTATCTCCTATTAAACAAGGGGAGTTCTCCATGTTAGACTACCACAGAGTATGATATCATGGCTGATGGTCATTGCTATCCTTCAGGCATCATCAAGGCATATGATCTAATGATCCACCAGAAAAAATCAGCCCCGAATTCTAACCATCATTCCGATGTCGCAGTCAGAAACTGATGACACTTCCAAGTTGAAAGAGTAAGCGAATGGAGAAGTATGGCAAACATTGGCAAACCATGACAATGCCTTCAATCATGATGAATCTTCTAGAGATCGTTTGGCAGATTTAAGACAGCCATCTGAACATTTCCCAACCCCCTTGTCGTCACTTGTCGTCCCTTGATACTGGTTGCTAAATTTCATAAGGGGCTCCAAGTTTGGGTCACGGTCACAACGTTGCATCATACCATCAACCAAACCAACCATCAAGGGATGCATTGTCACTGCATGTTGACACCTCCGTTTTGCGATCGCCACTTCACTGGTGCATACCTTACTCCCAGACCTTCATCAATTCTCAGATTATCCCAAATATGCTTGAGTCTGTTTCTTACGTTCATTGAAATTATCAACATAACATTCCCCTCCATTCTTTATTGGTTATAAAACATCTAGAAAGGCACTAACATCTTCCCCGCTTCGATGTTTCACCACCAGAAAGCCTGATCTCAACTCCCCCACCTGAATCAACGGCACCAGCAGCAGCGTGGGGTTGCCTGCCTTGGAGTGGTGCCGGTGTTGGTGTATAACCTCATCTACTGTAACTATAGCTAAATGATGCTAAATGCTATGATTTCCATAAAGTCCATTTGTCCCATCCAATCTAGCTATAGAATAATTGTTATTATGTTTGTTTTTAATCCCATCTATCTATCATTGATTACCCCATCCCCCCAATTGGGGATATCCCCGATATTTTCCCATGTGTTTCCTGCCATCAAAATCACGTGCCAGTCCGAGGAACGACGAAGATGGCGGCCACTTTGTTGATGGCGATGGCTTCGCGAATGCGGCTGCAGAAGCAAAGGATCAAAAACCTCTGAGGGGCCGCAGGGATCTTCAGGTTTAGAAGTCCGAGAGTGGTACCCTATGGTACGATCCAGTATTGAAATTTGGTCCGATTTATAGATGGTGAACCTATGAAACATGGTGATTTTCAATGGTCATGTTAGTTTACCAGAGGGTAGCTATTGTAAGTCATAATAGCCCATAAGCCATCATAACCTACCCATGAATCCAACAGTTATTGGATGATATTGGAGTTATGTTTATGTGTATGAACTTGCCTATGTGACAGCCACCAGTCACTAGAAGGAACCAAGAGGTGACCCCCTCATCCAAACACTTTCCGAACCAATCTGGAACGAACGAATGCCAAACTGAGGTTTCTTCCTATAAGTTGCTTTAAAGACCTCATTCAGTGTACGTATACTAAATATATATATATATAATATCTGTGTGTGTCATAATTATCCCCCCAAAACAACAGTTAACCATAAGCTATCATCCAACTTAGCTATCGTTTTGGGGCATCACACTGTATCCACCACCTGCAGAGAGGTCCAAGGAACAGGTACAATGCACCGATCACCCAACTCGTGTAGGCCGCATACCTGAGGACCCACTCGACACGTTCCCATGTTTTGTCATCATCATTTTTTGCGACAAGCACAAATGCTCCAATTACCCTCTGGTAAACTAACATAACTGTAACTATGGAAAATCACCATTTTTAATGGGACAATCCACTATAAATCACAATTTTCAATAGCTATGTTAGCTTATCAGAGGGTAAGATATTTGTTTCATATCCCCCTTAAAACATGACTCAAACATGTCCGCGGCGATGCCGGGTGACTCCAGGATTTGTCGAACGGTCTCATCAGGGACAGCAAAGCCTGGACAGCGCAGGGTAAGCGTCTCCAGATCCATTCCCGTGGGCCCAAGATGGCCCAAGCGGCTCACAAATTGCCACCAGCACTAATTACCCTTGAGGCCTTCAGGTCAACAAACAAAAAAAAAACAAGGTCCAAAAGTCAGCAAATAACCCAGGTCGACAAACCCAAAAAGAAAAAGGTCTAAACCTTAAAGCCAACTCCACCAAACGTTCGACCCCGCGCCGCAACCTCCCCAACCCCCTCGCCCCCATCGCGGATCCAGGCACCATTGCGGCAGGCGGGGCGCAAAACGCCAATGGGTTGACACTCTTGCCACGTGACCTCGCTATCCGAGGTAAAACACCAAATCGTCGCCGCCTGGCCAATGGTGAGGTGAATATCCCTGATGCATCCTGATGCTCCAAATCCTCAAAAGGATTGAACAGTAAAATAGTGATAGATTAAATTAGTGATAGATTAGTGATTTGATCTCTATATCCTAAATTTGTGATAGATTACTTATCTAGACTTGTCAGTCTCTTTACGGGGCTGCTGTATGGTGTATTTACCTACATTTGGATGGTTTTTGGGGTAAATGTTGGTCAATATTGCAAACATGGAGCATAGCATATGTGCATACCATCTCACATAATGGAGGCATACTCATATTGCAGAAATATCCAACAATTGGATGAATCCAGACTGTCTGTCAAGGAACGAGATGCGCGTAGACTTTACATATGCATGTATGACATATGTATACCAAAAAATACGTATATCAATGAATATGTAAATATGTATGTGTATATATAAAAGTATGTATATGTAAATGTATATGTATATGTATATATGTATATGTATATATATATATATGTATGTAAGTATGTAAGTATGTATATGTATATGTATATGTATATGTATATGTATGAATATATGTATATGTATATGAATATAAATATATATGGAAGTATGCATATGTATATGTATATATATATATGTAACATATATATATATATATATGTAACATATATATATATGTAACATATATATATATATATATATGTTATATATATATTACATATATATATGTAACTTATATACATATGTGTAAATAAAAATATTCATGTATATATATATATGTGTGTAACATATATATATATAATGATATATATTATATAATATGTGATTGTAAATTCATACATATGTTTAAAAGTAAAGCAAACAATAATCACATACAAACAAATGCACGTGCATGCAGCTCTTGTGGGAAAAACGGAGCCTCAACAAACTTGTTCTGTCAAGGTTTTTATTCACCCCTGTGCTGTTGAATTGGTGGTGCCATTCAAGTATTACATTATATATATGTATAAAATATATATATATATATAACATACTGCAACTTTGAGCAAGAATTGTTTTAGCCAATTAATATCGCTAAATAATGCAGTTGAAGTGTGGGGGTGCCATGCAAATCTAGCAGCACTAACACATGACAAAACCTATGTGTAACGATGTCCGACGATGTCCAACCTTTGGTATGTGATAATCCCTTCTCCTATAGTACATACCACTTTAGAACAATTGTCTCCTTTCAAAATAAAAAATCCTGGTCTTTTAACATACAGCAATGGAAAATGGTAAGTACACAGGAAAATACATTCGATGTAGATCTGGGTAAGCCAAATAATTTGACAATCAGTCCAATTATGCTCCAATTAATTTTCCCCTTTTTTAGTTACACCCTGGATCACTCTGGTAATCAAACTTGGCAATGGAAAATCTTCCAAAATTATTTCCATGCAGGTTCCGAACGCTGGGAATCTGGTAAGATGTGGTGCGCCTTGGTATCTGCGGAGGCACCGGTGAGGTATGGGTTGCGACCTGGGCGGAGGTGAGACAGAAACATTCAGCCGGTTTTGTGGGGAACTAGGTCTCTGGTAATGAATCAAACATTGCAATTGAACATCGCCTATAAATGAAGGTTTTCATGTGAAAATATGTGAAAATCATATAAATGGAGGATTTTCCATTGCCATACTTGATTACCAGGGGGTAATGTTGTTGATAAAAATGCTCTGCTCCCTATGTGTATGTAGATATGATATGATCACATATTTAGGTAGGGTTGTGCAGGTATGGGATCGCACACATACAGTGAGATGTGGCAAATGATGAGAATCCAAGGGCCAAATAATTCAAGCTGGGCCCCAAACATGAATGACGGATCACCCTGTGTCATCAGTGATTCCTTCAAACAGATTTAAGCTGTAGATGCCCTTCTGGTATGTTGGTTGCTATTCCCCGTGATCAAATCAACACGAAGAGTATATGTTTTCGCGGTTCGCGAGAGACGAAAAAATGAGACATGTGATCTTGCACTATCACTTCCGTTGCATCAACAGGCCCCATAGCTTGAGGTTGCCACAGTAGTTCTCGGTCAGGTTGGAATTGGGGTAAGCGGCCTGGCAAGCTGACGTTTTTCTCCAGAAATCATCATAATGCCCCCCGTTTCGGAATCGCTAAGTTGGTGAACATCACTTGGATAACTGTTGGGTTTATCGTAATAGGGTAAATCATCTATAAGTGTCCATGTTCCATAGCTATGTTAGTTTACAAAAAGGATACACATGGTTAATATAGGTAAATCATCTATAAGCGTCCATGTTCCATAGCTATGTTAGTTTACCAAAAGGATACACATGGTTAATAGGGTTTATAAACCAACGTAACTGGGGACGCCTTCCGAAAATCGAAACTTCTAAAACCTGCTTTGTATTAATGCATGGTGCTGCCGCTGAGTTTGGGTCACTTATGACTGGATGAACCAAGAGATCGGGGACTTACTCAGCAGCGTCTACGGTGATGTGATTTCAATGCCTTCACCCCGGGCCCCATCTGGTGAACTATCTATCCAATCTCGGGAATCTAGGGATTGTCCATTCGATGTACAAAGACGTTGTGACATGTCACGTGACCATATCCCAAGCCCCCGAAAATCCTGTGGCAACAGAGGGAAGCACCGTGCTGAAGTCGAGATGGTACTCTGCAGTCTGATGTGACTTGTTCTAAACCCTGCCACTGGATGTCCATAGCCGCTCAAACATAGCGTATGAACGGCAACACGGGTCAACAGTTTTTGGACCCGCATTTGCCGTTTTTAACAAAATGGGCTGTGCATTCTGGTCAGCCATCCCTTCCACAATAGGAAGCCTAACATACCTTACATACCATACAAAATATGGAATCATATCATAATCATATCAAATCCATTTTTGAGAAGATATGTAGGAAAATGCAGTGATGACCATCCCCCACACAATTTACCCAACTGACCATGGCACCAGCTCGAGACTACCATGAAACACGACGGACTCGGTCCTCCACCCGCGCCTGCGTGTAGTTCTCGGCATCGGTGCCGTTGGTGCCCCAACTCGGCAGTGAAAAGTTGGGCGAACAGCACCAAGTACCACAAGCACCACCTGGATTCAGCCTATATTCCGCCTGATTCAACCTGACTTTCCCAAGTCTACTACGCATTTTCTGGTGACTCCTACGAGGGAAAATGATGGTTACCCAGTAGATTTAGGGGTGCTCATGGTCTATTTTCAGGAGCAAACCCATATCAAACCCATATGACCCATATGGCGTGTGGGTCTAAGGGATCCTCATGGCCATTGCAATACCTTCGTTTCGGAAAAGCAGTTGCCGTCAGTGCAGTTTCCCTAGAAGCAGTTGCACCCGTGCAGGGATTCTGGGCGACTGGCTTAATACAAGAGTATCCATCAACTGTGCGAGTTTGAGCTCCTGCCGTGAAATAGCGATTCAGTTTTTGGGTCGACCGGGTCGACCCGGTTGACGCTGACTATGCTGACTCTGAACCCCCCTACATTTCAAAAAGGGGTCGACACCTCCAAAACATGGTCTAATCTAACCAGGTTCAAAAAGCCACAAGAAGTGTTTAAACTTCTGATGAGGTTGTACCTGATCTACAAAAACAAAGGCAGGTGTCAAGGAGCACAACATCTCATTTTGATCTCTTCAACTGATGAAAAATTGCAGAAGCGCCAGCCACTCCTGTATAATTGCCATTGCCACCATCACCGAGCAGTTCTTCACTCAGCACCTCCAAAGCAGGAGATGTGCAGGATGGGGCATGGGATATGAAGATTAAGCCCTTCTAGGTTAACACCATTTCTTACCTGGTAAGGTTGATGTGTTGAAATTTCCACCGAGGATGAAAATTTGTACAAATCGAACATTTTTATGTGTCAATTTCCATTGAGGTACCGTTATTACATGGATGCACATCTCTGAACAAAATTTACGTGGACACACCCATCGAACGGTTTTGATCGCAATTTGAACGCCATTTGAACACCTTTCTCGAGTACGGTTGACGAACGGGCAAAAGCACTGACAGTGACATTTTTCACTGAGGAGGCCAGATTTGTACTAATTTTGGTTCTGAGTGGAAATATCAACAAATAGACCTTACTAGGTAGGTACTGTAGTTTATTCAGGTGACAACCGAGATTTTGAAGAAACCATGGATTGAAGGAACCCTTCCGACCAATTCTTCAATCCATCAGGAGCCGGCAAGCTGTTCAGCTTTGGCATCGGACCCTGAAAGCCTTACATGCCATTTCACATCACTCAATCCTATCATATGGTTAGGTTGGGAAACTCTTACTAGCTCCAACTGGCTCCCCGTGAAAAATGAGGAATATGATATGTGGATACCATATGTGGATACCAATGTGGATACCCCTACCTCCTTGGCTTCTTCCTAACCACTGGATAGCACACACACATATATATATATAGAGAGAGAGATACACTCCAGAAGCACAGGAAACTGTCAGGTGGCAATGTCCAACCTCCATTGTAATCGGCAAATCCTCTACAAATCATGCCTCATAGCTGTTCGGATCAACGGCTTGGTTCACAGCGTTGGTGGCGCTGCTGGCCAAATACCTAAAAAGATCACCATGGAGAAGGAAAATGCGGGAATGAAAGCAATGATTCTGATATTTATTGTGGTTCACTGATCTTGTTGCAAATCAATCAATTATGATTTCTGGTATTTTTGTGTAATCAATTGTGGATTATTGTTCTATATTTTGAGATCTACTGTGGCTTATTGTGGTTCATTGGCTGGTATGTCACCTGCGAATTTCCGAGGGCATCCTGTGGGGGTCAAAAAATCCTGGTTTCACCCGGGTTTCACCCCCTTGAATCAGCCATCGGCACGGCGAAAATCCACAGGAAACCCATGGATTCATATATGGGGTAAAAACCAATTCTGGGATTGGCATGGATAAGAGAACATTGATGAAAATTGCACGAATCAAAGCAATGCTCAGGTTCAATTTCTATAGGTCTTACTCTTACCATTCAAACATGGGTGACTCACAAGTCAGAAAATTGGACGCCGAACCTCCACCAAATCAACCATGTGATTTCATGGATCAAGATGACTCAAAACGGCTTGAATAAAAGTATCGTGATGTTCAGACCCAAGCAATGGCTATGCGAAACTTCGTAGCAAGGGAAAGTCGTAAATCCTTGGGCAATGGCAAGGTGCTGCAGCCAACAAATCCAACCATGACTGGGGTCATTAAAAACATCATCTCATCGCCGGGGGTCCCAATTATTTTCACCTCTGGTAAACTAAGAGTTTGCTATGGTATAGATGGCCCAAAGTTCGTGGATTTACCCAGCTATAACATGGTGATTTTCCATAGTTGTGTTGGTTTAAAAAGAGGGTATCCCATGTTACCCTGTAACTATCCTTTATTGTCCCACTCACATGTCCGATATCTATCCATGTTGTTTCTATTGATAGCCTACTGTGTCGCATCCACATTATCTGGGTGAATTGTATTAATTCACAAACCTGAATCAAGGTCATTTGGGGATGATTCCCATATATAAACCATCATTTCAGGGTATTGTTGCGCGATGTGAGATCGTTATAATTTACCCAGCCATGATATACTTTAGGAATCAATCGTCATCGTCATAATCCGAGGGTCGTGGTAGTGGCCACGGCCATCTGGAAACCGGTGTCAAAGAGTTCCGCCCCCTGACATTGACCTGAACGCGGCCGACTTGATGCGACTTGGAATGGCTCTGTTTCAAGGTGATCCCCTCTATCCAAATTGAGAAACATCAACTATATGTTAACTATAGGGTTTTAGCTTACGGTTGGTTTACAGCTATAGCTTCACGGAATTTTGCGGGTACGTTTCTTGTGGAAATCGATCAATGGGGTTTTTGTTTCAACCAACGCGCATAACTGGGGCATCAATGGACCTGGAGGTATCAGTTTCCCCAAAGCTGACGTATTGGGCCACGTTGCCCTAATCTATGGGCTCGGTCCTTTGCGGTCGCAGTTGCTATACTTCCTAGCAGTATGGTTCATGTTCCTTACCAAGGTCGAAAAAAATCAAGATGAGGCAGCAGTTGGCCTGTTTTCATATACCCATAGTAGGATCCATGTATGCTATACATGGTAACATTTACCATCAATATACCCCAAATGTTAGCATATAAATCCTTATACATCTATGTAAAACCTGTATGGGTCTGTCTGAAAACGGGATATTCCATTCCATCCATAGGTTAATGTTAGCATACATATATATATATATATATATCAGCACCATGGATCCGTCATGGGATATGCTTTTACCATCTCACGACATAACTTTGGCAGCACACCAAGCTCCCCCGAAACCGGATCCAAAGGATCCAAGTGACTGGATCGGGCGATCAACAAACCACCCCCGAAGAGGAAGAGAACCAGCCTTGGAATGCTGGGGATGTTTGGCTTCAAAAACAGGTTCAAAAAATCAAGAACATCCTGTGAATCTGATGGTACATAGTGGGTCAATGGACAAGACTAGTGATTTACATGATATATAGTCTAATAGTTTGGATAGAATGGGAATATGATGTTGAAGAATTAAGTACTGCCATAGCTATGTTAAATTACCAGAGGGTATATTGGGGACTGCAATGGGATACGGTATATACATGCTCCGTTGTGTCATCAAACTGCCATGGTTAAGCGGGGAAATCCGGGAACTGAATGGAGGTGTCTAGCTGGGAAAATCATCTATTACCCATGACGGATCCATGGTGCTGGTAGATTAATGCTAATTAACATAAATGGGGTATATTGATGGGATCCATGGAGCACCATATATAGCAGCACCATGGATCCGTCATGGGTTATACATGGGGGATTTTCCATTGCAAAGTTTGAAAGCCAAAGGATCAAAGGGTAGTGGTTTGAACATGTTTGAAGCTCATTCCCCCACAAATCGCCATACAGTGGGCTGTGCATCCCTCTTGTTTTTTCAAAAAACCTGGTTGTTTTCAACCCCCTATCATGCAACAGTCACCTGAAGATTTTTGTTGTTAATCCAAGGATTTTTGTATGGAACCACCACGCTGGAAAATGATCAGAACTTAAGCACAACTCAACTCATCTCCAAAATTCGGGATGTGATGGGAAAATCATGGAAAATCCATGAACATCCTCTAGAAATGGGTGATGTCCCCTTGCCAAAGCCATTGGATTACCGGTGGCACACTTCCTTGTGGCCTTGACTCCTTGACCGAAACCGCAGCCATAGCAGCACTGCAAACAGGGCCAGCCAAACGCCTCGGCGCGGGGTGATTCCAACCCGGAACTGGGATGCCTTGAAAAGAACGGCTTTTGTAACAGATTCCATGTGGGGAATGGGATAGTGATACCCACTGGTAATTTAACATAGCTATTGAAAACGGTGATTTATAGTGGATTTACCCATTGAAAATTGTGATTTTCCATAGTGATAGTGATTGTGGTGAACTCGTTATGGAACCCCCAAGTATGTTGCACCGAAGGCAACCTCAGGGACCATCCATGCGCGAAGCTGTGGGTAATGTGGGTGAGGCTACTTCCTGAATACATGTTTTTCAAATCCATGATTCGTCATTTTGGAAGACTTGAAGAGTAGAGATGAGATCCGAATGGGCTTTTTTTGTCGCAGCATTTTCTCATGACGAAACAACTTGTCGATCTATCCCAATTTGTAAGAGATGGGTCTGTCTGAAAATAGAGCATCCCAAAAAATCCCACATCTACTATAAACCTTGCCATTTGGATCCTGCTGAGATCATCCCAGGGGCAGGTCCCAACCAGAAAGCGCAAGAGGACCATGTAAAGCAACGCGATGACCACACAAGTGACCTCATGTGGGATGTGTGCGCCTTGCAACCAGGCATTCACAACTGGAAATTCAGATGCCCTATGTAAGATCCTAAGGGAAATTGGCAAAGCAGATCAGTAAGACTGACTGTTCAAACCCTTTGAAAACGGTTTCAAAACTCAGCAACCTCATTGCCTTATAAAATCCGACTCTCAATATAGATAAATTGATGGTATAAGATGACATGACTTGAATCCGTTCTATCTTTTTGGGGCTTCCTATACATAACAAAATCGATGAGGCGACGACAGCCACGCACGCGAAGGTGTCTGCCGTCTTCAAGGCTTCGCCAAAGAGTGTTCCGAAGCTCGTCAGGCCTTCGAATTCCGTCTGGAAGGCCTTGGGATTCTCGTGGGATTCTGATGGATATCTCCAGGAAATACCATGAATATCCATGGGTGCCATTGGATCATGGGCGGGTTTTAAGGATTGTTTTACCAGCCAAACATGAAGTTTCCTGCAGTTTCTCTGGTGCTGCGAAGTTGGGTGTGGAAATCTGTGAGCCCCAAGTGTGCCTTGACGCTGAGATTTCGCACGGCTCCAATAACCCCAGAAGCACATCCCAACAAATGGGAACGTTCCATTTGTTCTTCATGTGTGTTGGTTGACTGGTGAAATCATGTAAATTTTTGAATATATATATATATATATGTGTGTGTGTGTGTGTCTGTCCATTCTTATACAATTGGTCGAGTCACCATGAACTTTTACAGCTTACCTGGTCACTTATTCCATGCCCCATTTGTTCGTTTAAATCCCACTTTCACTGGGATTTGCTTGTATAGAATTGACAAGACAATCGAGTACATTCCAAATACGGTAAATTCCCTACATGGTATATCATGGTATAGGTTAAAATGAGTCGCAATGAGGGCAAAAAATCATCCACTAAGCCAATCCAAGTCATTTTTGTTGCTTCGTCTGACATTTCCCGGTGAAATGTCTCGGCGAAACGAATCCCAACCAGGTCCCAGCTGCATCTGCACTCATGCTTTCAAGGGCTTCAGCCATCACTCCATCCACCAGCTCAGAAACTTCCAGGCCTTGGACGCCGCGTGGCGCACCGTGGATCTGCCCATGATGCTCATGGCTGTTGATTCATGTTCATGAATTTAGGTCATTTATGGTCATGTCTTATCAGTATTTTATAGAATGTATTATTGATTCAAATATTGAGTCTCCATGTTTGGGGAATTTGAGGAACCACATGTTGACCCATGGCCCATGAGCGGGGACATTTGAGGTTCCAGCTGCAATATCCAGGCCTTGGGGAAGCATCTTGATGGCGGCACGGATGCCAATGGGAAAACTACAACAAATGACATTGATCTCTCACGATCTTTCCAGCCCTTGAATGATGACTTGTTATGCCATTTCCATCCATTTTCATCCATTTTCATCCATTTGACCGTTCGTTCCAACCACTTTCGTTTTTGTTGCTCCCACATCATCCGCCGGGCTGCATGATCTCTGAAAATTCCACCCCCGGCATTGGGACGCACTTCCTGGGCTCAGCAGAAATGACGGTTTTGCAAAGTGGAAAATGGCCATAGAAAGTTCGTTGATTTACCTATGAAAAATGCTGATGTTCCATAGTTTTTTTTTTTTGGGGGGGGGTATATTCACCGGTACATTGGCATAATGATAGAAGTGGGGTAAGGTCACCCATGGATAAACCGGTTTCCAGGAAGCCCAGTCGCGACGCAGCGTAAGGACAAATGCTTGTGGGAAAGGCTTTGAAAGTGAAGGAGTTCGTAATGGTGTCCTGCCAGTGGTCATCCGGGATGAAAAGGCCCTAAAAAGGCCCTAAAGTGGCCCTGAACTTGCTGAAAGTTGCTGCATGAATGGATGAAATCTGTCATTCTTGGTGACTCAAAGAGAATGGTGAAGCTATGATCTGTTGGCAACAGCTTCACCTGGCATTACGCAGTCATTTTGCAAACTGATTTACTGATCCCAACTGATGATCTTGTTGAAAAGCTTTATTCATAGCACCTTGGCTCCCCATGTTTTATATCGTGGGCGCAAAAAGAAAACAACCATAGCTCCTCAAGTCCATCCAAATCCGACCAAATACGGTAATAATCATCCCATATTTTTCCACACCAAAATTCTCATTTAGCATTTCCCTTTTCCAAAACATTCCGCATTCCGCTGACACGCCCCGTCGTATTTCTGGCTGTGTCAGTCCTTGATCACCGCAGGGCCAGAAGTGTTGAGCCTTGATGGGTGAGATGCCAATAGCAACAAGCCATTCTGAAATGGAAAGCTGAAGCTATTCGTAAAAAGTCTGGAAAAATTGTACTCTTTTCATGATATAGCAAACTATAGAAACACGATAATCTTTATTAATCTATTATTGTTTAATAATATGATAATCTATGTATAACTGGTTGGTGGTGCAATAACCATCTTGAAAAATATGAGTTCGTCAATGGGAAGGATGACATCCCATATATTATGGAAAATAAAAAATGTTTGAAACAACCAACCAGATATATTTGACATTCCCACAACTGGTTTAAGGGGAACATCTACAGGAAAACCCCAGTCTGGTGTAAAAGTGGTGCCCCGCAGCGATGTTTGTTGGTTTATGCTACCCCCCATGCAAACTTGTTCGATACTAATCTACCATCAACCCAAGTTAGGTATTGAAGTTACCCATAGTTCTGCATGATCCATTGCTTAAATCACCATGATCCATGGCTTTCTCGCCCTATTTTGGATGGTTAAACCACCCTGGGAGTTCTAGACTTTTAAGTGAGCCCAGTCGCAGGGACCAGTACGGCTGAAAGGGGTCGTCGGCTGCCTGGTAGGGTCGACACCAATGGACATAGAAATGCTATGGAAAATGATATGGAACATGATATGAAATCTTAGGAATGATATGGAAAAGATCATCTGACCATGATATGGAAAAAATGTGGACATGGAAATAAGGTATGTGGAATGATATATGGAATTTGTGGATGATTTTCGAAAATCCTCGGAGATTTTGTGGATGATACGGAAACAAATTATGGATATATCATGACATATCTATATCATACAATGAGTGTGTTGGGGGAACGGCTTGTCAACTGGCACTGCTTCGAGGCCCAGGGCCCAGGCCATCGTGTAGGTCCAGGTTCTGTAAGTGGTGTTGAGGGAGTTATAGGTCCTGAGCACCGACAGGCCCACCAAGCTGTTGGGTTTGTGGTGAAAAAGATGGATGTGTCTGGACATGGGGTATACAGTACCTCCAATTGTAGCATTTGATTGCCGGGAAAATGATGTTTCACCATTGGGTTTGGGGTGCACAAGTTCCAGACAACCCAAATACACTTGGATGATGCTGGCTGTGTAAACCAACAGACATAAGGTTCTTCAGAGGCAGTGAGGCAAATGCCAACATTGGGGGTGTCAGCCGAATGGGATCTCCAAGTGGCACAGTGCAATCTGGCAGGCATACCATGTTGAAGTACCTGAGGAACTACCCTCTGCAAATTTCTAGCTGGGAAAATCATCTAGAAATGGGAGGGGATTTTCCAGCACGCCATGTTTGATTACCGGAGGTGAAGGTGATCACCATGCAGGGGTGGGAGGCAAATGTATAAATCACCAAAAAAGCTGGAAACGATCAAATCATTGACTGGACTGGTTTAAGGCCAATTTTACAGGAAAATGGAAACCCATGGAAACCCTTATATTTCATGGGGACAACCAGCCAGATCAGCCAGTTTCCGGTAGATTTTCCCTTCAATCCAGGGATGAAATATGGGAAAATCGTCTTGCAAGCCTCTGCACGTGCTTGATCTAGCCACAGGCTTCAGTCACTGAACCTTTTGAGAGATGCGATTCTGAATGCCTTCCGTAGACGCGCAAAAAACTATGGAAAACCGGGGGAAGTTTCGCTTGGACATTTTTGGCAAATTGTTGATTTTCCATCTTATCAATGTATGTTTACGGCAGGATAGTAATTAATATTGTCAAATTGGGAGCAGAGCTCTCCGCTTAGATGACCGTAATTTCGTCATGAATTGTGGGTCCTGATTCAGTTGTAGTTTGTAACATCATGTAGCATCTTGTAACATCTTCTAACCATTTCGAACCGTTGAGGGACCATGGGATATCCCAATGCAGCCGAGCAAACTTGGCAGCTTCACTCCAAATCTCTGTGAAGTAGTCACCTTGTGGCACATCTATGACAGGCTATGGGTGTCCACTTGGCTGACTGCAAGCCCTATCCAAGGACCATCCGAAAATCCCCGCTTTAGATCGTCACCGAGGTGCCGTTCATCCCCTTGGCATTGAAGAGTGTGCTGGCGGAACCCTGGAATTCGCTCATCTTGCCTGAAATAATTTCCTGAGATCCAGGGCCTGGACCCAAGGTTGTCCTGGAACCAGAAAAGTGGCATCTTGGGCGATCGTTTTTTCACAACACCATCGAATCCAACCAGTCATGAAACATAATTATATAACCAAACGGTGGTTACCAAATCGGTTTAGGTTCAAAAAAATAAAGCAACATGGTGCAAATATATTGATCCCTGTGGATCCAAATGCTTTTTCAAGACGTATGCTTGTTATGTTTTAGGGGTTCAGTACGTTTTAAGTATTGGGATCCATATGGCATATAATACATCATGTGTATATAGATGTATATGCATATATACATTGTGTACCCACACGCAAACACACACACACACACATATATATATATAGACATATATGATGCAACCTATATATATATATAATTGTATATATATATATGCATTAAACATCAAATACCAAGGAGAAAATGTCAACCACAACTCGGTGTGCCAAGGGGCTTGGACGTTGCTGCTGTCCAGCTTCTGCACTTTATAGGCCCCGGTGCAACGGCTGCAGGCGCTGAGGCAGCAGGTGCACAAATATTCCTGGAACGGAACCGTAAACTGGGGAGTTTTTGTGGTGGATAGATGATATCTGGAGAAAAATATGCAAAAAAATGTTTGCTCCCGGCTCCCACTAATATGTCTGCAAAAATGGTGGATCAATGGCTTTTGTGGGATACTTCCTGACTGAGATATCGGATCTTCCACGATGCCTAGTTTTTTGGGGATTGACTACTGGAAAATTGATATTTGAGCTGGGTTTTTCAATGGTTTTGAAGAGCGAACATCATGATATATCATGATTCAATGCATTGGACAAATCCTCGGAATTCAACCCAGCCAATCTTAGATACCGTGCAAAACCACATGTTTCGCTGGTGGTGAACATTCCAACGTTACCGCCAGTGGTGCCTCTTTGGACAAACATCACCCACCATTGGTCCAGACTTAGATTCTTCCAATTTGAAAGACCACCCACAGACATGTTAGGGAAAGAATCCCTTCCACCATGGTGGATGTTGCGGGATGAAATCATAGATGAATGGGATCCCAATATACCCAATATAAGGGGGTGTTTGATCATGGGGGATGAAATTATTCATGGAACCCCTTGACTTTAAACTCAAATATTGATCAACATAGATTTTCCATCCATCACATTCTGGGAGACTAGAATCACTAAGTCACTAAGTCACTAAGATATAAGTTGAACTAGAAAAAAGGGGAGATATTGCAACCGAAACCACCCAAAAAGAACACAAAACGCGACAATGCATCATGAGCAAACGCGCGAAACGAGGATAGGTAATGGCGCACATATTTCAGCAAACGAGTGTCCCAAACTTGTGGTACCAAACATTTCCCCCCCAACGTGATGCCCCCAAGATGGCTAAGTTGGTTCATAACTCCAATAACTATGGTTTATAGGTGAAGTATCTATATATACTTAATGGGTTTACAACCAATTTATAACTGGGGGGACCTTGCAACAACCAATAACTTCTGCTGGCATCCTCTATGGGGGACGCCCGAATTCGTGCGTCCCCCTGTGTTTCTGCCGGCCTGCTGAGCTTCAGTGGTGGTCAACAGACCCATGAGGGCATCCCGAGCAGCGTTGGAACAAATCCTTGGCTTCCAGTGGCGACCCAGCATCGCCATCTGTGGATGATCTAAAGGCTGCAGGGAATGCCTGGCCGGGAAATCCTTAAAAACGGAGGTTTTAAGATGTTTTAATGCGAAGATCATCGCAAGTAAATGATGGAAAACTTCCGCCAGAAGGATCAACACCTTCTGATTGTCATCGATATGGCTGGCAGCGGTGTCGGCTGCAGCCAAGACACAACTCCTTCACGATCATGTCTGTGGTGGACCTTAGGATTTTCACAAAACGAGGACCTGAGATGAGAAGTTCAACAGAGCATCATGATGCAAAAAATCCCACTGAAAGGTTTTTCAGAGACCTACAGTATCCTACAGATTTTGCCCTGCCGAATGTTGTCTTTTGAGGATCGACTTGCAGCTGGGCCGGAACTCGAACCCCCCGGATTTGGTTCGAGGCCCGAGGGGCGTGACGTTCATGGTGAAGCCCAAAGATGAAAATCCATTCCTGAGACCCGAAAGGAGAGCTAAGGAGGGCACCAACTTATGGTACCTATGACTGGAGGTATTACACTCTGGTTGTTCAAGAGTTTGCGAACTGGAAAATGCCACACAATTTATATACATTTATAGACTTATAGATGATGTACTTGTTCAACATGATGGTTTTCTCACTGAAACCTCCATTTATAGATAATTTATGCATATTCAATTCATGATTTAGCAGTTTGCCATAAAAAAAAAAAAAACATTTACAGTACTTCAATGATTTGCCTATCAATTTGATGGTGGTGTTCCATGGCATAATGTACCATACGAGCCAGTAGTAAGGGGTAGTATTGAACACCTCTTTAATTCTCCATCTTCCAAAATGCTTCGAAAAATATCCCACCAATGTGCAGTGGTTGTAATCACAATGGCTCACAAACCTGGAACTAGACTGGTTCTGGGCTGACTGCACTTCCTTTAACCACCCTTTCGGGTGACCGAAAGTGTGCGGACCAGATGCAGGTCATAGCCCGTCTGCCAGTTGCTATCCACTCCACCTGAGCTCTCGGCTGCATGCCCTCTGGTAAACTAACATAGCTATTGAACATTATTGAACATTGCCATAGAAACAGTTGATTTACCAATTAAAAATAGTTAGTTTCCATAGTTAAGTTAGTTTACCAGAGCGTAATGAATACCGCTGAACCCATTTTTTCTCAGATGTGGATTGTACACATCTGGAAAAAAAAAGCCCAGCCACAGTAGCTCCCGGAATAGTCGCGTGGTGCGTAGAGTTTCGTGGGGTTGCCATCCTCGCAGGGTGCCATGCCAGCGCTGATCATAGCTGGACAAGTTGGGAATTCCACGAAATGCATGAGGAAAGGAATGATTGATAAATATTTATAACATCCACATCATATGTTATAGTAACATAGTAATTGTCTTTTCAGTGCGTAGTCCTATAGACTTGGAAACGTGAATAAAGCAAATGGTATCACATGATTACACCGTTTTGCATTCAATGTTGAAAGCCCGGAAAAAAATCTGAGGCGGTACACCAGCCATATTTTTTCCAAGGTCGTTTTTGAGGGGGCTTCATTTGCTATCTACTAAAAATCATAGACTAGGCCTAGCAAGGATCATTTTGGCATATCTTGGCCAATCATGACAGCCCCCATGAATCTCTCCCAGAATTGAAGGAACAGTTTGCAGGAAAGCCGGATATTGGATGATATTGGGGGTACTCTCTGGTAATCAAACATAACAACTGTAAATTCCATTTATAGAATATGTTCATTTTCCCATTAAAACCTCTATCTATAGAGGAGTCTCCGATTTTCCATTGGCACCTTTGATTTTTTGGGGGCAACCACCATGGTTTCCGTAGATGTTCCCTTCCCTTGTCCTGAAGCCCTGCGAGAGTCACAGCAACAAAGACCACCTGGTCCGGTTTGGAACATTGGGTCTGTATCGACGGTGTATAGTGTTTGCTGTACATGGAATAATCTGTCTACCGTATATATTTCATGTACCAGTATCTAATATACTTGTGTATATATACGTATACATATATATATATGTGTGTGTGTGTAAAAAAATATAATGCATAGGCATAATCATGCTGATAAATATACATACATATATACACTGTTATACATATATATATATACATACTGTTTGTGGGATGATGTTTTTTATTATGACCCCCCAAGGCTTGGGCACTGGGATGGTTTGTGGCAGTGGGTTTGCCACGTTACAATCTGTTCATCTAAGCTGCGAATGGAAGCTGACAGAAACGAAACCACGAGCAAAATTTGGCTCTTGTCCCCCACTTTTCCGGCTGAATATTCCTTCTTTCGGGATGAGGAAAAATATAGGGAAAAACATAGCTGGTTGGTGGTGCAATAACCATCTTGAAAAATCTGAGTTCGTCAACGGGTTTCGGATGACATCCCATATATGAAATGGAAAATAAAAGCCATGTTTGAAACCACCAACCAGCTACATATAAAACATCTTCTGAAAGCACCGGCCAGCAACCCATCCAAAGATGTAGACCAACACGCAGTAGCAGTCAGTGCACCTGTGCTCAGATTTTTTTTCAATGCAAGCCCTGGTAACCGGGTGGCAAATGAATGTTCATCCCCAGCAAATATGGTGTTTTAATCCATCATATCCATCATATCCAGTGGATGGTTGGTGAAGTCCTGCACCAGTTGATGGTTTATGCCATTATAATCCCATTCTCTCTATATATATATAGTGTTTCATAGTTCCCACTGACTTACTGGTGCAGGATTTCACAACCATCCGCCAAATAAATGAGGTAGATGCCATTGAGTCAATCTTGAGGCCCGTGGTCCCCAGGCTCGACGATCGACAAACATCATCTGGACATGCTGCGGGCTTTCTACTTTGGGACCAGAAGTTGGGACAAGCTCCACGTGTCATAAAAATATCAGCCCATTTCCGGGGGGAATTTTGGTCCTGGTTTTCAACATGGCCAAAATATATCAACATACATGAGAATCCGATAAAATTTACAAAATTTAAAACGTTATAACACAGGTCTCTCAAACACAAAAAAAACACTGGACTGGAATTCTCTTCGAAAATCAGAACATCGGAAAATCATAGAGTTTTTCTTGGGTTTAGGCCGAGTTATCATCCATTTTTTGCAGCCAAAGGAGCCCTCGCGACTTGACCTGATTGAATGGTCAAAAACCCAACCCCCATCCTCCCAAAATATGGTGCAATTAATGGGTGTTGATCATATTTCACATACTTAATTTGATATTTTTTCGGTTGGGAGGATGGGAAAAAACATCCAATTAAAATATGATAAAATCATGGTTTTATGATCCAATTATAAGGGTTTTCCTTCGATTGTCCTTCTCAATCAATTTCATTAATTAGTGAGAAAAATATATTTTCGTTGGTAAACACGCGGACACCCCATACGTCATGATGAAAAAAACTGAGAAAGGGGTGTCCTTGAATTATGGTCTATGTTGGATGCAAGACATGGGGTATCGGCATTGACAAGTCTCTCCTACATCAACCCAGTCATTGGCGAAACCAACCCAAAGAAAAAACAAACAAACATCTGAAAAACATCTGAAAAACATCTGAAAACTAATATGAAACATTATGGAAGCCCAAACTGGATATGGGCCGATGTTTTTCCAACATAGTTCAAATTGCAGTGTTCAACGCAGAACATCCGGAATGCCAACCCGATGTCCCGATTGAACGTGTGTCATCATGCCAACAATATACCGCATGATATGTGCTCAATGATTCAAAGCTGGTAAGGGGAAGACGTCATTTCAAAAGGTAAATCATATGTAAGATATTGTAGATTATATTAGATTGTCTAAAACTAGGGTATCCATGGGTATCCCCATTCCTTCCAATGGTTTATCATAAGTTTCCTTGTATCAAAATGGTTGGTACATGGGGATACCCAATTCTCAGACCTACCCATATTGGGTCCGGTGGGTTTTTCTATCGCCAATCCAGGCAACATCGCTACGATATGTTGTGTACATTTGTTAAGAGTTACTAAGAGTTATTGACAATGAGTGAGTTCCGGTGATTCAACAGTTGTTAACAGTTTGCCATGGTTTCGTAGTTAATTAAATCAATTAGCAAAAATCACCTATAAAAATGGGCCATGGCTTCCATAGCAGAATTTTAAATTGCCGGATGGAAAACACTACCATAAGAACCCACCATTTTTTGGGGCAAGCGGTTGTAGCTTTTCCGATATCCCCCATTCGTATCCATTCCTAATCATCCAGAGTCATTCGGGGGAAAAAAACAGTTCCGCAAAAGGGGTACCGAGCACACATTATATCAAAACATATGGCTATGAGTCAAAAGCCGGGCACCTTAGGTACCCCAGAATAGTTGTTTTATATACATGTTTATTCCCCTAAATGTGGTAATAGGTATTGACCCATCCCAATTTTGAATTATACGGTACCACATGACCAACAATTTATCATTGGAGGTTGTAGCAAGCCCCTAAAACCACCAGGGCCTGGTATGTACCCGCAGACTAAGATAGCTGGGGAAAAGGCCAAGGAATGTAGAGGATTTAAAACCTATTAATTAGACATCGTGATTTTCCTAAGGCTATGTTAAATTGCTCAAGGGTAGAAAGTAATATGTGAAACTAGACCAAACAGTTCGCCATATTCCAGTCACAGAAAAATTGTCGCGGTACACTTTTGATGGCACTTTAAAAAGTCGCCAAAGCAAAGGGTTGGATGTACTGTGGATATGTTCTATAGATTTCTAAGTGGTACCGGTATCATAGCCTAGTTAGGGACTGCGAAAGTCATGGGATTTACCCTCTGGTAAATTAACATAGCGAACTGGAAAATCACCATTTTATAGTTGGGTAAATCAACGAACTTTCTATGGGCCATTTCCAATAGCAAACTGTTAGTCATTACCGGAGGGTATTCCATGTATAAACCATCATATATATATATATCCCATTGTAGCATTATAGCATCCTGGGTCTCATTTTATATATATATATATTTATGACATGTTTCAAACCACCAAAGGATTTGTGCAACCTCATTGTTTTTAGGGAACGTTGTGATCCAACACTTGGAAGGGCCCTGAGGCCGTGGCTGGCCAAGGCGATCCGCTCTCAGTGAGGTTGGCCTCGGCGATGCGAAAGCATTCTAGTCACCCCAGTTCTTTTTTTGTTTCTTAAAGTATGCATACAGACATGCAAATACATACATGTATATAGTATACATATGTATATATATATAATTATGTATATATATATATATGTATATAATTATGTATATATATATATATATATCTGTCTATCTGTCTATCTGTCTATCTGTCTGTCTATCTATCTATCTATCCATCCATCTATCTATCTATCTATCTATCTATAGTGGAGAAAAAACAAACACAGCAAGATAAGATTTACCCTGGCTTAAAAACCCATCACAGCCCTCGCGATCAGGGGCTTTTGCTCATAAGATGTTGCAGTGATAGTGGCAACCCAAGTCTAGTAGGGATACACTGTGGGCCTGTCCCGTGAAAAATCATCTGATCTGGAGGGATGCACACAAAAGGCCCTAGGCATGATGACTGACCAACACATCACACATATGATGACCTGCCCAATGAGGCAGCATTGGCGTCCAGAAATCTTGATCACTGATCCCAGCAAAGCAGTCACTTTTGGTGACAACTCGGAGATTTTCAGCAGTGAAAACTATGGAGATAACCCACTACTAGACTACAAGTCTCGTATCATATATGCTATGGTCACAAGATGGGATTATTGTGGTATGGTTGTCCAGACCATAGTGGAAATCCTTACAATGGATACACAGAAACCCTATCATGATGACCATCCCCCATTGTGGGTTGGGGCTCTTTGGCCACTGACCATCTGAAGAACTGTTTTCGAGCGTTTTGAAGTGTAGCATTTTGTCGCTCAAAAATTGTAGCTGTACTGCAAATGTGTACAACCTTAATGTATGTAAGCACGCAGGGGCACATGGGGAAAGTGCATATATCATATTCACTTACAAGATAAACGTCTTGTCAAACCATGTGCCGGTCGTATTCTTTACATGCATCACCAACAAAAACACACACAGCATATGTTTCCCCAAGAATTGGCTTCAGGAATGATAGGTTCCCCCCTTGGAGCCGCGGGACATTTTCAGCTTCCTCGGCCATCTCCAAAGGTGGCCTGAGTGGAGGAGCTGAAGTGGATCAAACAAAAAAAACAAACCTACAAGTTGATGCCCCGTAGTTATCCATAGTTAGCTAAGTTGGTTTAAAACTTCAGTAACTAGGGTGTATGATATATATATATATATATCCAAAGTTGCTCTGGTTTATAAACCAAACAATAACCGCGGCGGGCACCAGCTTGTACAAGGTGGTGCCCCCAAACCATCTATAAGTGGTCTAATGGGGATATATGAGGATAACATATGAATATAATAAGATACAATCCTCCTTAGCTGTTGGGTTTCTGGCAAAGATATAATAATATACTAATATATACTAATATAATAATCTAATAATATATATATATACTGTATATATATAATTTATATATATAATGTATTTTTTAAAAAAAAATATAATTATTACCCAACCATAGTTCATGAAGGTAAAACAAAACCAACTCACTGGATCTCACTGGGGTTTTTTTGGGGGTCCAGCAATCCCAAACTTTTTTGGGACTCTGTTGAGGTGTATCCTCCCCATCGATTAAAATGCCACACTTTGACCCCGAAAAAAAAAAAAGCCGCAGGTCAGAGGAAAGTCTGAAAGTCGTCTGCCAACCCCTCCAACGAGTTTGGCGGCTTTGTTGATGTTTGTTGATGTTTGGTGGTATCCAACATTATCCAACTCATCACTCCCCCAGCGGCTCCAGCGCCTGGATTTCCTGGATTCCACGAATCCACGGCTGGACTGGAATGCAACTGCTGATGTTGCTGACTGCACTGTGACTGATCGCTAGATCTTGATGCGAACCATGAGTTCTGTTCTTGGGTCGATCCGTGAGAACAAACAGATGGTGCCCAGCTTTGAGCAGCTGCGAGACACAAGCTAAGTAGCAACGCAAACCCTGGCACTCAGGGAGCCTTTAAACCAAGACAAGCGCCAAAACTTCTGGACGTGCCGAGATAAGCCGAAACAAATAAAGGAATAATAGGGATCCGTACCGGTCGGTACCTTTTTTAGCCGCCAGATCTGACCTCATGAAAGCCTGGCCCCAATGAACTATTTGTATAATATCAACATATGCAGCATATATGAGCCATAGCTGGCCACTGGCAAGAACCCAATAGAACCTAATCAGTTCTCACTGGCCCGGACTTAGACAGTGATGACTACAAGGTGGGGCCCAGTTATAAGTTGCTCTAGAAACCCATTAGCTCCCCTGAACCCTGGTTCATCAAGTTATAAAGTAAACTTAGCTATTTTTTGTGGCCCCACCTTGTAGTACTTGCTGAAGTTCTTGTACCTAAATCGTTGGCACATCCCCTTCCAATCCTTCCATCCCTACACTTCTTTTCCACAAAACAGCGGGAAACATCTGGCCTGCAGACACGATCGATGACACAAGCCGGGCTGGCAAAACGCTGCGGGCGCAACAAGCGGCACATCAACCGTGCTGTTTTCTCGAGAGCATCCCACTGAAAAAAGAAAATGTTTCGGTTTTGGGAGATTTTGGGAGGCCTTTCTAAACGATCGTCGACATGAAGTTGACACCCGGGGATGTTCAATTATTAATTGGTTCTTTTCTTCTGGCCTTGATGAACAGAATTCTGTTTAGATACTCAGATACCCTCTGGCGATTTCACCAAGCAATTCAGAGTTCAACACAGTTACGACATGTTACTCCTTTGAATTCCCTCCAATTCAGATGTTCTTTTCAAACTGGATTTCCATCAACTTGTTATGTTTGATTCCCGCAGCCATCACACCTTGATTGGCAAGGTGCTTGAGGATCCTACGATGATCCTACGGTGAAACGCTCGACGTTTGACGGTGGTTTCGTAACGAAGCCCGCACCTTGGGGATTGAACCACCCGACCGGTGATGCTCCCATGGATTCGCAAGATCTGATAGTGATTCTTGGTGGCTGAATAAGCCATATTTGATCATATTGGTATATTTGGGGATGGGTCAACACCTATTGATTCTCCCAATCACATAAATAATCGAATAAACCCTGGTTGAATCCTGGCGCCTTTTGTGAAATGGCCTTGGGCCGGAAGCATCGCACTTTGAGGCACCAACCAAGTTCTGAACTGGCGTGAAACTGACATGTGATCCCTGAGATTCCCTCACGGCGCCCGCTCAGACTGTCAGCCCTCTTCCCATCGTCATTTTCCCAGCGAACTAAACTATAACCCCGCCAGAAGGGCGGTTCTTTCTGGGAATTTCATGGAATTTCCGAGCGAGTCACCTCATGACAGTGTCATGACATCGGAGGTTTTTCACATGATCAATATTACCATGTGCTTGCATTCTTTTGCGGAGATTTCCTAGATTTCCTAGCCGTCCTAGCCAGGGATTGTCATGACATCACAGGTTTTTCGTCACATCTGCTGGCTGACCATCAAGTTCTCTTGCACCGTCTCGTTCAAGTGGTTGATAATCTCTTGGCAACGTTGTCGCATGAGTTCCTGGAGCCGATCGAGTGCGACTTTTCCGTCAACACTGGGTTCGGCGGCAAGGAAAAATTGATACTACGTGGATAATAACAAACGAACAAACAAACAAACATACAAACATACGATGGGGCATACTGCCTGCCATTTTTCAGAACTGGGGCCGTAAGTGGGGGATCTGAAACCATCAGGCTGTTTTTCTCATTCGATTCATGGGTCGTACTTGGCTTATGGGCCACTTGAGATTCCCGGGACGCACTCCCAAGTGGCAAACAATTACTTTAACAAATCACAGAATCTTGCAAAAGATTCACAGAATCTTGCAAAATCCGCTAACATAGCAGTACAAACTACCCTTTTTGTGGCAATTGTGAGATCTACATACAAGGGAACATTAATAACACATGTAACATGTCTTATGGCATCGATTTTGACTGAGTCGGGCTCCCAAACAGTTTTTAACATATTCCGAGTGGGTTATGCCTGGTTCGTGCTTAATTAAACCCGATCATCTAGCTATTCATTCCCCCATTCTCGGGGATGCTTTACACATCTATACCATTCTATAGCTATAAATCATGATAAATCAATACATCTCACATGTCCTCCAACCCACCTGGACTCTTGGCCAGGACTCTTCGTGCACTATCTGATTCTGAAATCTCAGAGAGACCTCCTGGAGCTTTCGGTCGAGATGTGTCCATTGCTGTCGCCGCCGTACCGCCGGCGTCATCCCGCCGCCGGACTCGCCGGAACCTCCGGGCGGTCGCCGGGATGGGGGGCGAAACCATGGCGGTTTCGCCATGGCGGAAACGATCAAAATCAGCTGGGGATCAATCACACCAAACAGGATTGAGAAATAATTGATCCCAATCAAAAGTGCTTTTAATTGGAACTTAAATATCTTCAATAAGTTTAAAGCACTTGAACAATGTTGAGACTGTCGCCCGAAGCATTTTTGGATCGAGGATGCAATGATCAATGTACCCCTTCCGCTGGAACCTTGCTGGAATATTTGAACAGCGTGAACAGTTTAAAGTTTAAAGCGAACATTTCCAAGAAGCCAGCGGAATCATGCGGAATCCCGGTGATTTCCCGACTGAAAACCCATAGTTTAACTGCACATGTTCCCACAATTCAACTGTTGGAAGAACTTCCGTCCTACGCGTTGCCGCAGGAAATCTGAAGCCGTTACGGACGTCGTTGCGTCCTGTACTCCTTCAGGGGTGGTGGGTCGCATCCCGCCAAAATGACGACCTCTCAATGGACAACTGGTTTTGTTGGGAAAATCTTCACCACAAAGCCTGGTTTTTTCTATCTAAATATGGGGTTTGCGATAAATTTGGAATCTCAACCAGTCATCATCTGAAATAAAATCTGATTGCTGTGTTTTCTTTTTTCTGCGGGATCCTTTTGAGAAAAAATAAATTGTGGGCCGCTTTGGCAAATTAGTTTGAAAGAATAGATTATAGATTATTAGCTTAGTTAATCCAAAACCACATGTGGTTAATTCCTAGTTAATTGTTGTTTAGGTTCAGCTTAACTATTTATTACCTACCGATTGGTTTTTGACTGGGGAGAAACCTATTCATCAACCAATCAGTGGAAAAAGATGGAAAAAGGACATGTGTGGATCTGATTGCTGGTTGAGTGCAATATCTCTACGCCCTGACTTAGTCCCCGAATACTCTTCATGTCTCGAACATGATATTCCCGCCGGAGGTATATCCTTGCTCACGAAATGAGAGTTTTGTTTAGAACAATCATCATTTCACCACAGCGCCAACGATTTTTTTAATGTTGGTTTCGCATGATTTGGGGATCTCAGATGTTCGCTGCGTCATGCACTGCTTTATCGGTGACACTCATCAAATCTTCACCAGTATTTTCCCAGATGCGTGTCAAATGTTACATTACATGCAAGTGTTCAGAACGTAGCATCAAGATCGTGTTTGATGTTACATGAACGTGTTCAGAACGTACCAGTCGTACCAAGAGCGTGTTAGATGTTACGCAAGATCAAATTTAGTCCCCCTACCCACCCCCGATCTTCAGAGCGTAGTGTCAAGAGCGTGTTAGATGTTGCATGCCAGTGTTCACGGCGTGGAATCAGGAGTGTATTAGACATGTTACATGAAAGTGTGCAGAGTGTTGCATCTAGAGCGTGTTAGATGCTTCGCAAGCTCATAGAACGTCATTAGCTCCATTTAGCTCCCCCCCACCCCCCCATGTGCGAACATGAGAGATATCTATGGCAATCATCATCCCATGTTGGATGATCGACAGATCCCTGGGTGCCTTGAGCATCATAATTTTACCATATGTCCTTCCATGACACTGCTATATATATTGGGTGGTGCATCTGCCATTTCTGCAATCTGGATCCATTTGAATAGTTAAATCTCTGCTGATTGGCGGTTAACTTCCTATTTTCGTTGGTTACATCAGATAGGTCAAATTCCAATTGGTGTGGCTTAAAGCAGCCGTTCTACGGGACAAATTCGGATGTTGTTCCATTTTTCGCTAGATCAACAAATTCAGTGGGTCAAAGCAACAATTGCCACTGGCTGAATTATCATAATTCACCAACGTGAAAATAACCGTTACCCTCTGGTAAACTAACATAGCTATTGAAAATGACCATTTATAGTGGATTTTCATGGATTTTCCCATTGAAAATGGTGATATTCCATTGTTATGTTAGTTTACCAGAGGGTATCATACGGCCATTTGGGGATGATTCCCCTTACTAACAGTAACGTCACAGTGAAGTCAGGATCAAATTCATGCAGATCTATGGCCTATGGTTTTTCATGGCCACTCAATCCCAGGAAATCACCATTAAATCACCAATAAATCCCATTAACCATTAACCCCCCTTAAATCACCAAGAAAAACACCATTAAATCGCGAAATCCCACTAAATCACGATGAAACCACCATGAAAAATCCCCATAAATCACCATAAATCACCATTCAATCACCAACCCCCATGGTTTGCCGTCCTTTGGAGGACTCGGCTTCCGGCAGGCGCTCCGCCGTAGGCGCATCGAGATCGATGACCGGTTCCGTTGGCTGGAGACGTTTCGAGAAGGCGAGCAGACGGTCAATCTCGGCCTCCACGATCCCCACTGGAAAACCGGTGAATTTTGGGGGATTCCCAGTAAACATTACTGGTGGCTCAAAAGTAGGTTACTGGTTGGTGGTTTCAACCCCTCTGAAAAATATTAGTCAGTTGGGGTTACTATTCCCAATATATGGAAAAACAAAAAATGTTCCAAACCACCAACCAGGTTAGTTCACCATAGTTCTTTTGAGTGGATTAAACCTACTTAGCCCACTTATAGGATCTATAGGGATATAACATGATATAACCTACGAGTACTTTTAATTCGTAGCATGAGCAACGAAGAAATTGAGCATTTTGAGCAACAGAGCTGCCATAAACCTTCCACGTGGGGATGCTGCTATACACGTACCACCCATGAAGATGGTGATGACTTGGGGGTGGTTTATAAAGCCTATGGCATTGGGTTTACCACATTTACAGTAACCATTCAGAAATTGGATTGAACCATTCAGAAATGGGATCAAACTAACAAACAGTTGGGTTGAAGGGGTTAACCCAGTCAAAGCCAAGAACACATGACGAGGGAACCAAGAAAATTTGGGATTCAAGTTGAGATACCTTCTGGCGTTCCAACCAATGGAAACGCTACGATATGTATAGATGATCCGTCGATTGAAACTTAGAATGTTCCACTTTTGTTTCCCTTGCCATGGTTGATGACTACGAAGCCATGAGCCGCCCACATGGCTTGGCGACTGCCTGGAGCTCGGCCAAGCTGGCTCCGTCTCTGGAAATCTGTCTGGAGGAAAAGCCTGTTTGGCCATCCAAGCTGCTTTGCGAGAACGAGAGTCTCAACGGGGGCTTGGACACACGTGAGGTCGCTTGCCATTTCCTGAGGCGCCGCCGGAACAACGGGGCAAAGTCGCAAAGGAGGACTGGTTTTTCAACTTTGGAAGTTTCAAGGTGTTTCCAAGCAATGCTGTTTTAGAACGGAAAAAATTGGTTGGTGGTTGAGCAACCCCCGGAACAAATGAGTCCTTGCGGACTAACATTGCAATCCCGTGTGCAAGTGCTAAATGAATCATGTCTGAACCACCAGCTAGAGGGAATAAGACACAAAACGGGTAACTCTTAGCAGCTCCTTATTTCCCATTGAATAGAGAATATGGATATCCAATAGCTCTCTTCACCGTGCCCTCCATTCACTACAAAATGAGCCAGGAACCAAAAAAACACAACACAGCACCACAACCTTTTCAAGCGCTCAGTGTCTGTTTCACCTTGCCACCAGCTTTTTCCAGCCCTGGAATTTTGCACAGCAAGTCCAATTGATCGTGCATCATCTGGGTTTGCTCTCTCAAGGCCATCATCACCTCCTGTACCGCGAGCACGGAATCGCCCACCCATGGACCCAGCCCGTGGAGGTTGAGTCATATAACCCATATCCCAAAAAGTGTAAATTCTACTAAAAAAACCCTCAGACAAAATGGGAGAGTCACATCACACCAAATAGTGGTTGGTTATGTTTATCTCTTCTGCATTTTGTATTCCTCGAATTGGGAAACCCACATTTTCCAGGGGCTTCCCGTATACTAGCAAAAGTGTCCTGTTCGACGATCTTCTTTAACTCAGCTTGCGAATGCCTGCGGCGGTTCAAAAATCTTCAAATTTTGCAGCACAAAAACGTGTAGCTATCTGAACATGGGAGGTTTCCCACCAGTTTCTGGCCATTTGTGATTGTTTGTGATTGGTTGTGATCAACCCTTCTTGGATGTGCATCCCAGTTTATAAATGGTTTTTTTCACCACATTATAATCCAGTAATATCAAAATATATGTAACTATACAGTATATTAATACACTATATATCATGATAAAATCATATACATTTTTTCTTTCTATATATATACACACACATATATATATATATATATATTATATTATGATATGTATACCATGTCCAGTTCTAGCTTGGTCCAGTGCCTGGTCATGGATGCCAAGACCAAGGGGTCTCTCTTATAGAATTTTCCCAACTCGGAGCAAAACTCCACGTAGTCCACTTCGCCCGAGCCGTCCGCGTCCATGGCGTTAAAAAGAGTTTGCAAGTCTGACTTCTCCTCGATTTGATGCTTAAAAAACATAGTTTAAAATAAAGGAACGAAATTAAATTGATTTTTTTTGCATTTATTTTTTTGTCGTCCAGGCTCCCTTCCTTGGTTTTTGCAGCTAAAATCTTTCATTTGCTGCATTTTTGTAGCTAAAATCTCTCATTCGCACTGTTCATCAATTTTCCACTGGTTTCAGGATTTGGTTCAATGGTTTTTATCGAGTTTTCCATCGTTTTCATTGGTTTGTCCATGATTTTCTTCAATTTTTCCATGGTTTTCTTCACTTGTTCTATAGTTTTCTTCGATTGTTCCATGGTTTTTTCCCATTTTTGAATGGTTTTCTTCAATTTTTCTATGGTTTTCTTCGATTGTTCCACGGTGCTCTTCCATTTTGCAATGGTTTTCTTCAATTTTTCTATGTTTTCTTCAATTTGTGAATGGTTTTCATTCAGTTTTCAATTGTTTTCATTGATTGTTCCAGAGTTTTCATTGATTTTTACATGGTTTTCATTGTTTTTTCCCGATCTTTTCATTTATTCTTGGATATGCACGATGTGCAAACTATAAATTGTAGATGAAAAGGGGCATATACGCATGACTAATCATGACTATATGTATATGTAAATCAGTGTATTTACACGTGTATTTAACATATATATATATATATGTGTGTGTGTGTATATGCAGAGTCTGGTTTATGGTTTATTTACGATGGGTTTATGGTTTCTTCTAGATTTGTTTAGGGTCTTTTTGGGTTGGGAAAAAGGTTTCTTTAGACTGGTTTAGGGTCTGATCAGGGTTTGTTTAGGGTTGGATTAGGGGGTATTTAGGGATACCAGTAGTACCGCACAAGGCGGTGGCGGAAGTTTCAAAAATAGGAAACCTATAGGAGAGGTTGGTTGTTGTCAATCACGGATGCCAGGGCGAATCCACTGATGGACCCACAGGTGGTTGGGGAGTTGTGTTTCTTGGAGCGGTTGCAATGGTTGCAGTGGTCACCTCACCACGACTGCTGGATGTAGTGTGGTGCAGCGCAGTTGCAGTTGTAGTTGTAGGTGTAGTTGTACTTGTAGTTGCAGCTGCAGTTGTAGTTGTAGTGTAGTGCAATCTAATCAGTGTAGCGTAGTGTTGTGTAATGTAGCGTGGTTGTAGTTGTAGTTGCATTTGTAGTTGTATTTGTAGTTTTAGTGTGCTGCAGTGCAATTAGCGTAGTGTAGTGTAGTTGTAATAGTAGTTGTAGTTGTGGTAGTAGCTGTTGTTGTAGTTGTTAGTGTAATTAGATGTAATTAGTGTAGTGTAGCGTACTGTAGCGTAGTATATTTGCACTTGTAGTTGTAGCAGTAGTGTTGTGTAGTGTAGTGGCAGTTGTAGTTGTAATTGTCTATCTATCTATCTATCTATCTATCTGTTTGTCTGTCTGTCTGTCTAACTGTAAGCTTGAAAACGCAGCAAATCTGCGAGACTTCCTCAATTCTTGAACCTGACAACATCAAAAACGAAACAATTCTACGATACTTCCTCAAATTTTGAACTTGACAACATCCAAAACGAAGCAATTCTGCGAGACTTCCTCATTTTTGGAACTTGACACCACCCAAAACGAAGCAATTCTGCGAGACATCCTCATTTTTGGAACTTGACAACATCAAAAACGAAGCAATTCTGCGAGATTTCCTTCAAAAATGGAAGTGCAGAGCTGACGGCTTCGTACCAATGCGTTTTGCGATTTTTCCACTCCACCTGTCTAAAGTACTGTGCCCGCCACGAAAAAGTGATGCCAGGTCATACGAAGTGCTGCACCTGTCATGCAAAATCATCTTAGCAAACCTACAGATCTGATGCTCCAAAATGCAACCCTTCTCAGGAAATCAGCGCCCTGACCTCCTAACAGCTCTGATGGACATGTCTCTTGCACTGCGCCTGCCAGGGAAAAAGCATCTTTGCAGATCCTCTTCAAATGCCCCACGCCTGCCATCGTTTTTGGAAATGCTACAAAACCCTCACGTTTTGCTCAACAAGGTGCACAATCCCTTGCGCCTGCCACGCAAAACGAGGCTTCAACGTCCAAAAGTGGCGCCTACATGTGGTGTTTTGTAGATTTTGACTCGGAAATGTGCTTCGCGCAACAACGGCGTGCACTTTTTCGACATCTCAACTTCCAAAAGTGTTTTTAACATTTTGACTTGGGAATGTGCTTCGCGCCACAGCCGCGTTCACTTTTTCGACATGTCAACTTCCAAAAGTGGTCCGAACATGTCCGAACATGGTGTGCTTTGTACATTTTGACTTGGAAAGGTGCTTCGCGCCATATCGGCATGCAATTTTTCATCTCTCATCTGACCACATAGCTCCGCAGCCGCCGCTTTAGCGAGCCTACTTTTCGAGCCTCCGGAGCCACAAATCATTGGAAAAACACAAGTGTTTCGCGACTTTCCTACCTTTTCGCGCGCCTGGATCTTCTTTCTTCGGAGACTTTCTCTTTTTGATCTTCTTTCTTCTTCTCTTCTCTGACTCTTCCCATCTCTGCTTTTCATCTGTCCATATTGTCGGAAGTTTGGCTTCTAAACTTCCTTCGTCAACATGTGCATACAAATAGCTATAATTATGTGGCTGCATATCCATGCGCATGATTATTTATAGTTCATTTTGGGATGAAAGCTGTGTAAATAAACAACCATTAAAAGAATCATATATATATTATATATATATATGTATGTGTGTCTACATCTACAAGTATATGTGTACGTGTAATTTTACCTAAATGTATATATATATATGTGTGTGTGTTTATATACATATATTTATGTATCTATCTAAATATCTATATGCATATTTAAAAGTATATATAAATATATATATATATATGTAATTATATGTATATTGATGTATAGGTAAATATACATATATATATATACACATATACTGCACCACATGCACCCTGGAAACATGTGGGATGTAGGTTAAGGCACAACGATGCACAATAGCTTCATTGGATGTTATCATCGTGTTGGCTTAAGATCTCTTTATATGAGGTTGGTGTACTGTATATTCTGGCTTGGTTCAGGGTTGGCTTGGGCTTTGAACATCATCTAGATGATAGTGCAGACTTTTTAGATAGTTAGATAAAAAGATAGATAGATAGATAGGTAGATAGATAGACAGATAGACAGATAAGATAGATAGATAAGATAGATAGATAGATAGATAGATAGATAGATAGATAGATAGATAGATAGATAGATAGATAGATAGATAGATAGATAGATAGACAGACAGATAGATAGATAGATTAGATAGATAGATAGATAGATAGATAGATAGATAGATAGATAGATAGATAGATAGATAGATAGATAGATAGATAGATAGATAGATAGATAGAAAGATAGATAGATAGACAGACAGACAGACAGATAGATAGAGATAGATAGATAGATAGAAAGATAGATAGATAGATAGATAGAAAGATAGATAGATAGACAGGCAGACAGACAGACAGATATAGAGATAGATAGATAGATAGATAGATAGATAGATAGACAGATAGATAGATAGATAGAGAGAGAGAGAGAGATAGAGAGATAGAGAGAGATAGAAAGAGATAGAGAGAGATAGATTTAGATATAGACATAGATGTTGATGTTGATGTAGATGTAAATCTAGATATTTAAATATAGATAGATATAGACATAGATATAGTCATAGATATGGACATATCTATATATATATAATATGATATATGAAACAGATATAGATATAGATTCAGATATAGATATAGATAGAGATAGATGGACCTGCATCTAATGCGCAACATGCACCTGGTGAACATGCTTCACTGATAGATTGATCGATAGATGATAGATGAACCATAGGAGCCATAGAAGCCATAGAAGCCACCAGGAGCCACCAGGAGCCGCGGAAGCCACAGAAGCCACCAGGAGCCACCGGATCCACCAGGAGCCACCAGGAGCCAGGACCGTAGAAGCCACAGAAGCCACGAAGCCACCAGGAGCCAGGACAAAAAAAAATGCCCCCCCCTTAAAATCATATGAAAGAAATTAAGTGAATCATTCCCCCAATATTCATCAACATTCCCAAAAATGTATACCATCTTCCCAATGGATTCCCTTTTAATCATCTTCGCTAGATTCCATAAAATACTTCCTACGTAGATTTCCTGAATAAATAAGTTGATTCCCGGAAAATTCTCCAGTAAAATGCTGGAATTGCCAATGGGAATAACATCGGCTTATTCAGCAACTCAGCCGCCATCCCGCATTCGGTCATCACTGCATGCCTCGTCGAGCCAGCATGCTGAACCGTTTAAGGAATCATCATGCCATTTTGGGGGACGAATGGGAGAAAAATATGGAAAATACGTGTTTGATATTGTTTGACGTTGTTTCAAGAAATATATGTTTGAAAGCGCCTTTACACATACCATATCATACCATCATGTACCATCTATTTACTGTACTTGTATTCCTTCGTGGTTCCTACCGAGCATGGCATGGTTCCCGCGAAATTGCTCACCAAAGGGATCACACTTACATCATGTTGTTGGAGTATCCATTTGGATTGAGGTCGCCCCGCGTTGCCAAAAAAAACGGCACAGTGCAGCAGTAACTCATATCCGAGAATTGACACTCCCCAAAATATCTGAAACAAACAAATTATAATTACCAAAGATGAGGGTGGAAACTTGAAAACTGCACAACTTCCAATCCAAAGACATCTTCGGCTCTTGTTCATATCCCAAGATCATCTCCTCCACAGAGAGGGTGCCGCTAGCATCCAAATCCATGCGGTCGCAAAGCAAAGCGAGCTCGATCATATTTCGTTCCCGCTCCAATTCCTTTTGCCTCACCTTGCGGTGACCCCGCGAGGAATAGTGAAGATTCACCCTGTGATCTAACCCACCAGCCAGAGAAGTGTCCACACCATTTATTAATCTCTAAGAAAAATTCCCCATTCCTTTGACACACCCACATCCTATTGGTCATATGTCCCAACTGATTACCTCCCTCCCATTAAGTCACATGAAATCCCATTATATACTACTTCCCCCCTAATCTTATTTCAAACACTCCCCAGAAACCATTTGGGACCAGTCCCAGATCTGGTGGTGCTTTTCTTGAATGGGAAATGGGATGAAATCCTAAACGGACATTTCTTGGGGACCCACGCGGGCCCAAAGAAAACAGAGCCCTTTGACATGGCCTTCTCCTCCAAGTTATCTTGCCGCGCTTGGGTGGCCTTCTCTACAATAACTGCCTAGCTTGGAACAAGCTGAGAGCTACTGCTATGACTGGAATATTTGGCGGTATAGCCATTATCGTAACCACATAGCATACGATAACTTGATGGAATTTATGTGTTCTTAAATATGCTTGATCATATGGGGGCTATAACGGGATATACTCTCCGGCAATCAAGCATAGCGGGCCGTCGGGAAATTCCCTCCAAAACTGGCATGTAAATGGGGACATCATCGAACTAAACGGTGCATCTTCCACTGCCATGATCAATTTCCAGAGGGTAACCAGCATTACAACCACAACAAGTTGGGACATAACCCCTGCAAGTATGCTTAGTAAATCACCCATACATCTATAATCAGAGGAAGTTGGGCAGCAATCTTCCGAGTTAGTGACAAATAGGATGATGAGACTCCACATCACATAACAATACATTCAAAGAAGGGTGGTGTGAGACTGTGGTGTGAAATTCAATACACTCAATGAAGGGTGGTGTGAGGCTGTGGTGTGAGACTTCACATCACATAGCAATACACTCAATGGAGGGTGGTGTGAGACTGTGGTGTGAGACTTGACATCGCATAACAATACACTCAATGACGGGTGGTGTGAGACTGTGGTGTGAGACTTGACATCACATAACAATACACTCATTGGAGGGTGGTGTGAGACGGTGGCGTGAGACTTGACATCACATAACAATACACTCAATGAAGGGTGGTGTCAGACTGTGGTGTGAAACATTACATCACATAACAATACACTCAACGAAGGGTGGTGTGAGACTGTGGTGTGAGACTTGACATCACATAACAATACAATCAATGAAGGGTGGTGTGAGGCTGTGGTGTGAGACTTGACATCACATAACAATACACTCAATAAAGGGTGGTGTGAGACTGTGGTGTGAAACTTGACATCACATAACAGTACACTCAATGTTGGTGGTGTGAGACGGTGGCGTGAGACTTGACATCACATCACAATACACTCCTGTAATGCTGGGTTAGCCACGTCACGCTGCAAAATGCATTGCGATGGTTGCATGAATGTTGCATGGGGCTTTGTGACGGGGAGGAAGCCGGAGCACGAAACCTTGTTTTTCCGTGTACAGTGGCTGCAGGCAGCGATGAAAGGTACCTCCTGTGTGGGGCGGTTGCGGTTTGGATCGTTTCGAGTTTCGAGGTCAATCGGTTCCGCCTCTGTGTTCTGGAACGAGTGGACGCAAATAGCATTGCAATGGCTGCATGGATGTGTACGTGGTGCTGCAAAACGCATTGTAATTTGCTGCATGAATGTTGCATGGGCTTGTGTTGGGGAGGAAGCCGGAGCACGAAACCTTGCGTTTTTCCGTGTAAAGTCGCTGCAGGCGGCGACGAAAGGTACCTCCTGTGTGCGGCGGTTGCGGTTTGGATCGTTTCGAGGTCAATCGGTTCCTCCTCTGTGTTCTGCAACGAGTGGTTTTTCCTGTGTGCGTAGTTCTATTCGTTTCTTGAATCCGTGGTTGCAGGTCGCATTGGAATGGCTGCATGATTGTTGTCATCTGGTGTTGCCATGTGCGTAGATACATGCGGGTTAGCCACGTCATGCTGCAAAATGCATTGTGATGGCTGCATGAATGTTGCATGTTGCATGGGGCTTGTGTTGGGGAGGAAGCCGGAGCACGAAACCTTGCGTTTTTCCGTGTACAGTGGCTGCAGGCAGCGATGAAAGGTACCTCCTGTGTGAGGCGGTTGCGGCTGCGGTCGTTCCGAGCGCAATCGGTTCCTCCTCTGTGTTCTGCAAGGCGTGGTTTTTATGTGTGTGTGAGTTCTATGCGTTTCTTGAATCTGTGGTTGCAGATCGCATTGGAATGGCTGCATGATTGTTGTCATCTGGTGTTGCCATGTGCTTAGATACATGCGGGTTAGCCACGTCATGCTGCAAAATGCATTGTGATGGCTGCATGAATGTTGCATGTTGCATGGGGCTTGTGTTGGGGAGGAAGCCGGAGCACGAAACCTTGCGTTTTTCCGTGTAAAGTCGCTGCAGGCGGCGACGAAAGGTACCTCCTGTGTGCGGCGGTTGCGGTTTGGATCGTTTCGATGTCAATCGGTTCCTCCTCTGTGTTCTGGAACAAATGGATGCAAATCGCAATGTAATGGTTGCATGGATGTGTACGTGGTGCTGCAAAACGCATTGTACATTGTAATGGCTGCATGAATGTTGCATGGGGCTTGTGTTAGGGAGGAAGCCGGAGCACGAAACCGTGTGTTTTTCCGTATAAAGTGGCTGCAGGCGGCGATGAAAGGTACCTCCTGTGTGGGGCTGTTGCGGCTGCGATCGTTTCGAGGTCAATCGGTTCCTCCTCTGTGTTCTGCAACGAGTGGTTTTTCCTGTGCGCATAGTTCCATTCGTTTCTTGAGTCGGTGGTTGCAGATCGCATTGGGATGGCTGCATGATTTTTGTCATCTGGTGTTGCCATGTGCGTAGATACATGCGGGTTAGCCACGTCATGCTGCAAAATGCATTGTGATGGCTGCATGAATGTTGCATGTTGCATGGGGCTTGTGTTGGGGAGGAAGCCGGAGCACGAAACCTTGCGTTTTCCGTGTACAGTGGCTGCAGGCAGCGATGAAAGGTACCTCCTGTGTGGGGCGGTTGCGGCTGGGGTCGTTCCGAGCGCAATCGGTTCCTCCTCTGTGTTCTGCAAGGCGTGGTTTTTATGTGTGTGAGTTCTATGCGTTTCTTGAACCCGTGTTTGCAGATCGCATTGGAATGGCTGCATGATTGTTGTCATCTGGTGTTGCCAGCCACGTCATGCGGCAAAATGCATTGTGATGGCTGCATGAATGTTGCTTGGTGCCGCGGCTGCATGCGTAATACTATAGTTACTATTGTCTTTTGCAGCTGGGCATTGTAAATTGTATTGGTGTGGCCGCATCAAGGCTGCGATAGTGATTTGTCAGCAGATGAGATCGCATTGTATACGTCAAGGTTGTTGGTGCTGTGGCTGCATAGTATCCCATTGCCCTTAAGACTCGTGCCATGTTTACCAGCCATGTTTCAGCAATGCCTTTGCACTTGCGTGCCGGTGCTGGGCGCGCGTGCACCGTATCCGATTGCATGTGGTGCTCCTGCAAGTTTTCCAGTCATGTTTTAGCAATGCCTTTGCACGTGCGAGCCCATGGTGGCCGTGCGTGCATCGTATCCGATGCCTGTGGTACTCCTGCCATGTTTCCAAGCCATGTTTACGTCAGTCCCAGCTGCCAGTGCGGGCCAAAAGAGCTGCCAAAACCTAGACATAAGCTGAAAAAGCATGCAGCTGTTGACGTTGGACTGTGTGTCTGACAGTCTACAATTAACAAAAGATATGCTGCAGTTAAGCTTTGCTGCAATGCATGAACATCTCGCGTGAGTTACCACAATACTGTAAATATAATATGGTCTAGGCGTGCAATTTGCACAAGAGCTTTTGTGTGTTAACAAAACTTTTATGGGATACGGAAGAATTGGGGAGATGAGCTAAGCTTTGTAGTGCAAAGATACTTTCTAGAGGCTTGTCTTGTGCAAAGTGTAAATGCTTCTGTGTGCTGACAGGAAGAGCTTTTCTGGCGTGCAGAACAGCTGAGATGAGTTGAGAACAACTTCGGGGAGATGAGAAAGGTTGATCAGTGCTCGGATGAAATGAAAACAGTTGAGAAGAGCTTTTTTAGATGACATGTGAGAGGCGATGGGATGAGATGAGAAGAGCTGAGATGATGTGAGAAGAGCTCACATGATCTGAGATGAGATGAAGTGTGGAGTGTGAAGTGTGAAGAGTGCAGTGTGAAGTGTGAGGAAAGTCTTCGCTTGGCGTTGCATTGCACCGGGGTCGCGCGCAGGTCATGTTCTTGGACAACATCTGTGCAACAGCTTCGCACAAAGCACGCACGAACGGGCCTGGCTGGCACACGGCGCATGCAAATTCTAGAGATGAAAAAGGTCTATATAGTATATCCCTAAGGCAACTTCCGCCCCGCCTCGTGCGGGTACTACTGGTATATAAATATATGTGTGTGTGATTGTGTGTGTATGTGTGGATATTCCATTTAATCCACAACAACAACAACAACAACAACAACAACAACAACAACAACAACAATTACAATTTGGTTATAATGTATTGTCACCGTTATCACAGGGCGGTGTAACTCATATGCCCAACTTGTTTTTTTTCGGGGATCTATTTTCGGCCCAGATATCCTGGGGAATAGTCCTTTCAATTCTGCCCTTAGCATGAGGAGAAAAAAAACGAAATTGGCACAAAATGACATCAAGAAACTAGCAGCCTAACGGTTAGAAAAAGAAAACATAAACATCGGAGAGGAAAACATCTCACTAACATCACATGGTGTCCAAAACGTCCCTCCGTCTCTCCATACGGCCATCTGCCGGGTGGCGAGGATCAAGTTCATGACACCCAGAGAGATGGTCATCATTATGGCCTCGCATCTCTGGGTGCTACCGTGCTACCTCTCGATGCTGGATCCCCCAAAAAGCCTGCCGTTGGAGGTTGCCTCCAATATCGCACCATTGGTTGCATTGGAATCATACGAAACATATCGAGAACATGTTGTAAAATGGGCAAAGGCCATGAAAAAGGTCACAACGGAAAAAAATACACCTCTCAAATACTAGCCACACACCCTAGAAATCCTACTTCACCCATCTAATTATGCATGTTGGGGTGCCATGTGCGAGGGTATACTCAAACACTAGGGGGAAGATGGGGGAAGGGATTACTTAACCTTCTGATCATCAAACATGGCAATGGAAAAGTCTTAAGTTTGAATGGGAAGATAATCCGTGAATTGATACAGTCCTAATCTTGTTTTATGGTGATTAATCATCACCATCGCCATGTTTCAAATGCCGTAAATGAGAGTATCCAGTGGTAAAATATATCAGCTCATTTCTAATATGACTAAAATGATGATTCAGTGATGATGAAATATGATGCGTACCCTCTGGTAATTTAACGTAGCTATTGAAAATGGCGATTTATAGTGCGTTTTCCCATTAAACATGGTGATTTTCCATAGTTATGTTCGTTTACCAGAGGGTATATTATGCGTCAAGTATCCCCCATGTTTTATGGAAACAGTCGCAGCATTCTCAGCACTGATTTGTTGATCCCCATCCCCTGCTAATATTTTTTTTGACGTTCAGTCGGTCATGTGATAAACCCGTTACTAACCACACGTGTTTAAAAAAAAAGTCTCGGTTGGTTAGTGGGGGTTCCCATGAATTATGCATGATGACAATTTCCAAGATACTTGGTAGTAAAATCCGCCAAAAATCATCGACAAACAGGTACAAACAGGATTCAGCAGCCACTTCTCAGGTTACCAGAATCCACCCAACCCCACTAAAATCAAATAACCGTACACCATCTCCAAATATCTCAGCCATTCATCTAAGTCTACACTTATGGCCCTTTACCAGTTGCAAGTCAATGAAATCACACCACAAAATGGAATGATAATCCCATCCAAATAATAACCATAAATTAACCATTTATGCCTGGTACATCGGGCTTGAAGTATATAATAGTATATAATGTTAGTACTTAAAGCAATAACAACCCGACCCCAATTTTACCACAAGTGCCTGGTTTCTTAATGTTTCTTATCCCGCTGTCCGCTGCCCAGGGGCGAACAAAATCACCGAGGTCCATGGCTGGGTCTCCAGCAAGGGCAGCGACATGTCACCCCAAGCGTCGCCCGCCACGATCTGCGAAAACAGGGTCATGGCGGCCGTGTACACCTGGGACGCTTGACATTGGGAGCGGACGAAAACATGTGGTTTTCGAATGGGTGAAACACACCATGGAATTGAATCATATGATTAATGATATTTATTTGTTCATGCAATGCAATGGCGATGGCAATGTAATGTAATGCAATGTAAGGTACCATAGTGTAACATAGTGTAACATAACGTAACGTAACGTAATCAATGCATGTAGATGTACATCATACAGATATCATAGCGCATCTGCAAATGTATGGATATATTATATAAATCTGATACTTACATGGGGTATATAATATTCCTTCGGGTTCTAATGAGCCTGATAGCTGCCTCTATCGATGAAGTGGGTTGTACAACTGAGGAATCACTGGAGAGGTCTCAGATGGCTGGAAAGCTTCGTTTTTGGAGGAACATGTGTTGAAACATGAAACAACTGTTGGTTGGTGAAATTGGAAGCACTTTTCGATTGAATTGAAACGCCATGGCGTCAGGAAATAAGAGAAATAAGTCTGTCAGCCAAGACATCCCAACCCCAGTACGACTTTTCGCATGCCTTGCACTCCATGATCACATACCCTTCAGCCAAACAAATGTACCACACTTTTGCAATCAAACATGGCAAAGGGAACACCTCTGCAAATGAGCATTTAAGATCATTTACATAAATAGGATATATTTTTTTTATAAATGTTATATAGGGGAAATTTTCCAGTCATGTGACTGATTACCAGAGGGTAGACCTTGGGTAGACCATGGATTTTCCAATTTTTCCATGCCGACCATCTCCTGACAATAACTGGTGGTTTTAACCATCTTGAAAAATATGAGTTCGTCAATGGGAAGGATTATCTCATATATGAAATGGACAATAAAATTCATGTTCTAAACCACCAACCAGATAACATCCGCCAAGGAACTGTTTCAAAGCCTTTAGGGCACCGCGGGCATCTGGACGCATCATAGTTGATCTGCACGTTCACGGGGTGAATCAACTCAACGGTCACAATGGCCCAAACGAAGATCACGGAAGCCAGCAGAATGGATCCGAAAAAGATGGCCTCACCAGTGAGAACCGAATATGATACCCGGCCTGGTAACTTTTCATGAGTTTTCCCATTAAAAATGGTGATTTTCCATATGCAGTTAATGGGTATTAACCAACAAACAAACTAACATAGCTATTGAAAATGGCCATTTCTAGTTGATATACCCATGAATAGCATGGTGATTTTCCATGGTAGATTACGGAAAAACAAACAACAGGAATGGGAATGAGGAGGACAAAAAAAAACATCAAAAAATGCCACGCGGTATATGCTCCATGTATGGAATATTTACCAACATGTACCCATAAATGACCCAAACGTATACCATACATGGAGCGTATGGGTGTGTGTGTGATACGGCAAATGGAATTGACACGGAACGAAGATCGTAATGAAAATGGAATCATGTCCCATGATGTCCTCATGTCAAAACAATCTTGATACAACCTGCGGGCCACTAGGAGGTGTTCAAAAAACGGGATGATTAGATGAGATCCAGTATTTGGGAGAAGAAGTTCAAATCTCAAGGCCTATAACCATATAATTATAAAAAAAACTGAGGTTGGACTATGAAAATAGCAATTTCATGGGAGATATCTGAGGTTTCGATCAACCATATTCCAAACATATCAGGAACCAGTTCTCACCAGTCAGCTCTTGGTAACCGGCCTTCATGGATGTTGCAAGACCGCTGACTAAAATGTAGAGTTCCGGCACAATGATCAGCAAACGGCCTGCCCTCAACAAGCGAATGACGCGAAAGATGCGCAGCACGTTGAGATTCACCAGTTCCGTTAGACCCATGCCTAACCATCCAATAATCACCTGACGGCTGAACCGCAGTGCGGCTCTCCGAAAAAACCATAAAGCAAATAACATTCCTTGAGTAAACATGGAAGGTGCAAATTACACGAAAATGAAACCTCTTACAACCAGTTGCAATGAAGAGGTCAAGCAAATTCCAACGATTCCTGAAGAAACCAGCGCGTTCTGCATAGCCTCTTGCTGCGCATTCAGTAGTGTAAATCACTTGCAGCACCACATTGCTTACAAAAGTCCAGAACATCTTCCCGCTCGCATGCGGGCAGCTAGCTAGGTCATTCAGGAATTCTGGGTAGCAAGCTGCATCGGCATTAGTCTCATACACAATCAAAGCCACATTGGCCAGAATCATCACACCCATCAGGCTTTCAAATGTCTGGCTGCGAACGATGCAAGCAATCCAAACCCGGAACCAAGGCCAGATCACTTCACCCTTCTCATTGACCCAAGGTTTCCTTGGCTGGTTCCACCCCGAAGTGTGATTCAAAGAAATTCGAGCAATGTAAGACTACACCAAACGGTCAGAATTGGTAATAAATTGGTAATACATAATTATATATATGTGTGTGTAGCCTATTAGTATTATTAGTATTATTAGTACGTCACTGTATGTTCTCCCTCTTAGTGGGGGGGTGGGGGGTTTTACGCGGTTGGTTACCGGTTATGTCCAGGTCACCGGGTTGCGCTGTTGTTGTGGTGTGCTTGTCATTGCGCTTCTCTTATCTTCTTATAATACGATGATAATATATATATATATAATATAGATATAATAATACAAAAAAATACCAAAAAACATGTTTTTTTCCATATCATTTCCTCTTGCATTCATTTGAGTTCGCATTGTGTCAGAGGTCCGTATTGCCGATTTCAGTTCGAACAGCATGCCCCAAGCTGTTCCACACTTCACGAGACCATAGAACAGTGCTTCACCTAACCCATGGTCGTAGACCTCACGTGAATCAATAGGCATCTAGATAGGCATAGTTGTACATACACCGTATATGAATCACATTTTCCAGCTATCTAGACATGTAATTTGAAATTTGTTTCAAAATTATTGAGGACCTTTCGAATCATTTTGTTTCATCGGAAACATGAAGAAACATGAAGAAATGAAGGTGGAAGTGCTTTCACATGCTTTGGCTACCCATTGGATGAGCTGAAGCCAGTAGACTATAACCATGAGTGTGTTGGCATGTGCAATAATCCTTGCTTACAGGATCTTACAGGTGCTTCCACAATTCCACTTAGAGGACTGGGAGAACCAAGCCGAAAACAACCACAATCTTACCTAATCTATTGAAAAGCACCCGAGAAATGTAATTGGGAAAATGTAATTACAAGCCTCTCCCCCTCCCCTTAATTACATTTATAAGGTAGGGTCCATGTCACTGTAAATATACTACACACATATTAAAAAAATATATGATTATTCTCTTTCATTATTGCACTTCCCAAACCTTCAAAAGAAGGAACACTTTGATTTGTCGCCACAAAAAAAAAAGTCTCTTTACCTTCAACAAAAACAATATTTTACTGGTGCTTTTTGATTCAACAATTCCAAGCAACACCAGAACAGTTTTGCCCTGTGATTTGTTCACGTTTTTTCACGGACTTTTCGCCGACTTTTCATACTCTGGGCATTTGCAGAGCCATGAAAGATTGAGAACCACGGGTGCATGTGAAGTTTTTCTGCTAGGAAGAGCACTCATAAACCCGGACCGGGGTACCTCCAAAGACAAAACTGCACCTTGTCGTTACTAACCCCATAGATGATCTTTGTCGAGGAAAATTTGAAATTACAATGGATTAGACCGTATGTCCACTAATTATCTTAAGTTAAGAAAATGAAATCATATCAAAACACCCGCCATAGTATCATTATATGTTATTATATATATATATATGTGATCATAATTATTTATATCATGTATATATATATAATCATATATAAATATGTATAATCACAAATACATACATATATATATATATGTATAAACATGTGTATATATATATATAAACATGTATATATATATATATATAAGTATATTATATATATATATATAGTGTAATTGTCACATCTTTCCGTGCCCCAAGCCGCAGCCAGCAATTCCCATTTCATCCCCCAAGTCTCCCATGTTTGTACCTCACGGTCACGGACTCCGCTTCAATGGTCTCCAAGGCTTTCGACAAATGCTCCCGTTGATGGCCTCCGGGCACCCCGCCACCACCCACCGTGCTCAAGGCATCCCCAAAGGCGGCTGACGCGCTGGAAAGCATGAATTTGGCCCTCATGGCGAGAGGTCAGGGGACTTGGGATGGCGGGTTGGGGGCGCGAACCAAAACAATTTGGATCTCGAGCCTCGGGATTTCCTGAAGAGAAACAATTTCTTGAACTGGTAGAGACTCACAGGCCATGTGACAAACTCATGCAGTAAACCATGCAGGAAAATAGGGACATGCCATATTTCCCGTTCAAGCCAATTTCATACACATTCGGGATGGTTTATCCTGAGGCGAAGACCACAGACCCAAAATCACACCTTTTCCATGGCTTAGCCTCCGGGAACTGCAGCACGTCTTGTGCCAAGCCCAGGCGGCTGTTGCGTTGTGTCAGCGCTCTCGCTATGCTGTGAGCATAGCACGTAAAGCGACAAGATCGTCACGTGCGAATGTCCCGAACACGTAGGGATATTGATGCTTGATGGTCTGTTTTTTTCCGGCAAACCTTGAGGATCTTGGCTTGGGGTCACTTGTTCATTCTGAACTTGTTTTTCCCCATCATTTGCGTTGCGTGTGGTGCATGTTTAAATGCATGCATATTACCTGGTGCTTGTATAGCAACCTTGTTGACTTTCTTCGCAGCCCAAATCTAGAAGATACCCTCCAGTAAATTGACATAGACCCTGCCACATAGGGGTTGAAAGATAATCTGTGTGAGACATGCATATGGCATCGCCGATCTACTGCCTGGTCCAGTTTAACGGTCACTTCCAACCCTAGTCTTTGTGCACATCTTCGATCGCCTTGTTCTTGTCCAGCCACCTTGCGGACAATGCCGGAAGGAACGGTACTGATAGTACCTGGGACAAATTGAAGTTTTATCCCAGATGTGATCTATATCATATATACGGCAACTACATTTAAATATACGGGCTTTTAAATATACGAACAGGTATTTTAGACTACCTCCGGGAAGGTTTTCCTTGGCCCGCCCGGCCATTTAAACATACGGAATCCAATTCATTTAAACATATGGTAACTACCTCCGGGGCCTCACAGTCTGGCCCGCCCTCCACGTATTTAAATCTCGTTACCGTATAATATGTATTAATATGTATATGATTGTATATGTATAGAGTGCTGTAGTAGTATATTCAACCCCATACTTTTCACATCCTTATACCATGACCCAGTCTTGTTATACCAAGATATACCAGTTTGAACGGGTTCAAAACATGTAGCCCACTTGTGAGATCCAGCGCGATCATGTGGATTTCTCCGTCCAGACGTCTCAAACTTCAAAGGCTTTACCCTCCGGTAATCCATGGAACATGGCCCATTTTTAGATGATTTACCTATTGAATCTGATGATTTTCCACAGCTTGTTAAACTACCAGAGGGTAACTCTTGACTTTCTGTTCATTTTGGAGGTATGGGGTGTCCAGCAAATATTTAGGCGTGCCCATGCTTGCTTCAACTTGTTTGATCGCCAACACCTCTGATTATTGCAATGAACACCATTCTTTCATTGCGATCTCCCATTTCACCATCCCCATCTTTAATCATCTTGCTTCAACTCCCATATTCGCTGATTAAATCTCTGCTTTATGTGTTTCTCATCCCATTTTCTCAATCAACCATCATCTTATCATTCTTGTTAGCCATGATCATCAACATTAAGAATCAAATATAATCTTAAAATCCTATGAATTCGATCCTTTTGGGCCGCTTTTCTATATGTTTTTCCCCCAAGTTGCAAGACACCTGGGGCCCTCCCCGCCCTCCGACTCCTCCCCCTTTAGGCCCCCGACCCGGACATGGCGCTGGGCACAAAGTTGCCACCCAGGCCCATCTCTTCGCAGGCCAGGAAGCACTGCAGCGTGCTGTCCACCGCCATGCCGAAGACGTTCAAGAACCTTGGGGGAAATCATGGGATGCCAGAGATCAATGGATTGGTTTAAGGGAAAATCTTAACCGGAAACCATGGCTTTTACCATCAAAAATAGGGCTTTCCTGTAAATTTTCCCATCATCCAATTCTATGAATGGGATGCCAGAGAAACCTGGGGAAAATAAGGAACATATGAGGAAAAAACAAGGGAACAGCGCTTTGACACGGGGGTGGGTTTTTTATCATGTTGGTTGTGGATTTGGAATCGGGAATGAGCATCACAAATTGTATTTTACAATGATTTATGTTTCTTTCTCTTGTTATCACCATGGTCCAAAAAAAAACTTTGCAACGTATTAACATCTGCCATCAAAGCTCTCATATTTTATGAGGGCGGCACCCCGTGGTGGAGGAGTGAATTTTCATGAAAAATGATGATAAAGCACTGCAAATACGGATGTTTTATGCACTTGGAGGGTTTAAAACCCAAGTAAAAAAGCACTTTCTTCATCATGATCTTGACATGAAATATACAAAAAAACATTAACAGGCACCTTTAACAAAAAACAAAAAGACCAAAATTTCCAGCAACTACTCAGAAGTGGACCCATAGTTCCTGGAAAATTTGTTGTTGTTTGTTTTTGTTGGTGCCTGTGCAGGTTTGGTGCATCTAGTGTTTTGTGCTTTTTTTTGTTCTTTTTCATGCCTCTGCAGATTTAGTGATTCTGACTTCACAGAAAATTGACAGGCACCAAAAAACAAACCACTAGATGCACCAAACATTGACAGGCACCAAAAAACAAAAAGACCAACATTTCCAGCAACTACTCAGAAGTGGACCCAATACTTCCTCTAAATTTTGTTTTTTTGGGGTGCCTGTGTAGGTTTGGTGCATCTAGTGGTTAGTTTTTTTTGTTTTTCTTGGTTCTTGTGCAGGTTTGGTGACTCTGACCTCATGAAACATTGACAAGCAGCCAAAACAATTAAGAAACACGGCTAACATTTCATCAAACCTTCTATCACTGTTACTTCATCTATTGCTAATATCGCCTTGATGGATTTCAATTGCAGCTGCCTCTTGACAGCAGGCTAGATCATACATGTTTGGATTTCAAAAGCCAGTTCAATAATGAGCGCAGCATCTTTTTACACTGAATCTGCCGACAAGGCTCTACAAGATAAGATACAGGATTGCAAACAGGAAATGTGCCCAACTTCTTCAGCAATAACCATTACTTTATACTTTATACTTTATTTGTTGGTAAATTTGATATGTAAATAGCTGTTTGATAGTTATGCGTGACAATAATTACTGCAACTGCCCCTTGGGTGCCGGCTAGATTGTGTATGTTTGGATCTTGGCCATGTTTCTAACTGATGTTTCAAAGAAGCAAACATACCATTATCTTCGAATAGCTATGCCACCACACAGGTTGCCTGATCTTCATGGTCAACAGCATGACACACTTCTCTGTCTCTCTGGTTTTTTTCTCTCTCTCTCTAACTATTGAAATGAGACGGCTGACAGACTCTGCAAGATAACAATGATAAACAAGATATGTACCTACTTCTTGAGTTGCAACATTCCCACCATCCTTCTTATCCAGAGTGTTAGATGTGCTTGTGTATATCCACCTACATAATGTATGCCCTCCCCTCCCCACCATACTTCTCAACTTAAGACTTATGTAGCGCAAATGCTTCTATATACAATGTGATATGTTGAGATGATATCAATCTAACAAGTTCATGAAGAAACAGCTATATCATATCAATTGTTTCTAGCAATAGAATTTCTCCATCACCTCTATCACACTAGCCACCTATTGCTAGTGTATATTCTGTTCCAAGATGCGCAGCTATCCATTCTCGTGGCATGCTTTGCAGCAGATGTTTTCTGTTATGTGTTGATTGTTTGTAGTTCTTTGCAAGCCTCACAGGAGATAGATGCCAGTGATTTATGACAGCATATGATAGCCTTTGGAGGTGAACTCTATGTTTGCTCTAAAATAACGGTTTTAAGCCTACTTTTGTCACAAAACACTGTAAATATTAGTATGTTTGACAATTTTTAGAGCAAACATCACTCCGCCATGAGGGGCCGTTCTGTATTTTATTCGGCCCTGCTTTGTCTTTCTTCAGCCGCCGTTCTTCGTTTTGAAGAGTTGGCCCAACTTCCGCAACGACGGCAACAAGTTAAATGGACCCTTGTGGCCAACAGTCTTAAGTCGTCAGGAACGTTATTACACATCCCCTGTGTTGAGCATCAGAGACAATGCAACATGTCCAGGACGGCAACAAGTGAAATTCTCAAAAAGAAGCACGCAGCAGTTACATGCAAAAACAGCAGCTCGCCTCAAGGCGTTGACTCAAAAACAGCATGATTATGTTTATTTTGTTCTTGAGCACTTTAACTACAGTAGCTGAGGTTGTTTATTGGTTGATCCTCGAAATATCAACTATCTGGGTGAATTGGAGTTTGATGATAACTCATTAGGGTCAACTCTCCCCAGCTTCGCACCGATGGCTCCATCCGATCCCAGATACAGTTTGGCCACCACGTACGACATCATCACCTCAACGTTACAGGAAAGGCCGGGGCAAACCAGCCGAATCTCCAACGATCATTGGTGGATGCGGCCATGAAAAATGGCCTACCCCGTTAGATTTCCACGAGATGATCTACATGTTTCATGTTTCGGTTGGTTTTCCATGATAAAAACCCTATTTTTGTCGTACTACTGGAGGAAAATCTACGGCAGCAAGGTCCAAGGGATGAATCCCACCTGGCAGCATGGAGCCTATGAATCCTGCCAGATTTGGATGGTGTGTTTTTCTTTATGGTTTTTGGATGCGTGGATGGTAGTCTCGTTGGTAACAATTGATACTCAGAGAAAACCATCTTTCAAATTTTACGCGCTCTCATCATTGTGTGTTCCAGTCGTCTGTGGGCCGGATTGCGTACCCCCCCGAATGGGTTTGACTAGAAATGGGTTACCCCGAGAATTCAATGGCTTACCATCAGTTTTGGTAGGACAATTGCAATTTTTGGATACCACCCGGTTTTTGAAAAACCAAACTGTTGGAACATCACTGGGTTGGTGGGTCTCAACCCATCCCCAATTGCGCACCAATTTTCTATGCACATCAACAGAAGTCATCATCCCATTTTAAGGTGAACTTATTGGACATATTCCCACTATCATGCGTTTTACTCCTCATCACTGCTCAAATCTGCTGACATAATCTGGTTGGTGGTTTTAACCATCTTGAAAAATATGAAAGTCAATGGGAAGGATGACATCCCATATATGAAATGGAAAATAAAAAATGTTCCAAAGCACCAACCAGTAATGGTTTTATGTATCTCCTTCCAACGAACCCAACGACCCTGCCAGCTACAAGGGGTTGGAAGTCTGTCCCCTTGGGATGGCGATGCCAAAACAGCGGCCAGGGGCCAGCTGCTTCAGATACGTGCATCCTTGAGAAATAGAAACATATTAAAGGTCGAGCCCGTCTTAGAAACATATCCTAACTATCTGCAATCGATCCCCCTCTCCAAATCACTTGGTTTTTCAAACAGTCATAAATCAATAAAAAACATGTTAAAACTATCCCAATGATTTCCCTATGGTTGTTTTCATGCCATAAATCACGTTCCAACATCCTTATATTCCAGTTTTTACCTAGCTGCAGGGTTAAGAATTCCATGAAAAGGAAAAAACATGTTCAGCTGTTTATCTTTAGTTGTATCATGTTATATCCCATTGTATATATATATGTACGTTATTTCTCCATGTATAGTTGGTTCAATAATTACCCACAATCATCGTCCAACATCGTTGGTGACATAGCCCACTATATCCGCATCATTGTTTGTCATAAATCCCAACTTTTGTTGATGAAAATGCGGTAAACCAGAGTCCAAATTCCTGTACCAACATCATATCTTTACCAACCCCAAATCAAATAATAAAAATGAGGAATATATATATATATATATGTGTGTGTGTGTCTGTGTATGTATGTCTATATCTATATCTATCTATATCTATCTATATCTCTATCTATATCTATCTCTATCTGTATCTCTATCTATATCTATCTCTACCTATCTCTATCTATATCTATCTATCTCTATCTTTCTCTATCTATCTATATCTATATCTATATCTCTATCTATATATCTATCTATCTATCTATCTATCTATCTATCTATCTGTACTTACTTCATAAGGGTCATATATATATAATGGATATTATGATATTATTATATATACACGTATATATGATGTGCGTATACATCACTGAAATTATCACTGCATAAGAAGTGATGCAGTAAGTACCACTGATATCATTATCACTCATATTGGTATATCACTATCCATGATTTTTTATTTTTAGTTTATCTGGTTGGTGGTATACCTACCCCTCTGAAAAATATGAGTTCGTCAGCTGGGATGATGACATTCCCATATATTATGGGAAAAAAAACCTGTTCCAAACCACCAACCAGTTATACTATATGGTGGGGGGGGTGATTAATCCGATGTTGGCATTATTGGTATATCACTATCCATGTTTTTTTCTTGTAGTTTATACCAGTGATATACCAATATTTCATGGATAGTGATTACCAATATATCACTGGTAATTAAATATATCACTGAGAAATCCATGATTGGTATATCACTATCCATGATTTTTTCTTTTAATTAGTTTATACCAATAATGGATAGTGATATACCAATAATGTCAGTGATTTTTAAATAATCATGGTTTATACCTATTATTGGTATATCACTAATTTACCAGTGATTTCTCCAGTGATTTCCACACCGAGCTGCGAATCCGATCATCGGAATCAGCGGCGCCGTTTCGGGGTGAAGACCTGGCCGTCTTGCCCCGGGCCGGGCGGCTGCCCGGCGGTCACCCCCGGGGGGCAGCCGACATGGTGAAAACGGGTGGTTTTACCATGCCAAAACGGTGAACAAATGGTGGCTTCAGCCACAAAAAGTGGGTCAATCATGGTGATTTTACAATGCTATAATTGTTAAACATATGGATTTTGGATTTACATGGATTTACTGTAACATCTTTGCAATTGGAGCCAGCATCTGATCATGTTGGCACATGGAAAGGCATGTTTGAAAAAGAAAGCCATTGGCTTTGCCAACAGTGGTTGCTAACCCGAAACCCGAACTGTCATGGCCCCCCGGCACCTTGATGGACCAGGTAGCCCAAGCCAACCGATGTGGCCATGATGAAGAACAAACCAATCAAATCCACCATGTAACTCAAGATCTCAGTGGCAAACTCATTTCATCTCATTTCCCATGCTGCGCGGGTGTTGAGAAAGTTGAGACTGGGCAAATATATTTTGGGCCTAGTAGTGACAGCATCTGCTACTGGGATAGAATCAAGATGCAAGTTGATAGCTCCCTATCTGGTTCTATTGTTCTCGTCTCAACTCCCCTGATCGCCTAGAGGAAAACCTCACCAGCATGCCGCGAAGCTGTATGGGAATCTTTCAGCTACTCTCGACAAAAAAAACCTGATGAGAAGCTTTCACAAGCGCCTGGCTGGAAGAACATCCGTTTTTGCCGATTCCTATTCCACATTTCTGGGTAAATTATAATTATAATATTTCACCAACCTGAATTAAGGCCATATTGGGATGATTTCCCTTACTAACCATGATTCCAGTGAGGTCGCAGTGATGTCGTTATAATTTACCCAGACATTTCAACGTTGCCTTTGTCCAGCCATTCAAAACGGATGACCTGATCCCACCCTAGAATCTAACAGTAGGTATGTCCGCCAGTTTTATCCAGTTTTGGGCCCTGTTTACCAACTTACCTATGGTTTGAAGGCCTTTCCTGCCAGGTTTACCCAGCATGTTTTTGAAGCAACCGCTTTTATGGGGGCGGGAAGGGCATGGCATGTATCAAAGAATAGCTGTGAAAAATGGTGGTGACAACAAAACAGTGAGAAAAGGACATTCATGATGACTTGTCATAATTCACCCGCCTGAAAACTTGCAGCAGCTTGTGGATAATCCCCCTTACATTCACGATAATTCTGGAATTCAGTCGCGGCGTGAGGTCGTGATCATGTTTTTTCCAAGAAATATGTCCGAATATTTCCGATGATATCCAATCATGTCATATTCCATGCAACCCCTATATTGATGATGGGAAAATTTACAGGAAAGCCCTATATTTGATGGTATAAACCATGGTTTCCTGCAGATTTTCCCGTAAACCAATCCATTGTTTTTTGGTTGAAATATGTAACGAAATCCCATATGTTTGATGGTCGATTCCCAGATCAAATCCATGGCCCCAAGGCACTCCAATGGTTCCAAAGCGCAGCGCATTGCGCAGGATTAACCAGAAGGCCTGGGTTGGGTTCTAGACGAATCAGCAACATGGGGAGCTATATAACCCATAGGATCCATGTATGGTATATATGCTAACATTTGGGGTATATTGATGGTAAATGTTACCAATATCGCATACATGGATCCTATGGGTAATGGAACCAAACAACATGTTTTGACTCTTGTATGGTTGGTGAATTAGTTAATCATCTAACACCAGAAAACATAATTTAACCAATCAAAATACCCAAAAAAAAAACTGGAGATTTAACGAAGAAAAATGAGACGAGTTAACCCATTTCAATCAAAAATAACCATTTAACCAACCAGAATTGCAAAAGAATACAGCAAGCAAAAAAAACATCATGGCTGAACAAACCAAAACCTGATATAACATGATTCAAACATTTTTTGGTTCAACAATCAGGGAAGATTCACCCACCAAACTCATGGAAGACCTGCTGGAACCAAACAAGACCAGCGGTCAAATGCACGGTCAATGAGCATTAATTGATAGATATCATCCAAAATTGGTTAGCTACTCTCCAGTAACCTAACATTGATATGGTTTAAACCGTTTAAACCCACCATTCTTCCAAACGGGTGACCCCACGGGTTTTCCACATCAGCCACGGTGTGGCTTAGAAGCTGGGATAGCCCAGCAAGTTGTGTCTGAATGGGATAGACCTTGGGGATATCATGTGGAAAACAAAACATCTTTTATGAACATGTAAAATTGAGGTTTATAACCAACGTCATATAGATTTTGGTCCTAAACATGTCTGACAACAATCTGAAAACGATGGGAATCCTGCAATGGCCCCAATTTGAAAATTTCGATCAACTGGGGCTCAATCGCCCACCCAAACTAGGTAACTAGGCAGCCGAAAGAAGCAACCGAGTCACAGCCTTCGCAGATGTGCAGAAGTTCTTTCCCATGAGTGCGATCTGAATATATGCGTTCCTAAAACCAGGTGTCACTTGGAGGATCATCATGGATCATCCCATGACTCGTAAGTGGTGAGTGGGGTGGTTTCACCCACTAATGTGATAACCCTAGTTAGGGGACCTACTAACCAGGGTTAACCCCTTACAATCCGCGGGATAATCCTCCAAGCACGTCTGGGAGATATCTCCAACGCCAGGGAAAACTGTCTTTATTCCCTGGTCCAACCATGAATGAAACAAGAGATCCTTATCCAAGGTTTGTTCAGGGTTGGTTGAAAACTGATAAGGGCTTATTAAGGGCTTATCCAGGGTTTAAGGATAAGCCTTGGGTAAGCCTTGGATAAGCCTGTTTCCCAACCTAATTTGCCTACCCCCCAAAAAAAAAATCCCTCCGATCCTCACCCAAACCTTCACAGACCCTGCCCAGACCCTCCCCAGCCCTTCCCCTCCGCAGACTCTCCCATACCTTGGTCATATGCTCCTTGGCTGAAGGCTTAACCAGGCCTTGTTCAGAGCTTAACGGATAAGCATCTATTAAGCTTCTAATAAGCGCTTATTAAGATAAGGGCCTTACACAGAAGCCCCTAATAAACCTTCATATGATAAGCTACTTACACCCCCCTCCTTACCCCCGCCCAGGGTCCATGACACTGGTGTCAGGGATTTGCTGATTCCGCCCCTGGTTGGATCAGAAATATGTTCATAACATGTACTAAAACATACGAAAACGCATGGTTTTCTGGTAAGAACCCCCGATTGCTGTCCCCCATGGGCCACATATGTCCAGGCGTCTTGTTTAGGAACTTCACGCACTTCTCAAAGCACCAAATGCAGCAACGGAGGCACCGCAACACCAACGCCATTACCTAAAGGGGATTCGCGTGTAAGGCCAAAGATGGATTGTTGTCATGAACATGTGTACATATACAAATAACGAAATGTGTGTATACATGTAAATATGTGTATATATATATATATATGTGTGTGTGCGTGTGTGCATATGTCAAAGACAGTATATATATATATGTACGCATATTATGTATGCATATATATAAATATGTATATGTATGCATATGCACACATATGACGCAAAATAATTCTGCTGCACATATGCATTTTTTTGGGCATTTGAACACACGGGGAATATATGTACATATAGGTGGATATACACTGTGAATTAATTGAATTTCCAGTAGCCCGCACCTTGGATTGGCTTGGAACTCTACACGAACAACCCAGTAACCTTACCTTCAGATGGTTTTGTCCCAAGAACTTGAATTCACATTCTCATGCTTCTAATTTTCAAATTTTGCTACGTTTAAATTTTGAAACTTTCTACCCAAAATCACGGTTCTGGACTTCAAAGTAGCTAGCCCTCATATTGAGTCGAAATCTGAGTGCGCGGACGCACGAACATGTGGGTATAGTGTACTTACGTGTTTGTATTGTTATATGCGTTTATTACATTTATTTAGAACAAGTTGCAAAAACTATCTATAGTATTCTGTAGTAATGTAATGTAATGTAATGTGGTATCTTACGTGTTATCTTGGTATCGTATTAATCCCTATGCGCCCAACAAAAACCGCGCAGACACCTTGTTCTTTTGTGCTTTTGCTTGCTTCTCAAAATAATTCATCAAGTACCTGCGGCTGCTGGGCCCTTTGTCAAGCTGAAATGGGAGTGATCTACTTTTTCTGTTCCATGTTTAACGCTGAGTAGGCTGAAGTTTCAAACATGCCAACGTCCGTGAGTTTCGTGGCTTCACGGCGCTTGCGCAGCGCGGCTCGCAAGGGACGATTCCAGTGAGGTTTGCTTATTGACCTATCATAGGATGATTCGGAGAAGCCTAGGCAAAATCATGGCTTCGAATTAGATCCCCAAATCTGCTGGTTGAGGGTATAGGATGGAACTGTAGCTTCATCCATAACCAAATGTAAATCAAGTATATATCATAACCCTACACTGTGGGCTTGATTTTTTGGTGAATCTGTTTCGGTATACCATCTATCATCATTTACCTGTTGCTAAAGGGATAAACAAACCCCTCTATTAATCAACCAACGAATGGGAAAAGGACATCTATGTTTTCAAGTGTTTTCTAAAATCAACTTTCTCTGTCACTGGTCTCTCAGCGACACGCTCTGGCTGCTGAGTAATTACGCGTCTGTTGCGTCTGTTACCCTCCGGCAATTTGACCGTCTGGTTAAGTGGTAATTGTTTATGGTTAAATCTATGGATTCTATGGTAATGGTAGTAAAATCACCAACAGCAATGGATGAATCATTGAAATACCGTCCGGTAATTCAACCATTTGTTCTGGAATATGGTCCATTTAGCTCTATGATTTATCTATCTATCATATATTAAACTACCAGAGCGTAGCAACGGCAGCAACAACAAACAGAACAACAAAATCACAGCTACAACCACTACAACAGCCGCATTTACAATGACAACCACACTTTTCCCACAATAACCCCACCCCAAATGAAGCATCAGATCGAACCATAAGGCTGCGAAAACCGCCCAACGATCAACACCTGATAAATTTGATCACAGCGATGATGAAAGATCCAAAAGCCAAAGATCCCAGGTGGTAGCCTCGATCGTTGGATCGGGATGAGGCATGCTTATAGAATAAGTTCGATAATTATTTGATATTACCATCTGGTTATTTAACATAGCCATGGAAAATCACCATTTTTAATAGGTAAACCATCTATAAATGAGCATTTTCCATGGCTATGTGAAATAACCAGAGGGTAAATATTATGTGTAATTATGCGATATATAGGTCTTGCGCGTGTAACTTTATGTGTGTATAGTATGCACTTACCGAATAATGGCTGTAATAACTAATCAATTACACAAACAAATAAATCAATGAATAAATAAATAAATAAATACACCGTAATACCACCCCAACATTGTAGTTTTGGTAAAGTTATACTAGTGAAACGGGCCACGTTGCCGGCTATTGTCGGGTATCCCCCAATCTTTGGGCCATTCCATGCAGGACTAGAAGGACTCACCATATCACACCCTGGAAATCCAACACGGACACAACTGGATATATATATATAATGCCAAGTGAGGATTTATAAACCCCTCCCGATTAATCAACCACCACTGCCCAAAAAAAAAAGTAATTTAAAAACAGGTGGTCCCCCCGGATTAATAAACCGGTGGGCCTACCCCCGATTAATCAACCACCAGTGCTGAAATCATTTTTTTCCCAACATTGTTTATTTCCAATTCTATTTATTTCCAATTGTTTTTTACCTTTTTTTTAATCATCATTGTTATACTTCAGGTTTAAGTTGATCATTGAAAATTTCAAAAAACAACTATTCCCCAAATGATCGATTTCTAATTAAAATCTTTATAAAAAACATCAGTTTGGATAGCTCCCAAAGGGTACCCCCCATGAGCCCATGTCCCCCATTAATAATAACCATGGTTTGCCCCTGATTAATCAACCACCTTTCTGATCCATGAAATTTTAACAAATCCAATGGAATTCTATTAAGATCTAATTGACGTAAGCCATATCCAAAGTTTTATGGTTCAGAATTTTATGGTTCAGGGCCGTTTATTTACGGGTAGTCAAGAAAACTAGCTAGAAGTTACCTACCTACCTACCTGGTGGGGGGGGGTTATTAATCCGGTGTTGGCATTATATAAAATAATGTATATATATTCAAAATCGCCAAGTTTTCATATGTTTCACATCCCAAAAAAAGGCTTGGAACATAATTTTCACATGGGATATATTGGCACGGCCGGCCACATTCGCGTTGATATCCATGAGCCAATCCCAGTCGTTCTTCATCCAGGGAACGGAACACGTTCCAACAGGATCGCTTGATGGGAGAATTCTTGCCCTTCTCTGCGTTGGGCGTGAAGAACCTGATGGTGGGGCCATGTGGGGCCCCGTTTCAGTGGAATTCCGCTGCTGCTTTGGGCATACCGGGATGATGCAAACTGGCTCCCACCTGGTTGATCTGATTGAGAGGATGGTTTACGGAAACTGCAACTGGGCTTACCATTTTTCAATATACGAGTGATGCAAGTTGGCGCCCCCCCTACTTATATAAGTTGGGTTATGATCCGCACTAATCATAGATAGATAGAAAATTATAGAAAATTATGATATATATATATATATATATACAAAACGTCCATAGACCCAACAGATATTGGAGTTATGTTTGCCAAGTTAGCGTAAAAACGAACTGGGGCATCACCATTTTCATCATCCCTACATAACCCCCTTGATTCACACCTGCCGGTAACGCCGAGAATCCACACCCCCACCGCGCCGGCAATGATGCACTGACCCATGGCAATATTCAGGGCGTTGTTCCAAAGGAATACCTCGGCGAAACACGTAACGTGTGTTTACCATCCACATTAAGCATCAAGATATGGGGAGTTAACCACTATGGTGAACCCCTCCTCCAATAAGAGCTATACTTTTTCTCAGCTCTTAGTAGTGATTGCTGGTGGTTCATAAGTGTTAAGCCCTTAATAAACCCTTATTCATTGGAGGGATTACCTTTGGGGGGGATTGGTTCCCCATGACACCTGTTGGTGTGATCGCCTGGTTGTAACCCATGCACATGCAAGCAAGCAAGATCAAATAAGGCAGCTAGCACAGTGTGTGGCAGCTAGCAATGGAGATGTTCTAATATCATCTAATATCTCCAAAATTCAGTCTGACCGACATCGGAAGATCAATATTGGCATACTGTCAGCCATTGAAACGGCTGAATTTGTATGGGCCAGGTAATTGGGATGTGGTTCAACACCAGAAACATCTCCAAGTCGCAGCTGTTGGCGTGTCGCACCGGAAGGTGTTGGAAAAAAAACATAGTGAGAGCAGAGCAGTTGGCCTTTCAAAGGAAGAAGGGATGCGAAAGATGAAGGGTATAGGTATAGCAATGACTTCAAAAAAGAGGTCCATTAAAAAAGGAAACTCAAAAAAAATCCCTGCAGTTTGGCGGATGGGCTGTGCAGCGCCATGCCCATCTTCCAGCAAGTTGCAAAGAAGGAGACTGCAAAGCGATAGTCGAAGACCTGAGGCCACTAAACTCAAGACATCCACGGAATTCTGCGTGATTGCCATTGATCTTGAGCATTCGAATCGGCACGCACACACACACATATATATATATATATACATTTGCGTGCTATATATATATATATGTGTGTGTGTGTTTATGTTTATGTACATATTATATATCTATTTAATACATACTAGTACATACTTTACTATTCTATTATAACTGCATATATGTACAAATAATATATATATACAGTATACAACTATATATTATATAGATTCATATGCCCATCCAGAAGCACTTAACGACCTGATTTCCCATGATCTTCCTGAGGATCATTGCAGCCAGGCACATAACGAGGAGGTGCGCATTTCCAGCATCCCACCTCGTTATTGTCCAGAGTCTGACCTTGGCTCATGAGGCACCGGCAGGGGCCGACCCTGGTGGATTTCTCAGAGACCCTGGTAGATTTCAAGTGGAAATTGGAACGGAATAGGAATGAGATGAATGGGATGAATTGGATGAATGGGATGAAGAAGGATGAAATGATGTCGATTCATATAGCTTGTAACTTGACATGACCTTTGCCAGGCCATTTTTCGGAAAGGATGACGAGAGTGTACTGAGGGATCTTCTATTGGAGTTCAATGATCTTGTCTACTTCAGTTTTTCTTACCTCCCAATACAAAAACAGACACATGGCTTCTGGCGGGTTGTGCCCCAAATTTTGAACCTTGGCCATGAATTAGGAAGTATCCCCCATGTTCACCCATGTTCAGACAAGGTCACATCGTTCACTGGTGGAATCCACATACTCAAAGTTGTTGATTCATGTTGACTTCCTATTTGGAGGTGTACCCCAAATCATCCAGTCGTCATGAACGAAAATAAATTTAATAACCATTAATAACTTAGTATTGTGTTGATTCCCAATTGGAGGTGTCCTTTTTGTCATGGTACCCCAAAAAAAACATCCAGCTCGGCCATGGAGTTTCCCATGGCCTTCCGACTGGAGAACCCCCATGGACAGCACCCAGCCCGGCCCAGCGCCCAAGCGACAATTGCCTTCATCTTTGTAGACGAATCCTGGATGGATGAAGAGAAGAATCACACCGGGAAACCCCATTGGTTCTTTGGGTTCTTTACCTTGAAATCTAGAAAAAATATGGTGCCAAAAAATGCAAAAAGATCTTCAGGCAATTCTGGAATTGGGATGGATTGGGCATTTCAAGGACTTGGAAGCAGGTATGGGCCCCTTTACAGGCCACAATCGTTCCATGGTTTGAATACTTTTAGATTCTTTGGCATCAAAATGAATTGAAGCCGTGCAGCCCAAGTCCGTAAAAAAAAACAGCTGTTTTAACAACTATAGGGAGACAAAGACAGAAAATACCTCATGAATCTCAGATAGTATGGCAAGCCCAAAGTCCATGAACCATCCCCAATACCATCAGAAATGGAGGTTTACTATTTGGGTTTACCACATCAAGGACACATAAGCAAATGAAAAGACTTGAAACTCAACTGCCAACCAGAATCCTGTCGGCCATTTGTTGGTGCAGGCGCCCGTTTCATTGGAGGTTCCGTAAGCTTCCGCATAGGTTGCATAGGCTGTTGTTGGGGAGTAGTCAGCTGGCACCTGGCTGCAACAATCATCAATGGGAATTTCACATATCAAGTAGTACTGCACATTTAAAGCCATATTTTGGGGGCATATCCCCTGAAATTTGGCCCTGGAAAGAGAGACCTTGCCTGGCATGTGGTTTATCGTTTACTTCATTCTATACATATTACACATAAAGTGACACGTGTTTGGGCATGTGTGAACAAAAACATGTGCACATTTTGATAAAATATACCCTCCGCATCCCTTTGCTGATCAAACTTCAAGCATAGCCATGCAACATCTCAATTTACACATGATTTTCTCCTTAAAGCCTCCAATTAAAATTGATTTTCCATTCCTATATATGTTTGATTACCCGAGGGTAGATATCGAAGTTACACGCATACATATACATATACACATACAGTTTATATATATACACACATATACAGTATATATATATATGTATATAATGCATTATAATGTAATATGTTGATATGCTGACATTCCGGATACATCTGTCAACAAAAAAAACCATCTCCTTGACCGTAGTTGTCCTTTTAATCGTCACCTGCATGGATCTGCTTAAGGCACCCTGCCGTCCCATTGGGCCTGCGAGACCAGAAAGCTCACGGAAACGCCCCAGAGCAGTATCCACAGGATGCCCACGAATGCTTGAACGATCGGCACTCCGATGATGCGAAAGGTATGCGACCTTTTCGGTCAAGATGTGGCCAAAGGGCCCGGGAAGCTAGCAAAGTGTGCAAAGTTGGTAGACGTACCTCCAAAATCTAAATCAATAGCTGTTTGATCGTGACATATATACAGATGTATAATAATATATATATATTATATTTATTTATTTATTTATCGAGCTACTTCATGTGGGTCATAAACCAACATAAATATACATAAACCAATATCTATCACCAGGGGGGCACCACCACTGTTTCTTTTTAAGCGGGCTATGGACAGCCACGGATACCTTCCCTGCAATTTGAAAATTGAACCTAGCAATATATCAGATAAGTCATGATAGATCTGGAATCTGGAAACGATTTTCTTGCGTTGCCAGCCAGTTTAGGAATAACAGTTAAATTTCTCCATCTCCCTCGACTTCAATGTCAGGTCACCCGGGTTCCCTTCAAGACATGCTTCCAATAGGCCAAGTTATCACTTGGCATATCTTAGGATCATGATCTCATTGCTGAGGCTGGAACATGCCAACATGTTGGAAACAACCCACTCTTCAAGCATGTTTTCGACATCCCCAGCACCCAAACAGCTACATCAACCCGCAAAAAACCACAACGTAAAAGGTGGTGCCCCCAAAATTTATGTGTGTTGCTTTATGAGACCCTGAACTAGTTCGACATATCTACCAATACAGTACCCGTATTAAACCTAACAACTATTGGAGTTCTGTGTACCAACTTAGAATGAACCTGACATGGGGAACCACCGCTCGAGCTCCTTGCATGTCGCCCAGGCACACGAAGGTGGCAGCCACCTTGTTCACAGCGATCGCCAGCTGAATGCGACCGAAGAAGCAGAAGACCATCAGGACGTAGACGCCGGCCAGGGACCAAATCACATAGCCTGATGTAGATGGGCAGATTTGCGGCTAGAGATAGATGCTTGGCAAAGATGCACCGAGTTTGAAAAAACATGAGATGAATCTCATGGGTTTTAGGATTTCATGGGTCAGATGGATCCAAATCACACAGGGTTGGAACACTGGAAAACCTATTAGGTGCTATAAATCATCGAATGATTGAGATGTTCATTGCCATACTTTGTCCATATGTCCATAAGGACCAGATCACCTAGCCACAGGCAGGTAACACACATCTGATAAGGTGGCCTAAGTGCCAACCATTTATATTTATATCTGAAATTACTGAGGTTACATCGTCACCACATGTCACCACTACAGTAAATGTGGGTCATAACAGAACTATAGTTGGACAGGCCATACAACACCAACATGTACATGTTGTACAAATGTACCTAGCACTCATGCGATAGCTCACCATATAACTAGACATATATATATATATGCGTGTGTTTTACAATGTATATCTATATGTCATATGCTCACTTGCGTGCCTTTAAATTTCAATGTAGATAAATGTGGACACTTCGTAGTTATAACTGGCGACTAACTGTAGTTTTGTGACCCAGCTATAAAAGGTGCCATGAATAGCCCCCAGCTAACGGACTCATTACCCGGGCTTGCTACCCAGTCAGTTAAAGCGCGGCTGGACACTCCCCCATTTGCAGATGATTTTCACATGGAAACACATGAAAACATATATGAAAAATGATGAAAACCTCCAAATTCTTGGGGGATTTCGAGCCATGTTTGATGACACCAGAGGCTCATTGGGATGATTTTCCGACCCAACATGACCCGCAGAGTTCGAGTCGCTGCAGATTTCCAAGACCTTCCTGACATCTTCGCTGGTCACGGCATAGCCGGCGGAACAAACAGGTTGGATGACCCCCACGGGTGTGCATTCTTCCCACCTGCGATCACGTGGCGGTTTCCGCAGCGGAAAGTGATGTTTGCTGATCAAATCCATGAATTAGTTCAATAAATGTTCAAATCTACCGTAACCCATCATAAACCCAACAAAAATGGTGTTTTTCTTTCCATCATTTTGCAGCGACAAAAATCAGGATACTTCCCTGCTTTAAGCCTTCATGAAGTCCAAAGCCACGGATGACCTGTGTTATTCCAATCCAAACCAATCCCCTAAAACACTCCCTATCTATTGCAAGCTGTCCATCTATCCATCTATGTCATTATGTATCTATCTTCTAATCCAATCTAATCCCATCTTACCAAATCTAATCCATCTCAGCTTTTTGCCGCGCCTTAAGGTCGGATCCGTGGTGAAACACCAGATCGTCGAGGCGCGATTCGTATCGGAGGCCTAGATATTTCGGCGGAATTTTTCGCCGCGGGCCGCGGCCCGGAAGAGATCCGGGATCCTGCCCTGGAAAGATAACATATGGTAATTAACAATCACAAGCCCATATGCTCCATGTATGGAATAGTTACCAACATGTGCCCTAAACATCACCCAAATGTAGGTAAATATACCATACATGGAACATATGGGAAGGTATTAAATATGGCCCAGATTAAATATGTAAAATCCTATTGATAACTATGGCATAACTATGGTAATTGTCCAATACATTAACTGTTGGGGATTAATACTGTTGGCACTCATATTTATATGTAATCCAGCTATCCATCTTACTATGGTAAATAATAAGTATGTTTAATATTGTTTAATATGGTTTAATATCCATAGTAAAAAAAATGTTATTGTCATCAGTGTAATTATGTTTTTATTTTATCATTATATTGTATATATGTGTGTATAGAACATGATAAAGAAACAAATCCAGATTAGGGCGTGATTAAGAATGAATATATGAGAATCTGATTATATGTATATATATATATATAACCAAAAAAAAGATCATCTTCCAATGGTTATCATTAATTGTCAATATCATATCATTGTAAATCAAAACATGGTTGATAATTGATACTAACTATGTGCTTCATAGTAAGCAATATTAGATATTACCCACCTGGTCATGTTCCAGATGAATATTACCCTTGCTTATAACTATGGAAATTGAATACGATGTTGAATATTACCCAAATTGAATATGAACATTAACATATAGAACTTAATATTGCCCAAATGAAACAATAATGTTAATATTAAAAACAACTAAATAATGCAATGTGGAACAAGTTTAATAACATGGAACATTAAATCTGTAGATATGGCGAAATAGGTTAAAATAGATCATCTTCCATTGCTACTATTAATTGGCATATGAAATTCAAATGGATATCTAGCGTTGGTCAATGATATAGATGGACATCCAGAAATGCGGATCATCAATATGGCAAATCAGTCAAACATATTGCGACAACTATTGACAATATTGATAAAATACTACACGGATGGTGAATGTGAATTACACATGGTGTATTTTGGAGTCTTCTTCATTATCGTAAATATAAATTCACAAACATTAACAAGCGAAAACAAATTGAACTTAAATATGATGGTCAACTAAAACTAGATTACCCATGTCGAAGCCCCACGGAAGAACAACAAACAACAACTCTCATGTGAATAATGTGGTTGGTAAACTTTGAGTAGCTCCTTAGCATAGGGAATATGGATGCCTCCTCCCTTCACAGCTTTTTCCTCACCAGCAAAGCAAGTGGCCAAGTAGGGGTTTCGGCAATAGTTGTTGGCGCCAACCAGGTTGGAATAGGTGGTCGATGTGTAGGATGCCGCTACCCCTGATCCCCAGGTCTCGCAAGCATAGCCATTCTTGGTGCGATATTGAACGCCTGCAGGGCTGCCACTGGCGGCCAAGGGGTATCTGAAAAGTATGGAAAAAAACAGCAGGATCCAATGGTTGTTCGTGATTTTCACCCTTGAAACTTGAAACTGTTATTTGGGGTAGAGGCCTTTTTCAGACACATCAACATTGTTATAAACCCATGCCACGCGATGCCACCTTTGATCTCTTTGGAATTCAGAAATGCTTTGGAGGGACTACGCGCCGAATCACGTTGGATCCAGAACTGTTATGAGTTGCATCCGTTTTCCCAAAGCCTTTGGGCATACGACGTATGCCTTCAATATACCTATTCAAAAGGGGCAGTGACACCAACATGTTGGTACTTCTGATACTTCTCATTTTCATAGCTCTTCAAATAGGGACTTTGAAGGTTTGGGGACGAAAAGGGGGTGAACTAAAAAACCTGGGCTAGCCCGATGGGATTTCACCAACGCCTGTGTACGTGGATCCATCTCCAGTCAGTTCTTCACTCGAGACCTCTGGCACTGCGAAAGCACCCTCTGGTAATGACGAACGTAGCTATTGAAAATTGCCATAGAAAGTTCGTTGATTTACCCAGCTATAAAATGGTGATGTCCCAGTTCGCTGTGTTAGTTTACCAGAGGGTAATGCACGTAAATGCTCCTTTCAATTTCACCGTTTTGTTGTTGGATTTATGTTCAAAACGGTTTAAACGGTTTGTTTCGGTCGGAAATCGCCGAAAACAAATCACGTCTTCAGATTCGTCTTTCAAATTCTCCTCAAAGCAGGTTGTTTTCCTCAACGGGGTGCTGGGTTTCAAATCACGTCCTCAAGGGGATCATGGCGACATAAAAGCAGCATCGAAAACAAGAAATCTGACGATAAACAAGCGAGCAATCATTTGGGGACCCACATCCATGCGTTTAATGGGGCCCCCTTTTGATAGCGTTCAGTTGAGATATAAGTGGCTGAATTCTATGGTTTATGATAGATGTAACTATATAGTAAATGGGGTTCATAAACCGACCTATAACTGGCGGGCACCATCCTGTGGCGTTCATTGGCCTGCCACCTGAAACCCAAAGATATGAAAGTCATTTGCGGCTTCAGGATATGCAGAGAATGTTTTAAACCACTAACCAGGTAGACAGTCAAATCACCTTCAGAGATTCAAAGAAAGTCAGTGGTTTGACAACTCTATCTCCGTCTGCAAAACCTGGGTGTGCCCTGCAGCTAGACCAATCTGCTCACGGTTTGAGATAAATCCCCGTGACAACGGGGTCAGTTTCTATGTAGTATTGGCTATTGGTAAAATGTCACAATAGTGGACTACCAAAGTTTTGCTGCATGACTATTACCACGATGTACAAATACATGCACATATGTATGCAGATGTATTTCTATACATGTATACTGCATATACATATAAATAATGTATAAATGAGTGCGTATGTGTCTGCGTGTCACTGTGCGTGTGCCCATATGTGAGTCCATATGGCTATACATCCAATACATGAGTAGACTCCCATGATACTTACATCCCTACATGAATGCAACTAGACTATATCATCTATATCATATATTGCTGCACGTATTCATGGCACGTAAAACAATCAAACTACCCTCTGGTAAACTAACATAGCTATTGAAAATGGCCATTTATAGTTGATTTACCCATTAAAAATGGTGATTTTTCATAGTTATGTTAGTTTACCAGAGGGTACATATTGATTTGTGGATTCACCTCCTGAAAACTATTCGTCAATCACCTGACCATCCCATTGTCAACATGGCAAATCAAAACCACTGTCGTCGACAGTCCACCAGCAAAAACGCTCGCTGTGGAACATCCCGTGTTATATGCATATGCTGTGGAACATCTACGTGTCTATTTGTGTATATATATATATATATATATTTATGTGTGTGTATGTATGTGTATATGTATATATATATATATTATATATATTATATATATATATATATATTATATATATATACCCTATGGTGTGAATTTACCAGATGGCAGTGGGTTCATCCCACTTACCCACTTACTAAGTAGCTTATATCACTGGTTGCAAGTGGGATAAGCAGGGTTCATCCACTTATAACTATGGTGAAGTAACCTACTTAGTCAGTGGGTTGAGCCACCAAGTAATGTTTACCGTCAGTTGCATATGGAGGTTTCCTAAAATGTGGGTACCCCCGAATCATCTATTCTAATACGCTGTTCTTAAACCATCCAGCTATTGGGGATCCCCCATTTATGGAAACCCCCATCTGGATCAATAATAGGACTGGGGTAGATTAGGGGAATCATGTTTAAATCATCGTTTTAATGGCCTTCAGATCGTTTCAGCTCGGTGAATGATGTTCTATATAATCGATCCTTGATATTTACCCATTAAAAATAGTGACTTTCCATAATTACAATGTGGGCCCTAGATAGCTAAGTTGGTGCCAATAACTCCAATAACTATGGTTTATGATATTTGCAACTACCCTCTGGTTATTTAACATAGCCATGGGAAATGGCCCATTTATAGATGGTTTATAGATGGTTTAATATGTTTTAATTACCTATTAAAAATGGTGATGTTCCATGGCTATGTTAGTCATAACCAGATGGTATGATATTTGCACATCACTGGTTATTAACTGGTTGGGATACAATGGGTTGGGATGCGCTATAAATTGTTTTAATACCAACATATACCTTAAATAACCAGATGGTAGAAACCAGATGTTTTCATTGGGGTCTACCAACAAACATCACTGGGGCCCACATGCCGCACGACATCATCGACATCCCCATGAGATCCCCGTCGTTCGCCTGGCCGGTGACGGCATTGGTGGTCGCGACCTCCACCGTCACCGTGACGGCCACGGCCACCTGCCTGGTGCAACAGAGGATTTTTGGGAAAAACCTACGAACCTATGGGTTTTTAAGGAACCCCTTAGAGAAAAGCATGGGTTTTTCGTGGTTTTTGCCATTAAATCATGGATTTTGGTTTTATCATGTTTTATCATCATTAAATTGTAATGCCTTCCCCCTAATATTAAACATCCCCAAACGAAACCATTTGCACATAATTGGGATTTAAGCGCTTACGCGCGACAGCCGGCCAGGGGCCCAACTATGCGGGCCCATTTTGTGGCTATGTTGGACTATGTTGGCCTATGTTGGCCTATCTTGCGGGCAATGTGGGCCAATGTTGTGGCTATGTTGGCCTATGTTGGCCTCATGTTGATTCATGTTGAGCCAAAAGATCCGAAAAATGGGAACAGCAAAAAAACACTATAAAACGCAGGCTATTATGATGGTCGGCGGCCTATCTTGGGGCTATGTTGGCCCATCTTGGGGCTATGTTGGCCTATCTTGAGGGCAATGTGGGCCCATCTTCGGGCTATGTTGGTCCATCTCGGGGCTATGTTGGCCCATCTTGGGGCTATGTTGGCCCATCTTGGGGCTATGTTGGCCCATCTTGGGGCTATGTTGGCCCATCTTGGGGGCTATGTTGGCCCATCTTGAGGCCTATGTTGGCCCGTGTTGACCCATCTTGAGCCACAAGCTCCGAAAAATTGCAAAAAATGGGAAGAGCACAAAACACCGTAAAACGCGGGACTTTTTGGCGGGGGGGAGAGGTCGGCAGGGGCGGCGGCCCCTCTCTCCTACGGAGAGGAGAGAAACGCCTTCGGCAAGGACACGGCCAGGGGGCCCCTGGCCGGATTATTTCGGGGGTGTTTAATTAGGGGGAATGGTTTCAGTTTCCGGTCAATTGAAACCCCTTTCTTTCAAATTTAACAACCTTTTTTGGGGGTTTTCCGTTGTCAATGTTCCCAACAACACCAATCCAACGACTGAGGAAATTTCTGCCGAAATTCCGAAATTTGGGAAAATACCTGCGCAACATCTGAGAATCAAACACGACTTAGTCCGCCTTTCGTCCCAAAACGAGGTCTTACAGTTGTTTTTTTGTTGACAATAAACATGTGGTATTCATTAGATGTGTCGTAATTCTTAAATGTAGTATTCAATGATGTTTACGTACTTGTGCAGTTCACATTCTATGTTCAATATACTATCATTCGTAATTGTATGTTTTCCAGCATGTTCCCTTTAAGGTCAACATATATCAACCCATGTGATCAATGTGATATAAATTAAAATTAACATATATATATATATATATACCCATCATCAATACCAGATTTATAAATATCAACCCATAGTTCCCTTGTAGTTTTCCATTGGTTGAAGAGTTGGTCAGGCACCAGGGGCTCTGAGGTTCCAGGCTGACCAGTCTCAAAAATGCTGACACCTGGCGTCACAAAAACGTGTCATCAACGCTGCCACCGACCATGACTCGGGATGTCCATGAAAGAAGGGATTTTGGGGGTGGTGGATTACATGGGTTTACCAAAACTATGTGTGTATATATATATATGTGTGTGTGTGCGTAGATGTTTGCAAACTTATAGGATAGGAAGACTGATTGCCTGAGTGGATAGATTAGATGCATAAGACAGATATACAGGCATAGAGAAATTATAGATAAACATATAGATAGAAAAATGTAGAGATGGAGATATGACTCCTAGATTTAACCCCGAATCTGTATCCCAGGAAGCAACTGGCCCGACTGGTGAACTAGCTGCTTAAAAATAGGACATGGGTCAGTTCCCCTGAGCCCGCCCTGAGGATCATGGCTGGAAAAACCCCAAAGCTCCATTTCTAGGGGGTTTTCCAGCAATAAGCAACCTTTGAAGAGGCTAAATCCGCCAGATCTTCTAAAATCATCCCAGGAATAGATCATAATATATCCCTATTCAGCCTTCTAAAAAAATATCCCAGGAATATATCCCTTCTAAAATCATATAAAAAACTACCATGAAAAACCCAGCTTGGCAACCGCTACTACGCCGCAAAACGCCGCTTCCCGGGCTAGCCGATTCCAAAGATCTCCACCTGCGCATTGGAAGCTCTTGATGTAACAGGCCGCGCCCCCCAGCAACAGGGATAGCAACACCAAGAGGACGGCACACCTTGCAGGAACCATAAAGAGCCACGGAAATCCATGGGTTTTGAGTTCGAACATCATCAAACATCGGTGTCAATTAAAGGTGGTGGATTTTCTTGATGCATTTGTTTTTTTGGGTTTGTTAGTGGGTAAGATTGGGTAAGTGGGTAAAACTACGGAAATCAAAGATGGAACATATTTCTCAACTGCGTCGTTCCAAAGCTGTATCCGAAACATGACAAAACAACATATATTGTGGGGCTAGGAGGTTCAAACCTTTGGAAAGCCAACTTCTTTTACGGGTATCGGTCTTGCGTGTTTTTCCGACACACTTCTTCAAGGTTCCATTATATATTTTATTTTATACCAGGGGTTTATGACCATTGATATCCCCTGCAACCACTGCACAAAGGATTTGGGCTACAGTATAGAACCAAGAAAAAATATAGAACCCTATTTCCAGGATGCTAGTCTGATGTTTTTTTCCCAGAAAAACTCCAGCTGTTCCGCATCTTTTGGGGTTGCACATCTATCCACCAAGGTGCCAAACGCACGGACCAATCAGAAACCGCAGGAGGACGATGTAGATAAATCCTGATGGCATGTGGAAGCTGCAAGTGAAGCCAACCACATAGGTATAAAATGTTATAAGTATTTAAATTTAAAAGGTATAAACATGTTATACCTATGTGGTTGGTAACTGGTAACTGGTAGGAACCATGATTTTATACCTATGGAACCATTGGTATAACATGTTATAAACCATAGAAAATGGTGGTACCTGGTAGGAACCATGATTGCGTTGTTCAGCCGACGAACGCTTTTCTCCGCTGGTTGAAATCACCAAGCCAGATATCACCACGAATTTGAAAGCGTTCACCAGCCGAAATGATACATCATAAGGATATCAGATTATATTAATAAGGATATTGGGATATATATATATAATATTTTATAATGAGATGTATATATAATGATCTAAGGATATTGGGATGTATAATGATCTGATGATATTGCTTTATATTGCTTTGGGATGTCCCTTAAAAACTGTTTAGTAAACGATTTTGCTTCCTGGCACGTCCAGAAAAGAAACAAATTGCTGCCTGGCACGTCCCAGAAACAAAGAAACAAAGTTCAGTCGCGACACCGATGACGAAGCACAGCAATGCAACGATGATGAAGGCATCAATGGATTTCTCGAACTCTCCCAGCAGCGTGCCCAAGGATTCCTCGGGACAGCTGGAAACGAGCTCAGATCCACGGCCTGATGGCGATCCAGCAGTCAACAAAAGCGCAAAATCACCATTCTTTAGTAGGTCCATGTTCTCCTTAAACACCGAAATCCATCAAAATAAGTAAACATATGTAAATAGCCTATATAATAATATACGCTAATGGGATGTAGTGGGCCATTTTGCAGTTCGCAAAGTGAACTTTTTGCGAAGGATTTTGCCAAGCCGATGCCAAGCAGCGCTTTCGGTGAAAGATTGGACCGCCAGGCTTTCCTGGGTCCATGGATGGGAACGTTTTTAAAACGGTCAACTGCTCCAAAAGACGTGGAAAACCGGAAAAGCCATAGGGGAATACCTATAGGTTTGTTTTTGGGGATCTACCAATTGGCTAGTTTCATCTATTTTCATCTATTTTCATCTATTTTCCACATCTGAGTTTACAGGATGGCCATCAACCATGATCTGGCTGGACAATCCCTGTTTGGGAAAATCATTGAACTATGGCTGCGGGAATTCCCCATAAAAATGATGTGGACCCATACTTGAACGGGATACAAATAAACCTGCATCCATGTTGCTTTTGATAACAGTGAATCAAAACCAAATTCAAGGCCAAATTCAAAGTCCCACCTAATATTGGTTTGCATTTATTGTGAGCCCGTTTGAGGTTGTCCAGATCTGTGATTAAAAAATACGCAGACCCTCCTGCACATTTAAACTATTTGCATGTGTACATACACTAATAGGTATTCATGTGTATATACCTCATATATGTCCGGGCAAATTTCCTAATAATTCACTAACCTGAAATATTGGGCCAGCTATGGGGATGATTCCCCATTGAAAAAAAAAACATGATTCCATGGTTCGGGAGAACAGTGAGGCCGTTATATATTTGCCCAGATATTGTCCCGTCATATCCCATTAAGTTCCCATGATACTGCCATTTATGTTTGTTAAATCACCATTTTTCCCATGGTTTCCTATGGGTTTCATGTGTATATACCTAATATGTGTACCTCATGGAGGTTGGCTCTTCATTGTCCGTCAGCCTTGCACATGCTCTGGACTGTGCAATCCTAGCGGAAATTATATATATATATACTTATAGTAATATCAAAACATATCATATCATATCATATCAAATCAATCAATCAATCTATCTATCTATATGCACCTGCTTTGCCTGGGCATCCAATGGTTTGCCCTACAGCATAAATGAAGAATAATGGCGTGGCGTGACCAAGGGACTCCCTTAAGGAGCAAGAATGGTCAAACTATGGGAAAGGGTTCGGTGTCGCAGTTCTTTCTTAGAAAGAGGGAAAAGCTGCACCCACGAACCACAAGGGCAATGCTTAAAGACACTATTGACGGCTTCACTGTTGGCAAAGACGAGTGCCCAGTCAGATGCGGTTGCGAAAGCGATCTGTATGACAAAGGGTTGGTATATCATTGCCAAATATCGAAGGCAGCATGCCATTCCCGAAGTGAAGGTGGTGAGTTTGGAGTTCTGGTCAGAAAAGTGGCTCCAGGAGCACATCCCATCCGTTTCGTCGAGCCAGGTGACTGCAAGCCGCCATCTGTTGTCTGCAACGTTGGTCAGTTGAACAACAATTGTGTGTACCCATGGGACGTGTGCTCGTAGAAGCATGTCCGGCGATTCCCACGGACTGCATTGCAAAAACTCCACGTTGCAGCGAGTGGAGGGTTGAAACCATTGAACGAAGGCTGGCTCAAGGGTTTTCCAAGATTCACGATCCAAAGCAGTGTTGAGAAAGTCACCTTCCAGCTCATGTGATGTCCAGAACTTGTGGAACAATGCATGCAGTGTCTTCCATGGGCCAGGTCTGGCTAACCCATGCGCATGAGTTGAGGCGAAAAGGCCCATCATCACTCGCGCCGGCTGCGACGGATGAGATGTTTGACGACAGATATGCCCCGTAAAGGTCCACAAGCGCCTAAGGAGCTTGGCACACCAATTGCCTGCGGGAGCGACATGAAGCAACCATCTTTTGACCACATGGCGCCTGAGGCGAACAAGTTGCACCGCTGTATCATAGCTGAGATCAGGAATGAAGAGCCCCAGCGCATCTGCAAAGACCGTGGTTTGGAGTGTTTGAATGCTGTTGAGTACTGCACTGTATGGGTAAAGGACGGGAGATAGCCACAGAAATACAGAACCAACATGTTTTGTCAGAAGAGTATCTGTTTGGGACGGGTTTGTCCACCAGCGTCTCCCCAAAATGCATCTGAGGCTACCCCATGCAGCATGGACTTTCTGAGCTACTTGTTGGCATAGCGTTTCCACTGACACCTGGTAGCCAAAAGGGCGGTTGAGGTAGGACGTTGTCTCGCTCCATTGAAACTCGCGGAGAAGTGGGCTTGTGCATTCTGTGGCGGCAGCACGTAGCAGCACTGCATCGACAATGACACAGCTCTTGCTAAAGTTGACCTTCATGCCAATGGAGTTCAGCATGTCCAAGAAGGAGGGCATCAGGGCGCAGGCTTGTCTCCAATTCTTAAAGCAGAGCATGATGTCGTCCACATACAGCAGAAGCCACAAGGGGTCAAAAGGAGCCCGGTATCCCAAACGCTCCCATTTTGTCACCAGTTTTGCCAAGAAGTAGTCCAACGTACGAGCAAAGAGACCAGCAGAGTGTGATCCACCTTGAGGTGTTTCAGCGGTGCTGCGGAGCTGCCATTCTTCTTGCAAGAACTGGAAGTCGAGAGTTTGACTGAGCAGAAGTTGCAGTAGCCGTTTTGCTTCCCACGCCGCCGATGGTGGTAAGGAAGCCAAAAATATGCACCTGCTTGTGTATATAAATATATTCTATATCCTAAAAATACCTGGGGAAACTTCTTCCACCAGCCACCAGCCACCAGCCAGCCACATGGCTTTCGAGGCGCAAAGGTCTCAGCCGCGGAGCTGCCAACCGCTGAGATCACATCACTGGACATCTTGAAGCTGCAATAATCTCAGCCGGTCCCACATCGGCAGCCCATAGGTCCCCCACTAGAACGACGTGGTTCCCATCGTGACACCCCCGTTATTTTGGCGGTTCATCGGTGGTTTTTTAAATGGAGAATCATCATGATGACGGCGAAGGGGATAGAATATAAATAAAATCTAATTTATAGATGACGAGGAACGACCAAAAAAAGGATCAAACACAAGAAAAGAAGAAGCAGCGCAGTCAAAGAGCCAGAGTTTTGCCAAGAGGCTTAAGGATGCTGCGGAGAATTCGACACCAGGCATTGGGATGCACTTGTTCTCCGAATAAGGGCAAAGCCTTGGAACTATTCCCCTGATGGGTTGAAGCCAACTGTCATAGCTAGAGATCAGCGAAATCCCGCCAAGTGGCGACAATGGCAGAGCCGTGAAGGTGAATTGATCGTTGATCGTGGTCTGCAGGGCACCGGAGGATCACCCCACGGATCGTAACTGGGTAACTGGGCTTATAATCCATTTACAGATGGGATAACCCACTTAGGTGCTTAGGGGACTTACTAACGAAGTGGGATGATCCCCCAGGGAAGCATTCGGAACCATGGGGAGGGAACATCCCACAAGTGCCTAAACCCGTCCCAGTCCAAAAAATAGAATGATCCAAATGGTGTTTTGGAACCGTGCTTGAAGGGCAAACACACGATGGGGATCTCATCACTAGAAATGGAAGAGTAGTACCTGGCGCCTAACACCCCAATCGTGGTAGTCCAGCTGGTTTCCAGTGATGAGATAGATTCAACCTACATCTGCGTACCATGGGCCCGATCCCGGAGATTGATTTATGGCATTTTATGGCAACTCTCCATCACTGTCGGGTTGGTTGTTTCAATCCAAACCCCAAATTTTGAAAGTTGGAATCATAGCACGGCATGGTTTGAAACCAAACAGTCATGGTCGGCCCCAGATGATTGGAGGATCCAACCAAGCCGGCAACATCTCCGAAAACATCCAAAGAAACTCTGGTAGCACATGGTAGCATTCATGAATTTCGTAGCCAACTGAGTTGTAACATAGTTGTAACTATGAAACGGTAACATGTTGCCCATACGGCTGTCGGCCCATCAGGCTCTCCTGCAAGGATCCACTGGTCTTCAGCAAATCCTTAGGAATTTAAGGCTCCGCCACAAGTGATTTCATACAAACATGGGCAATACCTCAGCCATGCTTCACACACACATATGTATATATAATATTATATAATATAACTTAATATAACATAAAAACATCATAATATAATAGTGTATATATATATATTGATTTACATATAGATATAAGTTTACACATGTGTGTGTGAGGAAAAAACACAAATCTGATAATATATAACTGGGCAACATTGTTATAGTTATCATGATATTATCACATCACAGCCACATGTAAAGCAACATGGGGCAAGGATCCCAGTAGGTCTTCAAGGGGTTGTCTTCGGCCATTTCATAGGTCCAGGTTCTTGGGGTCGTGCTACCTCGGCACATCAAGGATCCAGTTGCGACAATGACCAGAAGATATTTGGGACATCTCTACCACAATATAACTGGTTGGTGGTTGACCTACCCCCATCTATAAATGGATGATATGGATGGTTTATAGTGGGAAATACCATTAAAATATGGATGATGACTGGGATATAACTGGTTGGTGGTATACCTACCCCTCTGAAAAATCTTAGAGTGAAAGTCAGTTGGGATTATTCTTCCCAACTGAATGGAAACATAAAACATGTTCCAAACCACCAACCAGTGTATATATATATATATATGCAGATTATATTCATTAATATTGGATAATTTAAGAGTGAAATTAACATATCCGAATATGTGTTCTTCATTTTTTTGCGGTAATATTTGACATCTCTATTGATTCATATTCTTGTTTCATTAAATCATCAACCAAGAGGGGCTTTGAACACTGCTCAAATGTAGTTGGACGATTGCTTTCCTTTCAGACATGGTCCTGTTTTTTTTGAACTCTTGCTGCTAGATTTGAGAGCTGAATAAGGGAACACGTGGGGGTTAGGGGGTGTCATGTGCATGTGCCCCGGAATATAATTAAGAACAGTACTCATCGAACAACAAATCCTCAAGGCATCCCGCTAGCCCAGAACATCCAGAACTTTGTTCAGTCGAAGCACTGTTGGATGTATCGAAGTTGGTGTTGCAATCGGGCAAACACACTAAGTTGAAATACCTCAGCGGAACGCACCACGTCCGAGCCACTGCCGATCCACACGGGAGTTTTGGAAAACCATGCTGCTAAGACCCTTGTATATGACCCATGGTTTCAAAAATCATTGTCCACATTGGTAGAAAGTATACCAACAGATGACAAAATGGTACACATCGGAAAATCGGAGTTTTTTTCCGACATCAAACCTCAAAAAAGCTCAGTTGTTGTTCAACATCCCAAAACCAACATGAGAAACTCACTGAAAAGTCTTCCTTAAAAGCCATGGCTTAAACATTGGCAAACCAGATCCACTGGAGGAACAACGTTTGGATATGATGGGACGCCGCCCAAACCGTTGCGACGAGAATTCATCAGACCATCAAAACTCGTCTACGACGAATTGAACCGCTGTTTGTGATCGAATGTCAATTTCATAGCATTTTGATACCTCATGATACCTCATGATACCTCATGATACCTCTAACTCTGACATCAACTCTGTTAATTTGACAATTCAAATCCCATGTCAGCGGAAAAACTGTGGAAAAACCCATGGCCGTCGCCAGCTTTTTTTCGCCCGACTTCCGCGTCGTGTCCAGGGACTTGGTGGCCTCACTCCACATGGTGGTGAAGAAGTCTCCGTTGCTGCCCGATGGACTGAATAAACTCGAGGGACTTACGGCGCCACGTATTTCCTGCATCTTGCCTGCGACGAAGGTCGAACTGCTGGTTGAAAACGCCCCCTATGAGGGGCATTACTGTGAATAAGTTACATGATGAGGTTTGATTAAGGGGATGATTGACCGCCATCAGGCCTTTTATATATATATATATAGTAATAATAATGATAATAATAAGAATAATAATAATTAATGTAGAGTAGAGATAGATATTTCCAACACAGCCTCTATTTCGGGGGCTACTTCTCTTGGGAGTCTAACTGGCCCCGCCTGTCACAGTGCTCTGCAAATCAGTCACGCTTGAAACGTCACCTAAGACACAGCACCCTACATCTACTCGGAGCCTCTACTGGAGATCAAGGTTCATCTCAATGGTATGGGGGGGTTCACATATGAATTTCACATCCAAAGAATCATTGAAAATACATGAACATACGGGTTTTATATGGTTTTATATGGTTTTCTGTTGTAAATTCTTCCGACATACTTTAACATCAACCACCACTGCGAGAAAAGTCTGCCACATCAGGCGGTCCAAGATGATCCAACCACATCGGACGATTTTCCTTGACCAAACATCATTGGACACCTCTAGTACCATTGTTTACCCTCTTTATGCAATTTACCAACCAAAGCTTCCCTCAAAAAAACATTAAACAAACACGATATAAACATCCATGAAAGGGGGTCGAGAAGGCACAGAACATGTTTCCTTGTTTTTGACTTTTTGTTAGCTGTGTCTTTACAGATGGTCTTAGATTGTCGTGGATTTCTTTATATAGATTGTTCTCCGGCCTGGATTCATCTGGATTCAAATCTTAAAAATTTGCATAAAGAATGGGTTCAAGTTTCAACCAAGAGGTATGCAAAGCAAAGGCTCGCAGGAAAACACTTCCTGCCCCCCAAAAAAACTCGAAAATTTCCAGACCCGATTCGACTCGGATATGTTTTTCCTATCCGGAGACATGTTTGAAACCCGTTGAAACCTGACAACAGCCATGACAGTGACGAGGGACTGAATTGATAGCTGCTGCGGCAAGAATCGCATGGGACTTTGCAACATGCGCATAAATAGGCATCCTGGCGCCCGGCGGCCCGCGCTGAGGATAGACAACAACACTTCGACAGTGAAACGTTTGAAGCGAATGCCCTTGTCCTGCCTCACGTTTTTGGGTCCTTTGCTGATTTTTGGATGCATCATGATGCATCATGATGCATCATGATGCATTGCTTATGAATTTGTCATAATTTGTCTCAGCCGTTTCTTTGTATGTTGAGGTACCATGCTTTACAATAGTCATAATTAGTTATTATGATAGTATGTAAATATATATATATATAAATACTGTGTATATATTATATTTATATATATGTGTGTGTGTGTGTGTCAGTTGTTTTCCCTGTATCTTCTGCCTTTTTTGCTCCCAGATCTCCCGGGTCTGATCTGAAATTCCCATGATGAATTTCGAAGGCGCACTGGCCAGGAAGCCTATGGTTTTTGGCTTTTTTGGTCCCCAAAACATGTTAAAAAAACATACCTCCAGCCGATGTTCTGAATGTGGCAAAACCGGTTTGATAACTACCAAAAATAGGCTGCTTTGAAGATGATGTGTTCCTATGTCACTGAGTGTTTTGTTAATGGATTTTGCTATCTTTTACCATGTGTTTTTGTTAAATGTTTTTCTGATTGGCACCACCATTTGGAACACATTTCAAGGGCTATCCAGTTCCTCTCACGGGTCCCACGGTCATATGACGCCGTTGTCAAACCCAAGGTCTGGATGACACTGTCCCCCGCTGTGGAGCACAAGAGCTGTTTAACCTAGAGCCGAGATGGATCGATTAACCTAAATTCAAAGTATAAAGCCTGTTAAAAACCTGTTAAAGCCCTGTTAAAACCCTTATTGTAGTATATTGTAGTTATTTTTTATGGTTGGAAATGGGTTTGTGGAGGGCCATAACTGTAGGTGTCAACAAGAAATAGCAAGAAACATTACCCATGCTCAAATAAGGATCTTCATCAGAAATGAAAGGAACATGATGAGTGACAACCAAGAAAGATGAGGATCTTTAACCCAAAAAATACTGGGATGTCACCAACAAATTAATGAAATAGACAATGGCATCGCTGGCAGTTCTGGGTGTGGATAAAACTGTGGAAGGCAGAGCTGCCACTTTTGAGACCGTTTTTTGAGTAGCGGACTGCATCTCCATGATTGGGTGCTACATCATTAGTGTGATGAGTATCCTCCGGTAATTTAACTTAGCTATTGAAAATGACCATAGAAATAGTGGATTTACCCATTGAAAATGGTGATTTTCCATAGTTATGTAAACGTTTACCAGAGGGTATCCCCAAGATGAGCTAATAGCTGCCATAGCTCAACATGCATAGCTCAATATCCCATCACGCCATCGGATTTTTTGGAACCATGTCACGACCAAATCAGTGGTCGCAGTTGCGTTCCTTGGTCGAGACGATCGTGGCGGCTGACTCAAGGCTGTCCAGGCCATGGAACTTCAGATCAATGTGTCGCCCTGTCTGACAAGCAACTTACAGATAAAAAATGTCCGTGCACGACATAGTTGCATGACTATATATATATATATGCATATTATATATATATATATACATATTATATACACATAATATACATATATATATATATACATATATATATATATATGTAAATAAACACATAAATAAAGCAATATTAACATATAGCTTAGCGATGCTTAGCCCATATATGAATAGTACATCATTAGTCGTCAAATTCATGTTGAACATACAAACATAATTATATAAAGATATTATATATAATCTTAGATACTTCAATACAGACATAATTAATACAAACATAATCTTATATAATTAACAGAATCAATACACACATAATTCAAGAATAATTCATATGTTCCAAACCACCAACCTGTATATAATCCATTATGTTGCCATTATATTACCATTATTATTTCACATACCCTCTGGTAAACTAATGTAATAGTTAACCACCAACCAGTATATAATAGATAGCTGGCTTTAAGCCACATCTTTGTAGATCAATTCCGAAAATCGCACACGCTCCAACTCAGATCGATCCAGGCCCAGCTTCATCGTAAAGGACAGGTATGGAAAGTTCAAGGTGTTGGGACCCGAGTTCCAATTGGTCTCCTGGCAGTCGATGGAGAAACTCCAGCAGAATATACTAGATTCTTCCCTTTCAAAGCTACTAAAACCTAGATTTTAAACCTAGATTTAAGTCCCCATTGTAGTACATATTCCCATGATATTTATAGAATTTTCCCGAAGCTTCGTATCACGTGGGGATTGTCCATTACGCTGGAATTTGCCGGAGGGTAACTGGTTGATCGATGATGCATAAACCATCCGAAGTGGTTCTTATGTGCTGGGTGCCATTTGCAATCGCACCTCACTTTTTTGGGCAACCAGCCTTTTCTTCGCAGGGGCTATCCTGGTAAAAATGATTAATACAAACTGAGAGTTTCCATTTCTATAAATCGCTGCTAACACAGGAGCCAAAAATTGCAACTTCGAATCTTGCGGGTTTTATGTTGCTAAGGTAAATCCCACAATTTCCAAGAAACCCTTTGCCCCTCCCAGGGGAGGAAAAAAAAACGAAAAAATGTTCCGAAAGTTGTTCTCCAAGTTCTTTCCGAGATCTTTTAGCTCAAAAACATCCAAAGAATAACTCTCTGGTAATTTGTTGCAGCTTGCTATGGTTAAAACTAGCTTTGTCAACTGGAGGCTATATCCCATGAACTCTCATATAATCACCATAACATCCCATCAAATCCCAAAAACATCCACCATGTTTTTCACGATTCCCGGCCGAGTCGCCACCCCACAGTAGGCGCCACTGTAGTCCCGCGGCAGGTAGAGCTTGGCCGGATTTCCATCCGCGAAGCCCATGAAGGTGACCACTAAATAGGCCAACCATGCCTTGAGGGCCCCTTGGCCGACATGGGCCGACTTTGGGCTTTCAAGTTGTCATAGGGAAATCATCCTGCAAATCATAGGGGGGTCTGGTGAAATCTTGAACTTGATGCTTGAAAAAAGTTAAAGCTAGGCAATCAACTAGCGTTTTTTCCCCCATAGATCCAGTTGGGGCCATAGATTTCACAATGTAAAATTGGAGATGTTGAAACCAAAGAAATGTAGTGGACATATAGTAAAAATAATCATTCACATGCATCCAAATACCTGCATCTAAACCAAATATGGTATGGTATTGTGTTGTAGTAAAGCCGCAAACAGATCCCGAAATGTATGCAACCAGGATGGTAGCTCGATGCCACCGATTTCCAAGAGAACAGGCACTTTTCCACCACCTCATTGATGCGCATGAAAAATGCTTGGAAGGTGGTATTGATGTCTGGAGGTAGTTGCAAGTTGCATGCAGGGTTGTAGAAATAACTGTCATAAAGTCATATACCCTATGGTTATTTAACATAGCTATTGAAAATGGCCATTTATAGTGGATTTACCCATTAAAAATGGTGATTTTCCATAGTTATGTTAGTTTACCAGAGGGTATATAGGCTGTTCAAAAGCATCTTTCAGAGCAGCATGTTCAAAAGCTAGATCTAAGTTGCCACCAAGAGGAACGGCAAGCACCACAAATCTGTGCAGTAACCTCGGAAATTCAACACAAATCCATGACGAGTTTCATCTCAAGGGCATCCTCTGGTAATCACACAATGGGAAATCACCAAATCTCATAGATTTACCCTCTGCTAATCAAACATGGCAGTGGAAAGTCCATCATTTACAGGTGACTTTCCAATGAAAAAACCTCCTTCTATATAGGATTCCAATTGCCACGTTTGATTACCGCAGGATAAAAAAAAAAAAACTACAAATTTCATAGGCACATTATTGATTGATTATACCTCATGATCCACTAAGTGGAACTATAATGATATGATTATTGATTAATGAATATTAATGATTATTCTCCATAAATGCGGTAACCCCAGCTTCAATAATGGTTTTTCACCACCAAAAAAACCGTTGCCAAGAGATCCAAGAGTCGATTTGCCACAGGTCCATTGGATAAGTCGTTGTCACCTCCTGGTGACATTTTTCGGGCTGGAAAAACGGCAACTCTTTTTCGGGTCTTGGAAGGTTTGAGACCACTTGTCACAGATGCCAAACTATGTATAATTTGTATAATGTTAAGCCAATTTTCTGGGACATGTGCATCCAATTGAAAGAATTTAATGGAATTCGTATGTTGACATCCATGACCTCCACCCCTTCTCGTGCCGAAGTCTGAGAAGTGGCTGGAACCAAAAGATGTCGCCTTGAAATCCAATATCGATAGGAATATAAACAACGAATAAATGCAAATCATATGCAATATAAGTATAAGTACACATATCTCATAGATAAATGCATGTATATAATTAATTAGATGTACATTCTATTAAAAAAAATACATCATATAAATTCATATAATATATTATATATAAAGGAATTATAATACTACCAGCATCTACCAGCCTCTACCAACCCAGACGTCTCCTTTCTCGAACTTCCCTCCGCTCTCAGGGGACGTTTGTTCAGATCCACAGCAACAACCACCCCTGGGAGCCGCACCCTGTGGACGTCTGTCTGAAAATGGTGGTTTTTTACCCAATCAATGATGGGAAAACCCATATTTATGTAGGTTGATGAATGGGAAAAACATATGAAAACCATTGGGAAAAAAGATTGAACATGGCAAAAAGATGGAAAACGATGATTAACCAGTGGGCTTGGGAATATCTTCAGAAAAAAACAATATTCATGTAGATTGCACTTGATGTTACTTCAGCAGTAGGATCTACCATCCAAAATATTCCCCTAAATTTTAAGGTTAAACATTGGCTTATCATCGTATCTTCAATCCAAGAAAAACAGATCGTCCCCAACCACTAGTTTGCCATCACCCAACTCAGATCTAGAAAATTGGAAAGTTCCTTTGCTAGATCACGCGGTTTTTTGCACGCGGTTGTGTCATTTTCTTCAAAAATACTGGGCCTACGATGCTGAAAACATAGAACCATGCTGCGGGTGTTCTTAAAATCCAGGGTGTTCTTGCCTTGGATGTGTCTAACAAACCATTTACAACCAAACAATGCAAATTGGTTGCGTACTATTCTTTTAGACTATAGTAACGCCCACGAAACGTCTTTCCAGGATGGTATACATGATGTTTAATGATGTTTTCCCCGCAATTTCTAGGTGTCCAACACTTTTATCAATTTTGTGGATGCTATAGTGAAATACCCAACACACCCAGCCATTGGTTTTTGATGTTTTTGAGGTGTGCAGTGCACCCAATGGTAGAGTTGATTACCAAGTTGCATCGACGCTGCACCGGCCAAGAGAGCAACACACCAAGAAGCACCGCGGACAGCGGGTCCTATCTACTGTGCCCATTAAGGAACTTGAACCAAAGGCATGAAAGAGCAGTTCAGCAAGTTTATACCATCCAAGCCTTTTCAAGAGCTGCAAAACATATTTTTCATCTTGTTTTCTCTAGAAATTGGTGTAGGCAACCCAATGGTAAACGATCCGCAAAATCACCATAAATGGGTGGTAATCATAAACCATCCCTGGAGGGATCGCCCAAAAACTTGGGCCTTTTTTTTGTGGATCTTATTGCGGCATCATGTTGGGGTGCTGTCATGGCTGCCACAATGATGGGTAAAAAGCCAGCATTATATACTCACAAATCATAATAATTATGGTATGTTCACAGGGTTTCCCATCATATATTTATATATAGAGAGAGAGAAAGATTGAGATATACTGATATACTATAGGCCCTCTAGTAAACTAACACAGCAACGGACAATCACCATGTTAATAAGTAAATCAAATATACGTACAGCAACTGGTCAATGTTCCATGGTTATGTTACTTTACTGGCGGGTATTTAAACATTAATCAATATTAACAATATTAAACGCTGAAATTTACCCATATTTGATATATTTAATATATATATATGTGTGTAGTAATAATAGTAGTATATAATAGTATATATAGTATATATAGTATATGTAATATACGTTAAAATATATATATATATATAACATAGTTCCATTCACAAATCACCACATTTTCAGCGCTGGTGGAACTGACCCATTTCAGAGCGAAAAAAAGCCACTTCGTCAGCCAAAGCTTGAGCCCTGAACGTTCCCTGCTTCACCTGGTTGGTGGTTTCAACCCCTCTGAAAAATATTAGTTAGTTGGGATGATTATTCCCAATATATGGAAAAATAAAAATGTTCCAAACCACCAATCAGCCTTTAAACATGGTTTATGAATAATTCAATAGTGTCAACCATGGACAAATAAACATCGGGGTTTACCAATTAAGATCAATTAAGTAGCATTTCTTATCACGATTTTGGAGGCTACCCCCATATTCAATAAACGTATGGTTTATAAATCCGGACTTGACATTGCAATGAAACTCCCGATTCGACATGTGCCCTGGTTCCGGGTTTTCCAAATCGTGTTTTTTTTTTCAGTTGGTATATAATTACTATGTTGGTTGTTTTGATCTGCGCCGTGTTTTGGGATACCTCCGAGCTTCCGAACAATTCCTGTCGGGGTGGGTCGCTTGGGGTACCCCGCCTGGAACGGGCGAGGGGCGAGGCTGAACTCACGATATGTATAAATATATAATGTATGTACGTACGTGCATATGTCTGTGTGCAAATGTACATATAAAATCAGATAAATTCAAATAAATACATAAGATTTTCGTAGAGTTGATGTTGGTGATAATCTCGGTAACTGATCTGTATCTCAGCATGTGAAGAAAAACATCAGCGGGACATGTCTTTTAATCTCCATAAATGGCACAGCATTGACCCCTTAGATGGGGATTCAAGGTGTACTACAAACCATCATTAATAAATTGGTTTATTAACCATCAACATCCATAAACTAATCATTATATAACTATTATATAACTATTATATAACTATTATTGCAGTTTAATAAATGAACTATACAAAACCATACCAAACCCAGGTTCCCACCAGACGCATGGGCAACAACATCTATACAGAAAACAAGATGGGGATACTCTACATGTGTCGGAGAACCATGGCTTGGTATATAGGTAGACACCCTTCATGTTCAAGCAAAGGAACCTAATTTTTCTGGGGCTTAATTTTCACTTGCATAACTCTTTCTAAGCCAGAAGAACGGAATAGGATTACTATATATACAGAGTGTGTATATATATATATATCTCTCTCTCTCTCTCTTCTATAATGTTCTCTCTCTCTATATTATATATATATTATCATATATTATCCATACGTTATATCACTTCCTCAGTGCTCTGTGGAAAAAATTGAGGACTGGTAGTGGAATCATCAAACCTGGCGGCGTTTGCCCAGGCCTCATGACATTGGGTCCACTCTTGTTGCCTTTGCCCTTGCCTCAGACAACAATTTAAAAGACTGATGGCATCGCCATAGACCCACGAGGCCAAAAACGATTTTTTAAGAACTTTGTTTGACTCCAAACAGCACGGTAGCACTGGAGCACTAGGGAGTGAAAATGGATGCAGAATTCCAGCGATTTCTGAGGTTTGGGCCACCCGCCTAGCGCAGTTTTCTGGATCTCTGAAACAAATTCTTCTAGGTAAATCATGTGATCTTGTGAGGTTCCATCCAATTTCATCCTTTATGTTGGAGATTTGCGATTGATGATTTTCCTTGCAATCGTCTGATGGTTGAAAACAGCTGCCTCTAAATTTGGAAGGTTCTTCTCAGCACAACAAAAAAAGCGGATGGCTGCCGCCTTGCCCTTGCCTTTGTATCGGACGATGATGCCACCAGTCATGGCAAGTGAGTCCGGTTTCGATTCTTCGGGCATCAACTCTTCCTGGTCAGATGTGATCAGTTGTCAGGAAGGTCAGCGAAGTTCAGAGTATGGAACCACCAAGAAAAAAAACACGCACACACACAGATATATACAATATACATATGTATGTATTATTAGGTATATATATATACATAACATATAAACCATATAAATATATAATGTATATGCATGTGTGCGCATACCATCGAACCATGTCGAACCCAAGTGACCCTGTGCGGTGGATGGTCTGAAAGAATCGGGTGAAATGGTGTTCCAAGTAGCTGTAAGGTATCACTGGGGGCCGCCAGGTGCACGGTTATACACTACCAACTTAGCCACCATTCCTGCCCTTTCCAATATCAAATACACCGAAACAGAAACAGTGGTTCAGTAGTGTGTTTATATTCATTTTGGGCTCCACCATGTGGTCTTATTGTCCTTTGATCTAACACGGCCAAATTTGGATAATTACTGTCCGTTTCTTAAAACTTGCTATACTATATTTATATGCCCCCATTTGTGGAAAAAGATTAATTTGTATTCAACTCAAAATCCAATTCAGTTGATGCCACATTCATCTCCATAGGCAATCCTTTTCTTAAACCCCTCTACTATTCTTGTTTTATATCCCCGGTATCTCTCAAAAAGTCCCAGCAAAATGTCCACCATCCCAACTCCTTCAAGTATTCGTGGTCTCCGTGTGACCTCAAGGACGGGGAAATTTCTCGGAGAATGGTCATCCGTGACTTGGAGGATTTGGGGGTACCCCGGGCCCATGACTTAGGAAACCTCCATATGCCTATGCATCCTATGCTCTTAAGTGAGAAATGTGTCTATTGTGATCTATTATGTCTATCTATGTTAAGGGTATGTCTGGGCTGGACTTCTATCAAAGTTTCCTCAACACAGAGGTTTCTCCGATGCGGGATGGCCATTTACCCAGTATTTCTATGTATTTCTGCTAAATTTGAGGTTTATGAACCCATATTTATGATATTTTATGATGGCCCTTGAGGGCCAAATGTATTTCCTTGGTGACCTAAATGGCCCGGCTAATGGCCATTGCCACAAATCACCATCACCTCAAGGGACTGAGGTCACCAGTTGGTGTACCCAAATTTCGGGTGAAGAATTCATGGGTCAAAATCCAAAAACCCCCGGACCAACATGGCCAGAAACTGGACCAACTTGGCCGAAATCGCCGGGCCTTGATCCTCCCTTTCGATGTCCTTTTCCTTTTCGGACCTCAGAAGGGCACTTGAGCTCTCTCTGGTTGTTTTTTGGGTAACATTCAAAGAATCGGTCTAGCCAAACTTTCAACATCATGTTCCCACAAAAAAAATCTTTCAAAATAAGGGATGTTCCAAGTGGATTCAAGCGGTTGATGTCAAACGCAGATTCCACCTGCTGGTCTCCTTGGGCCCTTTTTCATGGCAAAACATCACGGGGGGCAATCCCCATGACTCATCAAACTCAGCAAACAAGTTTTATTAATCCAGGGTTGACACCTCTTTTTCGGCCAAACATATTCAAACTCATCTATCCAAAGCATCTTGAAGGTGAACTGCCGCTCTTCAGCGGCTTCAGCGGTTTTTTCTTGACTTTGATGCTCACAGCCGTCCTCTTTTTCGGGCAGCGGAAATGGCAGGAGTCTGTACAGCTGTTCTGCCTGGCCCAAGATGTTCAATTATTCAACTTGCAGAGGCCACCAGGCAACATGTTAGGTCACCAGATTGGCCAAACTCATTAGCAACTTGGACAACTCAGACCCTCCAATGGACTCCAATGTTGACGCCCCTCGGTCATATTGAGTGATGAGATTTTTTCAGCACGCAACTGATGATGTTTGGCCCAAGATTACCATCGATTTGGATCCAAATGGATCCAATTTGCGATGTGTACTAGTACTAAACCACTAAACCACCATTTGTTGGGGTTACTAAGCCACTAAACCACCCAATCGTTGGGGTTTCAATGATGTTCGAACCACCCGGTCCATGAATCTTCATCTACATGGAACCAAAGATGTCACTGGAGAGCCGTGTCCCATCTAGAGATTTCAGGGCAACATTTGTGTGGCAGGCCGTCTCACTTCCTTCTCTTCTAAGCTGAGTCTGGTCCAGACCTGCGCTGCGGTCCATGTGAAGCAACCAGCTCAAAAATGAAGGCCATAGAATCTGGCTGAATTGCAACTATTCACTAAAACTGAAATTTAAGGCCACTGATCTTCTCTAAGTGGCCTTTTCCCCCTCCCCGCGTTCGAAGCCAGAAGCTGAAATTTTTAGCCATTTGGTGGATGATTCCCCGTGAAGTCAATAGAAATTATAACTGCCCTCTGGTAGTTTAACATAGCTATTGAAAATTGTCATTCATAGATATTTATAGTGAGTTTTCCCATTAAAACTGGTGGTTTTCCATAGCAAACTGTTAGTTTACCAGAGGGTAATCCAAATAGATTAATCATTGAATGGTCAAATTATGATCAGCCACCGGCAGTGGCATCCTCTGCAAACCGGATAGATTTGTTGGTCATTCATGGACATCGAATTCGGGGGATTCACCATCAAATTCGGGGTACCGATGTTGGGAACTGCATCTGCCAACAGACAGGAGGTTTATCCAATGGATACTACGGATACAATCAACAATCATAATTTTGGACAGCTCCCCAAGAACCAGCTTCATGATCTCCATGGTTCCGATGCACGAGAATCGATGGAGCAATCTTCCATCAAAAATGGAATGGCTATAGAGACTATAGAGAATAACTGGTTGGTGGTTTCAACCCCTCTGAAAAATATTAGTCAGATGGGATGATTATTCCCAATATATGGAAAAGTAAAAAATGTTCCAAACCACCAATCAGATAACCGATTAACCAATCAGACCCTGGTTTCTGCAGGATGTCCTTTTTTTAAACCACGAGATTCCCTAGGTGAAACAACCTTGGTTTGGCCTCTCCGTCGGACCATTCCAGCTTGGCTGGTGGGCCGGGGTCATACACCCCACTGCACTCTCGGTCAAGAAACATCGTCACCTGGGGGCCAGTCCCAGATCCTCCATGGGCCAGTGCATCTCTATCTACCTTCATTGAGGCCATGTTGAAGGTAAATGTTGCTGGGCGTTCATGTATAAATACGTATTGATAGAAATACACATATGATACATTTCTGCGTTCATGGGTGCTCGTTATTTAAAGGCTTTCCGAAAGTCAATTCATCACACTGCTGTAGCCAAGTCGCAGCGCTGCGTGAGAAAATCGGAACGCGACTCAGAGAAGTTGGGGAAGCTTTCATTTTGGAATCCCAATACACCTGCGACAGGCTTCCGTGTGGTGAATTGGCATGCCAATCTTTATAAATAATAGAAATAATATTAACAGACCAATATATGAGTATGTATTGTCAATGTATGTATCTCATGTATATCTGTATGTATGGGTATGTATTGTTAATGCATGTATCTCATGTACATCTGCCTGTATGTATCTATATATAACTATATATGCATATGAGCATGTCAACAAAGCTAACAAAACATATCTATCTATCTTGTCCTCTATCCACATCATCTTGAGAGCGTCTATCACGGTTGAAGCCTTGTGGGAGTCAGGTCGAGACCAAAAACCCCCAAAAAAATATCCCATGTCTTGGATGGAGTGATCTCAGAACATGTTGATGGTTGGTAACTGGGAGAAAGGGAATGGGGGCCCCAATGCACCATTTGTTTAGCTGGCTTGCTGCAAGCCATGGCCCCAACTTGCAGATGATTTTCTCATGTAAAACCCTCCAAATTGCAGATGATTTTCCCATTAAAGACTTCATTTCTGCTGGGATTTGCCCATGAATTCCTCCATTTATAGCTGGGATGTCCCATGGATCATGGTGTTTTTTCAGACCTCCGGAGGGTTTTTCGTGCGGTGACGTGCTGCGGGCCTTCCAATCTCGGATCAGCAGAGCGTACTTGGGCCGCAAGCTGCTGCTCCAACGTCCTTGCAGCTGATCTTGGATCCAGCTGGAACCATCACCTGGGCAGCCAGGAATCCCCAGAAATCCACATGTGATGATAGAAAGCCCAAGAGTCAGATAGAACAGTGATTTAGTACTATTGTAGTGGGAATTCACTTGATTCACTTGTTCTATCTTTTTTTGGGATGACTACACATTTATGTAGTGAGATGATTTTCCAATCACACATTAGAGGATTTGCCATGTTTGATTAGTTCAAGGTATGGAACAACTATCTCATTTTTTTGTCACTGGACCCATGTGATCATGTGGCAACATCCCAGCATCCTTGATCACTCAACTTCGGTCTGAAAAGCAACTGCCAATGACCCTGAAAAGGTTTCTGTTCAATGCAATCGTCATGAGAGTTCCACATGACGAATGCATCAGCCATCAACTTCTCTGACTTATTATCCGGGAAAACTATAATTTTTCACTAACCTGAATAGTTCGGCCAGCTATGGGGATGATTTCCCTAAAATAAACCATGATTCCAGGCTTCCAGAGAACAGTGAAGGTCGATATAATTTACCCAGAATATTTTTTCCCATCATATCCCATGATATTCTCATGATACTGCCATATTACTGCCATTGATGTTGGTTAAATCCACCATTTTTCCTATGGCTTCCTATGGTTTTGTCAAGCCGCTCCACTGGAGTTCTGCGGGTGGACCCCAGACGATGCGCGCCGTGTGCCCCGGGACTTGGACCTGGGCGCCGGGACCTGGGACCTTGGGAAATTTCTCGCTGGATTTCAGAAAACAATGACGTGTTTCTTCGGCAAAAATGGACAGGAGATTTTTCAGGGGAAAATGGAACATCCTTGATATATATATATATAGGGATATATAGATATATAATATAATATATATATGTATAATGATGCATATATAGGTATATAGATTATATATGATAATATATAGAGAGAGAGAGAGATGTAGATCTAGATCATTTTTTCTACCAAACCCTCCATGTACAAGGGATGTCCCAGCGGCCTGCCATTTTTGATGACACCAGAGGGTATATCCCCATGTTTGAGGGTCATATCCCCCGGCTCTTGTGTCCTTATGACATTCCTATTAAATCTTAATGATCCAATCATTTTCCCAAAAATCCCTATTCTTGTTGCTCCCATCTGTTTCCCCATAGATAACCCAATCCCTATAATCTAAATGGGTAACATGTCCTATTCTCGTTTGTCAGCCCACTTATTTCTTGCCCCAATATTAAACATCCTCCAAAAAAATGGTTTAGTAGCTGATTTACACATAGTTGGTAGCATTTAGGAGTTGTTTAGTATGAATGGGGGATGGAATTCTTATAGTTGATCCATTATTTTCCATTAAAAACACATGCTGCTATTTGGCAATATTCCCATATCTCCATTATATCTTCATGATAACCAGTAGGTCACACCTAACATTTTATAATAGTATGCAAATATTTCCATAGATTTCCTAAGGCCCCATAATTCATCTAAATGGCTAACATCTCCCTAGTCTTCCTCGTTGACCGCTACCCTCTGGTAAACTAAGAGTTTGCTATTGAAGCCATGGCCATTGAGTTCGTTGATTTTCCCAAATAGCAAACTGTGAGTTTGTCAGAGGGTATTAATATGTATTAACCAATAATCATCTAGTTGGGTTAACATATGCTAACCACCTATTATTACCATGTATTAACATTATTAACATATGGTTTTTCCATCTATTAACAGATTTCTTATTATTATCCATTATTAGCATTACCAACCCTTTTTATCCATCTATTAACCACCGGTTTTTAACGATATCTTTTATAACCAGCGTGGCCACCGATGGCACCGAGCCACTCTGTGCCCGGGCAGGGCCTCCAGCGGAGTGGGATATGCCACGTCCTTCTTCCAGAGCTTCAAATCTCGGAAAGCCGCCTCAGCGGGGATCCCCGGTGATCCCAAAGGAAAAAACGCCATGGGCCATGGATGAAGTGTCCTTAAAAATGTGGGTTTTTTACATGGTTTAGCATTAAACATAGTGATTTCACATGGTTTAAGTATCATAAATAGTGGTTTCACAATGTTTCACATGGTTTGCAGATCCAAAATTGGCGTTTCACATGGTTTAAGTATCAAAAAATAGGGATATGTGGCATGTGAATGGCTTGTTTTTGGGAAAATCTACAGGAGCCCGCGGGTTTTTCCCATCCAATTGGTGGTGCTGCAGTGCTGAGTTTTCATGGTCCAATTCGGGGAGATTTT